CCTTGCATTTGACCTTAAACCAATCTCAAAGCTTTGTTTTGTATAGTATAGTCTGATGAAGTAGTCCAAATTGAGTGATAATGAGCCAGTACCTCAGTTAATTCATCTTTGTAAGACAAAATATAAATATACAAGAAATTCACTGATTATAACTATACATCAAATTTGTTTTAACATTTTGCAAAACAAAAATTTTCACTTCAATTTTCTAAAGTTTGATTTCAAACAATATTTAAAAAAAAATTGTTTAATTGTTTGAACTTAATCAATAATCAAAATTCATAAAACTCACATTAATATAGCTTAATTATTTGGTTTGTTCTTTCATTTTTTTAAAGTTATTTTATTTCTACTTAACAACCATGATCATCAAATACTTCAATCATTATGAAGTGATGTGTTTCATTTAACCTTGTTACAAATTGTGATCAATTAGATAGAATTATAGAACAATATACCGATATTATATTTGTCTTGAGATTCGATTTCGTCATACATCATACATCGCTAACATGCTATACTCACGCATTCACACATACATACATAAGGAACGAGAGTGTTCGCACACAAAGATATCAAAGTCAAGCCTTGTCAAGAGAAAAAAGTCTGAAAACACAAAACATCAAGTCAAGCCAAACTCAATGATGAAAAGTGTGCCCCAAGCCAACGCTCCCCGCGTCTCAACGTGCATCCGATTCCCAACGTCACCCGTCTCAAATTCCAACTCAACGTCAACCTACAACTACACTAACGTGTATACACATGACATAATACATGATCGATCACAATTGAAATAACATGATAGAGAAGTTTGTAAATGTGAAATAAAAATATTCGTACAACGTTTATTCAAACAAACATGAATTTGTTAGTTTTTAAAACTTTTCACTTAGTTTTGAATATTTTTTTAAATTATCATTGTAAAGTTATTTCAATCCATCTTGCAAACATGAATTTGAAATACAATCCAAATTCTTAAAAGAAATAAATTTCAAGTTATTTTTTGGAATTATCTAAATAAACTTTATATTAATTGCACAAAAATCTGCACAAGTTATTAAAAAACCAGATGAATAAGCATTAAAAATTAATTGTTATTCAATATAAACACTTTATCATCTTGTATCAAATATATTTTGTAAACATCAAAAAATCTACAAATTATCAATTTCTTTAATTCCTTTTGAGATATTGAGATAAGAGAGTTTAAAATCATCATTTTTAATAATTACTTATATGAAGTAATTATAAAAAATAAAATAAATTTATAAAATTAATATAATAATCATTTTTTTCATATATATAATATAAATTAACATTGCAATAAATTTAAAATTTTATATTTAATTTATGCAAGATTATTTTTACAAATCTTTAAAAAAGGAATATATTATTGTGATTGTAACAAACGTCTTGAACAGACAAAATTTATTTAATGTTTACAAAATATATGTTGTCAAAAAATTCATTTTAATTAATTTTTTTAAAGATATATTCAAGTTATCTATAGTATATGGATTTTATTTTTTGAAAACAAAGACTTACATGAATAAAATTGCAATAGCATTTGAGATCAAAAAAATTGTTTGAAAGGAATTTCATACCTTTAAAAAAACTTCTGCCAAAATTTGATTTTTTTCTTTGTGTTTATATAATTTGTAAAATTGAATTAAATCTTAGATTTAAATCTTCTTTACATATTAATTCATCTTCGTGAAATTATAAAATATTTTTAAATTTCATGTAATAATTTATGATTCAATTCATTTTATCATTTACAGAAATTTGGGTAGTGATTTTAAAAAAAAAAATTCAATTTCTTTTTCTAAAAAATATAAAATTTCTACTTGCTTATAAATTTTAATAAATTTAAAAAAATTCATGATGAGAATTTTATGTCATTTAAATAATTCTGCATCTTGGGATAATCATTTAAATTAAGAAAAACAAAAAATTTAATTTTACTTTTAATGGCATCGAATATCTCACTCAACTTAAAAGCACAAATGATTGAAATGTAACACTAAGATATGGAGCAAATGATGCCAATTTTATGAAAAATTATCTAAAGTTTTATTAAGATCAGTCATCTGAATCATATAAGTGCATTATAATTAAAATTCATTTGTGCGATACCACTTTTGAGTAGACTTCAACCTTTTCCTATAAATTTTATTGTCTCAAAATATATTACATTTCTATGAAAACGAAATGAATTACGATTTTGAAAGATTTTGTGGAATGAAGTTAAATGTTTCAAGGTTAGAATATTCTTCTATAACTTCTAACATTTCGTAAAATGATGTCATCAGTTTTAACTTCGTCGCAGATTTTATAATATCATTTGAAATCAGGCACATTATTCTTTACACAAATTTCTGAAATGTTTACTTGAAGACTTTAATCCAAAAGCAAAGTGAAGAAATAATGGTTTTCAATACACATGTTCAATTTATGTCATGAAAAAGAGGTGAATTTTAAATAGCCTTATGACTTTCTTGAGAAATTATTTTTTTTAAAGATTATATGTTTGACATTGCAAACGTTGCTAAAATGGATGTTTCACATGTTTTACATGTGCACATTAATATCAATTTGCATGTTATAAATATTTCTTTAAATGCTGTATTTAAACTAAAATTATAATAAAGTTAATTAAAAACTATCTTGCACTTCTTTTTATTAATATATGATATTGACTTGATTTGTGTGGCTTTCAGATGAATCAGACACAAATTTCTATTAATTAATTTTGTTGACTTCAAAATTTTTTTAAGTGAAAATTATATTTTAAATCATCTCTCGATTTTATTACTAAATTAATTACGGTTTTCTGATGAAATTATATTTGAGCGTTTGTCTTAATTTTCATGAACTGCAGATCATTTAAAGGCTTTGTTTATTATAAAGATAATCAAGTGTTGACTATTATATTTTTGAGATTTCATCAATTGTATTTTTATAATATGTATGAATTAAATGATATCAATGGAAATTGTAATAATATGTGAATTGCTTTTCAAAATCATATGAAGTTATATAACAATAATAATCTTCAAAAAGACATTCATATTCAACAACTCTAAGAAAGCTTACATTAAACATCAGATTTATTCATTACAATTTCTCCATTATTGCGATTGTTGCCATTATTTTGAACATTAAATTAATGACATCATTTGAATATATATTGGTAATATTTTACAGCATAATTGATTAGATCATTATGGTGCATGTGGCTTAGATTTTAACATTCATAATAAATGTCTTGGGCTAGAAGCTGCAAAAAGTAATTATGAAAGTAAATTATTATCAGGATTGTTGTACAACACATAGACTACAACACATAGACTAAGTATAGTGAAGATATATGGTCGAGTATACTACTCGCTTACAAGCAGGGTGTGTAAAGAGTATAGATTGATTGAATCTCACATCTAATTTTTGAGTTTGACAGAGAGTTTTCAACCTATTTAGCGAATATTGTTTCACATGTTAAATTCGAGAATTGACATCTGTAAAACAGAGAAAATCACACAAGACGAGGCAGGAAATAACCAAGACGAAACATCACACGAGCGATAACAAGTGGTTCATCCAAGTCAGGGGATACTTCCACTGGAAAATTCCTGTCAAATTACAATGAAGTTTTCAAAGGCAAAACAACGAATGCCAACTAGTATATACAGTGGCAACTAACTAGAGTTAACCCGAAACCCGAGTTAAATCTAATTATATCTCTCCATTTTTGCAGCCACTTGTCATTTCAAGCACACGTCTTCTTGATATATATAGTTATCATCGTGAAGCATAAATGATTAACTCGTTTTGAAATCACATACCAATCAATTAAGTGGTAAAATTAAGTAAGTCCTGTAGTTAAGTGAAAGAACAAAGTAGATTTTGAAACTTGAAAATGGCAAAAACACCCTTAGAAGGCTTATTCATCTAGCTTTAATGCACAGTCAAAACCTGTTTGGTAATTTGAAATTTGATCAATGTATTATTTGTTGTATTGAAAGTGATGATTGTTCATGTGATTGTAACTTTCAATATGCAGATGGTTAGCAGTGTAATTATAGTCTTTGTATTATTTTCACGTGGATTTTTAATCTTGTAAAATTAAGATCCTACTTAAATTGAATCCATCAATCGAAGTCGATATTTTATATACGGAGAAATGAAACTATCGGAACAATACTGTAATGACAAGAATGGAGGTAATTACTATAACTTTTAGCAGGTGCAAACCCGAAGCCCACAACAATCCAACTTACTTATGTATAATAAATAAAAAATGTAATAAAAAAACATTCCTTCATTCGAAAAGCACTCTTATTTTGTTTTTCTACTATAGAGGTAAAGTTGTTGATATACATGTATATATTATATATATGTATATACATATACATATATGTTGATATACATTATGGCAAGGCCATAATAAGAAAACAGGAATGAATGAGATTAACACTACTATTGTCTACATTCACACCCCGAAGAAAAAAGGAAACATACCAAATATTATAGCACATTGTAAGACTTCATTGACAATTAATTGGATAAATTCAAAGGGGTGACATGTGGCTAGGAAGCAATACCGTCTCAATGGGATATACGTACTCTCAAATGAAGCCAATATCTTAATATGAGTTTTGATATACAGTCGGCATTCGTTTGTTACTCCTTCACTTCTGTGATTTCCAACTTGATGAATGGCCTATGCACATTGGTTTTATATCTGCATAGTAGTCCGGAGTTTTGTAGACTAAATAGTATGATTGAACAAAAAAATAAACTTGAATTTGAATTTGAAGAATAGTAAGAGATGTAGTTGCTAAAACTAATCATGACGTTATTTGTGAAATATTTCCAAATATGCTGGGCATGTAAAATTGAAGCAGAGCGGGGAGTTAGGAATAGGTTGTGAAGAGTCCATGGGATGATGTCCAATGAAATTGACCAGAAACTGCCTGTTGACTGCCTGAGCCTGAGCCTGAGCCTTTGGAAAGTACTGAACTTTGGTCGTCCAGTCGACTTGAGCTGAAACTGCCTGTCTATTGTGTCATCGGGAAGTACTCAACTTTGGTGGTCTACAGTCATTAATCGGGGCCAGTTGTTACTCGATTATTTGCCGCAATTCTCCTCTCGATCAGTTTTCGCCGTGGACAATCTGCGACGACTACTCACTGGGGATCGAGCGACCGTATCAAGTGGAATTCTTCTGTATCTGCGCTGCTGAATTCCAGATGTTCCTGCTTCCCGCAAGGTATGCCAATTTAGGGTTTGAAAACCTGGTTCGTGTTTCGTTTGCTACCACGCTCGCGATTGTGGAGTCGTCGCATTTTTTTGGTTCTCAACATGAATTTGGGCTTCGATTTGATCCGAATGTTAAATGGAGGAAATCACTACCTTCTTCGTACTTTGGCAACCTATTTTTAATGCTGTTTGATTCGCTTCAGTCTGTGACCTGAATTCGCTGGAAGTGGGACTTCGGTATTGGCCTACTTCCCGCTAATCCATTTCCACGCTAAATTCAGTACATCAAACACAGTGTGTGTTCGGTGCAGTAGAGGATCGCCTCTGCTGTAGCTTCGTGTTGTGCCCCAATAGGTGAGCTGAAACCTGTAATCATTCAAAACGTTGTTGATCACGGCCCTTCACCGAAACATCGTTTGTGTCTCCCTGAAACGGCTAATGCGAATTAAGCATCTGACCAGGATTATTTCGTAGGGAACATGCAAGCCATTAGTTAATTCTTAGAGGTACCCAGAGAGCAATATAAGTTCCTTGGTTCATTTGTTTTCAATCTCCCTATGTATCATGTATTTTATTCCAGGTGGGGAGAATCATCTTTGCATGTGATAAATATCAAAACTTTTTCATTCTACACCTTGTTGATGTGGCAAACGAAGCTCAAGCTCCCCATCCCGGACAATCACATCTAGTCAAGACCGATCCTTCATGCACGCTATACTTAGAGTTCACACACGCATCTCAAATCTGCCTCTTGGATAATAGCTTTGCCGCAGAAGTGTTTATCTCCTATCAGGGGTTCACTTGTTTCTTGCTTTACGTGTGTTCGTTCTTGAAATAAGAAGATAATTCAATGGAAAGTGTCCCCTCATTCAGTAGTTCGAGAAGTCAGGAATCAGTGGATCCAAATGCTGGGATCACCGTGTCAGTCCAATTGGGATGTCGGTATGTAGTCAGCGAGAATCAGCTATGGACTTACGACGGACTGTCTCTCAACGAGGATATACAGATACATGAATGATAGCTGCTCACTGTCCTTCGGCAGTGAGTGTGGTGGAAGATTGTTCGTAGATTGGGGTTGTAGGATATGGAAGAAAAGTAGAGTGGCTCCTGTTAATGCCTGGCAAAATGAACAAAACTTGCGTCTCCGTGAAGGAGCACACGGTTGATTGTGTAGCAGGAATATTGCTCTCTCGATAAACGAAGGTTGTGCCCTTCAGTTCTATGTATCTAAGTTTTGACATTTTGGTCTTATATTCATATTCTGGTGCTGGGTTTCTAGCGAATAAGACTGTCTCTCGTGTAAGCTTATGTTTGGATTCCAATGCAAAAGGCTGACGGAGGCGCCTCCTTGACTTGAGACAATACCACCTGAATAATGTGGCGTGAATTAGTGATGAGAGAAAGTCAAATTGCACGTCTCCAATATCCATTGCCAAGATACGTGTGTTTAAAATTTGATAAAATTTGATAAAATTTGAATTCACAAATTTTATCAAATATTCGTTTAATATTTCAAAGCCGTGTTTGTTTGCTGAAAAGGACTTGAAAGCAGTTTGAAAGGCATGCCTAAGGAGGTCAATCGCCTCGATGCTGGACGAAGAGTTTGAGAGTCCAGAGAAACTTAATCGAGCTTTGGGAGTCGATGTGGAGAGCAGCAGATGTGAAGGTTTCGTTGGATCCAGTCCATCACCCTACATTGCGGAAGGATCTGCCGATTGTTGCCCGGAATGGGAAAACAACGCCAAAGTCACCGCTACAGCGGTCAATTCCGACACCGGACAGGGGCACTATGGGATATCCTATACTGCTCGCCCAATCAATATTGACGCAAGTGGGGAGGCAAATGTTCAAGTTGAGGGAAACGAGAAGGATCAAGTGTTTACAGAAGATATCGATGATCAAACACTTCCTGATAGTCTCGAACGAGGGTCCGCTGTCATGACAGAAGACCATGACAGGGTAGTGAGTGTTGAAGAGAATTGTGACCAAGATATTCTGGAAGAAAAGGATTTGGAAGCAACTAGTAGCATATCGGAATACAATTCACTTACTGGCAGAGATTCCGATGATGATGACAGTTCTATGTTTGGTGCGAGTCCATCCAAATACTTCCAGGCATTGAGTAAAACTAATAGCACTTGCGACCAGTTTTTCAACTCCGAAGACGAATTAGCGTTTGGGTGCAGTGATTGGAGCGAGTACGTTCATCAGATTGGGGGCGAGTTGGGTTCTTCTTTTGTCGAGCTTCAAGAGGCGAGGAAGGATTTACATCCAGTGCTTGGAGTAGGACCTCCGTTGGATAGGTTTCTCGATGACTCGGAGGACAAAAGTATTGATGCTGGTGAAGATGGAGATAGGTCAGACGGTGATCTGCCACCGGAGGAGGTTTCTCGAGTAAGGGGCGCCGGTAGACTTGATCTTGACGACGGTGATGAAGATGTCACTGCCGCGGACGGAGAAAGTTCTCTTACTGGTCCTGCGTCTTTTTCCACAACTTTACCGGCCTTTCACTCAAATGAGGGATGTGGGATAGCTTTGTTCGGAGAGGATGAAAATACGATTGACTACGACGATTTTTGGGACCTTACGTCAGGGTCTCACCTAACGTCCTTGAGAGACGCAACTGACGACTCCTTAGGAGTTCATGGAGAGGTCGAGGAGCACATTATTGAAGAGCTTAAGATTTTACCTTCCCAGGAGGACTTTAGTGCAGAAGCACATGGATTGCCTAATAACCTTAGAGAGTCAGGCGACTTTAGTTTGCTTGTTCAAGAAAGTGTGGAACCAATGTCGGAAGCGGGGAATAAGATAGACTTGCAAGTTCGAACTCTAGACGAGAATTCCGTATCTGGAATAGCTTGTCATACAGGACTCAAACTCAAAGTGGATGTTAATCGTACAAGGGAAACGCCTAAATTGCAACAAGTGTCAGCAGAGAGTCATCTCCTGGAAGATGTCGCTCCAGGAATTTCTGTCGGAGATCACTGCAAAAACGGGAGTCGCATCGTAGATCTTGGCCTGAAGGCAGCTGACATCATCCAGGACCAGGTGCATTGCACATCTCTATCACCGGGGAAAGTCGTAGGCTCGGCGCCGTCAACACCAGGAAAATCCCTTGAAGATGAGAGTAAGCGAGCAGGTGTGGATTGGGCCGAAGAGGATCTGGGGCCTGACGAGGTATGAGCAAGGAAGCTTGTGGTCATGATTATCGAGTCCACATGTGATAAATTTGTTGAAGATGACGTATTAAGGATTTGACAGATTTTCAGTCAGCCGATGAAATGATAAATACTGATAGATTTAGGTTACTGATCTTTCTCATTTTGAAGTGACTACCTGTAAAGACTGACAACCGTACGTGAACTTATCATCATCAAAGAACAGGTCCTTGTATTCTAACTTCGTTGGAGATTTTTCGGTTGTGTTTTCAGCTCTCAAGATATGTAGAGGCACTGGAAGTCAAGGAGACCTACATAGACACTGTGCTGGATATGGAAGACGTCCTTTTCGACGGGGAGGGTGGAGGTGGCAGTCGAACTTTTCAAGTTGGAAAGGTCACGTCACCCGGTTTCGTTCGTCCAGTTCGAGATGGCAGCCTGAGCGCTTCCACATCAAGTGTTCTGGCATTGGCCTCGAGACAGATCTCTCATCCCACGCGCCTGCTGAGCGACGTAGACTGGGTCGAAGTGGTGGGTGCTGTACAACGTCATGGCGGTGCTTCTCTGGGAGAGCGAGTCGTTGGCGTCAAGCAACACACGGTATATCGTATAAAGGTGAAGGGAGGTGGCAATGAATGGGAGATTCAAAGAAGATATCGAGATTTTGTTGTTTTGTACAGTCAGCTTCAAAGCTTGTTTGCTCTTGATAAGCACGTCAGTCTTCCACCACCCTGGGAGAAAGTTAAACAGGAGTCACGTAAGTATTTTGGAAACACCTCGCCAGATGTGGTGGAATTACGGAGTGCTCTCATTCAAGTTTGCTTACAGTCTCTTATCAGAGCTGGACCGCCTTTGAGTACTGCTACTCCTCTGCAGCGATTTTTATTCCCTGTCGGAGAGGGTAGTCAAATCAGTGTTACTGGTGGGGGACTTCCTGACAAGAGTGTTGTACAGGACCAATCGGGATCAACGTTGCCCCTGCAGGAGTTTGGACTTGACTCACCAAAATCCGACATCTCGAGTAATGCACCTGATCTTGAGGATGACGGAACCCAGTCTTCAGTTTTAGGGAAAACCATAAGATTGATTGTACAGATCCACAAGAAAAAGCCTTTGCGACAGCAGCTTCAGGCACAACATTATACCTGTGCTGGTTGCTACAAGCGTCTGGAGCTGGCCCTGGGAATTGTCCCAGAACTTGTACAAAATTGGGGTTGGAGGGGACCAAGACTTTGTGAATACACCGGTCAATTGTTCTGTTCTACTTGTCACTTGAATGAAACGGCTGTCTTGCCAGCATGGGTTCTGCAGCGGTGGGATTTTACTCCGCGCCTTGTTTCGCAACTTGCAAAAGCTTACTTGGACTCAATATATGATAAGGTGTGCCCTTGTTGTGATTACATTTCGCTTGCCTTTCTCATCTAGTTGCATGATGTCTTGACCACTTTATTGTTGATCTATCCAGGAGTGCGAATCACACTTGGAATGTGCCAGAAGCATTGTCATAGTTAGTCACTTGTTTGTTGTGTCCTTACTGTGTGCAGCCGATGTTGTGTGTTAGTGCCGTCAATCCATATTTGTATGCAAGGGTACCAGTTCTCGCACATTTGACAGAGATGAGAAGAAAAATTAACAAGATGCTGGCTTGCATCCGCTGTCCGGCCCGCACAAGAATTCAAACGATGCTCGGCTCCCGTCGGTACCTCTTGGAGAACAATGACTTTTGCGCCCTTCGTGATCTTGCGGACTTGTCCAAGGGTGCGTTTGCAGGTAAGAGTTCTCTGAAAGGTTTCCACACATTTGAGGTCTTTTCCTTGGACCAGCATGTCAGGATTTCGAAACGTGAAGGCTAAGAAGTCTCTTCTTCTGGAACACTGCATGCGCTTGTAGTCTTGTTGTAACAACAAGACTACTGGGGGTTGAAATATTACGATGGTCTAGAGAGTAGGCGTTTCAGAAAATCACTGCAAGAATGAAGATTGTAGTTGGTGATCTTAACAGCCGCACTGGATGCAGTCTTGCCTGGATACATGCGAGCCGTCCTTTTGAAGCTGTCGTCCCACATAACCAGAGAGTGTTTTCTTTGTCGAGAGCTTGGAGAGCCTTGTGGTGCCGGGGAGTTGTGCTACGACGAGTACGACGTCATTTACCCACACCAGGTTCTGCTTTCCGTTCCCATTTGTTGATTTCCTTGATCATTTCACATGTGACGTATCAATCAAGGAAATAGTGGGTTGTGGCCAGATTCTTCAGTAGAGTGAGGGGATGACTGACATTCGTATTTGTTCCAGGACGAACTCATCGTTAGATGTCCCTCATGTCAGCATCCTTTCCATAAAAGGTGCTACGCCAAATGCCAGAAATGCCCTTCCTGCAGAGGACAACCGGAGCTGAAACGAAATGATTCTTTGCTCACCGTTCAGCAACATGGTGAGCATGCGGGTGAATTTAGTGCAAGTAAAGCTTCTCCGGAACCGCTGAAAAGGACAGAGTCTCTGACTTCACCTGCTAATCCCAGAGAGAATAAGTCATCAACAAGAAGAAGTCTTTTCGCAAATTTTCTTGGTTCAAGAGAAGCTCGAAGTCCGGAGCAGAAGAAAGAGATAATAAATATGAATCCCCTTTCTAGTCCTATAGAATTGTAACTAGTTTAAGCACGAGCTTTACTGCCCGCTTGTATACTAATCCTAACAACATTCAAAGCATTGATTTGAGTCCTAGAAACTTGCTGTTGTAAGGGTGCAAAATTTTGCTTGTATTGCAGGCTTGCCCATGTATCAATTTTCCCGGAGCAGGCACCCATCAGTTTTGCGTTTGATTTGCTTGAATATCCGTGCTTTCACAACTGTAAGGTTTACGTAATTTGTGCCGTTGAATTTCCTTCCGAATGCCTTCCTTGTGCTTCGACAGAGCATACTGTACATTCTCTGCACGAGAAAGGACGAATGAAGTTTTGTAAGTAATTTGTGCAACGCCTTGTATTCATTCTCAAAGTGGGTGTATGAACGAAGATTCCTGAGCGAAATAAGTGCTTGTCAGAGTCTTTCATCTGTGGTGCTAATCTTAGTTGAGTCTGTTGGCGCTATGGTCGCCCTACTGGCGGGAACCAGGCGCGCTTGTATTGTATATTTCTACAGCGCATGACAACTTCATATTGCGCCTGGATGTGGATCTCCATCATGCCTTTGTCAGCCAAATATGCCCACCGTCTCTTCTTTCCCTGCTTTACCTGCAGATTGCTGTCCAACATCGATTAGTGCAAGATTAAACACGTGCAGAAGGGCACAGCTTCCACCTCGTAACTCTTGAATGTGAACAAGAATAGTTATCAAAGTAAAGCTTCTTTCACTCGTGATGCGGCCTCAGGAAGAAGTTGACGCCCACAGTTAGCCATCACTCAGCATTCGTATAGTCATATGAATTAAATGTGCCCTTTCACGAGGAAGTAAGCTCCTAATATTCTCAGTAAAGTGGATGAGCTTCCAACTGATTGTGCATTTACTACATCAGACAGTAAACAACCTCAAGTCTCTTCGCCAACTATGGTGAAGAGACTATATAAACGAATTAAAGGAAATGAACAGCTCGACTTCAGAAAGGTGAGATTTACAACGCTCAGCTCATCCATAGTTCCAATATCGAGAGGAAGAGCATGTCACTGGAACCACTGTCCTCGTCAGGATAACCCTGAAGATTGGGGTTTAGCTTGTCAATGTAGAATAGTAGAGCAGTCTCCGACGATAAACTACATTACTCATATGACTATTCATGCAATGAAAAGTGCTTCATCAATTTTGTCATCATTATGGGCTTTGCGCCACGAATTGAAAATGTAGCACCCGTTTGCAACTTGAGCACCAGCAATTTGATAATCATTATAAAGAATCTCCCTATGTTGCTTGGGAGATCTAAGATGCTGTCATTAATATGCCATGATGGAGTTTGCTTGAGAAGATGGATTAAAATTTGATGGGAAGACCGCCTAGAGTCATACAAGGAAGAAAACATAATGGAAATAAAGGGCTAGTCATCTGAATTATAGTGATGACAAATATGCCCTTCAATATTTAATAATCTATAAACAAAAATCGCATGTGTGTAAGATTGGCCATTGCTATCTCCATAGGAAAAAACAATCTTTCCAATGTGATATTAAATCTTTTAAATCAATACAACATTCTTAGAGTGAAGCATAAGAGCCACTTATACTTTTATATATTTTACAAGGTTTCAAATAAACAGTCAAAAATCTGGCAATTCCCTACAGATCTCCATCTTTTCCAACCTTTACTGAATTCTCTCTCTTTCCTATGTTCTTATTCTATGTCTCTTTTGCTCTCGTCTTCCTCTTCGTTTGATTTGTGAAGCTAGAATGGACATTTTTTAGTGCATTCCATGAATAATAAAGTTTGCAAACTTCCAAATTGAATGCTCTTTTGCTGAAACGTTCTCAAGCCAATCACCTGTTCAAGAGATGGCTTTGAGACATCGCTTACTTCCCATCACTTCCTTGAAAATTCTTCGTTCATGTTTAGCCATTCTTTCATAATTATGTTAAAATCATGACCTGGACATCATAGAGTAGTCAAACTTTTCGTCATTTTGATCAGTTTCATGCCTTAGTCTTTACACTACATCGCTAGGGTATGTTCGACAAAAACAAGTTATTTTATGGTGCTTAAGTTTTAAGCAAAACCGTATTTCTCATTGACTTTTCCTTTTCTCATTAATGTATTTCGGTTGGATAAAAGTGAAAGCTAAATCAGAATTGTTTTTAATTTGGAACCTACAATTTGATATTTTCAATGTTTTTTCTGATAATAAAAATCATTTCAAAATAATGGATAAAACATTTTAGTAAAGAAGTTTCATGGTTAGAAACAACCAGGGAATAAAACGTTATTTGGAATTCCTCAACTTTTAGAAAAAAGATAAAAGTAAGACAGTTAAAATCCCAGGCTTGTTGTATCAAAACACACAATTGAAAAACATAATCTTTCCAGGTCTATTTTACCAATAAATGTTCAACTACCAAATTTAGAATGTGCAAATATTAATCCAGCTTCTTTCAAAAAAATTATGTATTAGGCTCTCACATTCTAAGAAAATCCTATATTTATACCTTGAGATACAAATGATGCAAACATATACGAGGAATAAATGTTCTAATATTGAAATCAACCTTGCATTTCAAAAAATTAACCTGAAATATATTGCAAGATCAATAATATTTACTCCAAAAAAATTAGAAAGATCATATTTTATGTCGATACTTGATTTTATTATATATTGTTGCAAAATAAAAATGTTGTTGATAAGATTTTTGACTAAAATTTTGATAAAATTTAAACATCATCCAGGATTATTTTGGATAATCATTTAGCTTTCTATGAATTGTAAGAATATTGTATATACATGTCATATTCAAATATCTACATTATTTTTTTAACATCAAGATGCAATATTTGTTTATATTATCAAGTTATCATAAAATGAAATCAAGCATTTTTTTCTTCTAAATATAAATCAGTTATGAATATAATTATATTTATTGAAATAAATGTTACTAAAATTATTTTCAGTTAGCTTCAAATTTCAGAAAAACATGACAAGGATTAAACGCTAATTTTTATTCAAAATATGTGTCCGATTTAATCATTAAAATCTATTGAATATTTTTAATTTGTTTGAATTGAGGTTTCTGATAAATGTACTAAATTCATGTTATGAGATTATACTCTAATTTTTCCATCACAAGTACTGTAATTTTTGTCTTATGATTGAATTTTTTTTTTTTTACATTTCTATGACCTTTTAATAGCATAAACTTTTGGATTTTATTATTTCATGCTTTGAAGTGTGTGGATTGAAAGGTTCTTCAAATTTGAAGTTCATGATTGTAAATTTTCAAAATATCTACATATCAGTATTAATTTTTTGAATAAATTTTAAAATTTTGTAAATAATTTTGTATTTGATAACTTTAAGTCAAATTTTGTTTGAAAAAGTGTGATTTCATTTTTGGATTGCTTGGGTTTGTTTATTTTATCATCTACTGTAAAACTATTGTGATATTTCATCAATATGAAATTTGATACGAAAATAAATTAAAAAGTAATTATCTAATTTAAAAAAATAATTAAAAAAATCTGTCTTTACTTAATTTTTGTTTTTTGTTAAGTTTTGATACTTAATACGTGTTTCACAATGTATGCTAGATAATGACAGAGTTTAATATATTAAAATTGTGAATAATTTTGTAATTTATATTTTGATTCAAAATCTATAAAATTTTAACTATGTTCAAGTTCATGATTTATTTGTTCAAATATTTATTTAAAATTTTTAATAATAAAATGAAAGAGTTTTGCACTATGTAAATTACTATAAAACCTGGAAGTATTTCAGCACATTTAATGAGATTAAGTTAGGATTCAAATCCATGCATATTTGGTCAAAAACTGATCCAAAGAAAGCTAGTTAAAACAAAAATCAGCTAATCTCTATTTTGCAAATTTGAACGTCTTAAAAATTTTATGATAGACTTTATTTAATAGTAGGTGACACTGATTGAGGTCATAAAACCATCATCTTTGATGTAAACATGTACTTGAATTGATGACACATGCAAATGAGTTTACTACATTATATAGTTTAGTCTAAAATTCCAAGGATCACTACAGTGTCCAAAAGTAGTGATACAGTGCAAAAACATTAGGGTATATATACCCAACATCTGCGACCAACCTAGCTATAAATAACCAGAACTTGAGTCTACTCCTTAATCGGAGTTAATATTAACAATCTCCTCATTAACTCATGTTAAAAATACAATAATATCTCTAATCTATATTATTACTCCGCGACAAATACTAGATAAAAACCTAACACAAGGCTACTCTTTACACAATGATTAACTAGATTTAAGCCGAAACCATAACATGAAAGAGTAATATATAAAAGTATAACTAAAAAGGTGTTAGTATAGAAAAATCCCAGAAAGAGATAACTGGAGATACTATGCTAGCAAACTTTACGTGTGCTCCTCATGCACAATCTGCATGATATGAAAGTGTCGTGTGAAACTCTCCAAAGTAATAACTTTGATCAACACATGAGCTGGATTGAGTTTAACTTCTATCTTGATTAGCTCAATTGTTTTATCAAACATTGCTTGTTTGATAAAGTGATACATGATGTCAATATGCTTCATTCTACTATTCATGATTTGGTTTGCATCTAAATGTAAAACACTTTGGCTATCACAATGAAGATTGACCACACACTTTGTCAATCATGTCATAATGATAAACCTTTCCAACCAAATAGCTTCTTAATCGCTTTATTACTGCCACATACTCAACTTTTATTGTCGACTGAGCTATGCATTTGTGCAAGATAAATCTTCATTTAATGTTTCATCGCTGAGTGTAAACACTTATTCAGTTGTGGATCTACTTTTATCTAGATGATGTCTGTAATCAGCATCAATGTAGTAGAACAAAGATTTGACATTGTCAAATAAACCATCAAACAATAAGTTATAATCCAAAGTACACTTCAAATATCTCAATATCCATTTCATCCAATGAACTTTTCATGTATTCTACATGTACTTGTTCATCTTGGCCATCACAAGAGCAATATGAGACCTAGTGCACAACATCAAATACACAAGGCTGCTAACAACTTGTTCATAGGGGACATATGCCATTCTTTCCTTCTCAATAACATTGGTAGTACTCTGAGCTGTAGAGAATTTGAAATCTGGTGTCCAAGGAGTTCGTAGTTGTTTAGAATCGGCGATGTTAAATATATAAAGAGTAGGATGAACACATTTTCTCAAAGTCAATCATCATAAGCCATCGTGACTACATGAACTCATCAAATCACGTGATCCACTGCCTAGGAGCTTGATTCAGTCCATACGGTGTTATCAGCATTCTACAAACCAAACTCTCTTGGTTTTTGAACTTAAATCTAACTGGTTGTTTTATGTTGACCTCCTAGATATTGAAAAAAAAAAGTTGTAACTACATACATTTGATTGATAGCAAGACTTAATCGTAGCTACTGCACATACTAGACAAATTATAACGTATTTCGCTACAGATTTTTTGTTGTAGTTCACATCTTTCTCTTGTGTGAAACCTATAACCACAAATCTGGCTTTGAAGATTCTTGCCTTATCATAGTGTAGATTATACTTCAGCTTGTACACTCACTCCGAGTCAATTAGTGTCTGATACTTAGGAATTTCAACCTGCTCTCGAATCTTGTTGTCAATTAGCGACTGCATCTCTCGTTCCATAGCAGCAATTCACACAAGCTTGTTAGTCAAAGCTGGAGCTTCCATGTACGAAGAAGTTGCACCTTCCTTCAAGATTAAGGCCATATCATTTTTATTGTCTATATCAAAATCACGAACTTCGAGGAAGTATGAATTGGTCCATACATCAAACCTTTTAGCGGTACTACTAGCACTATGCGATTTTATAGAAGACATTTTCCATTGATCTTTATTGTCTAGTGTTGTTGCAATGGACTCACCAATAATAACTTCCTCCCCTTGTAATTGTTCCTCAAGAACTTGCTTCACCTAAATGTGTTCCTTCGTTTGACAGATCATTAGTCATATAATGATCAAAATCCTCCATAACATCAATAGTGGATTTTATACATCTAATTCAATATTGTGCTCATTTGATGTGAGAGTAGAAGCATTACAACAAAAAATCTCAAGCAACTCTAATTCGTCATCCGTTTATGTTTCACTTCAAACGGTGTTGGAAATTTGATTGCACTGAGAGTATAAAAGGTTACCAAATAAATTAGAATGTTGACAACTTTAATCCCCAATTCTCATGATAAACTTAATTTGCTTAGCATATTACTCAACTTTTTTAACATTGTTTGGTTAAGATTTTTAGAAACAACGTTGTGTTGTGGAGTTTAAATTGTTGTGAAATAACAAGTAATATCCTCCTCTGTAAAGTAACTCTCAAACTCCTCACAAGTATATTCCCTGTCATTATTTGATCTCAAATATGTCACCTTGTGTCCAGTTTGAGTCTCAAATTGTATGGGTCAACTTTTGAAAGTTGAAAACCTTTTAGACTTGTGGATAAGAAAATAAATCCACACATATCTAGAATAATCATCTAAAAAAACAATACATAGTACCGCTTCTCAGAGAGTGGGACAACATGAAAGGGTAGCTAAATAAAATGCTAAATAAAAACATAGAAAGTTATTGTGCCTAAATAGTTCTGTTGATCATTGTATAACGTTGGATTCACAAGCTATATATAATATAATATTTCAAATATATGAAGTTCAATGACGTAAAATAAATATTTTCTGAAATCATTTAAAATATTGTCATGAATGCAAAAATTCATTTCTGGTATCACAAAAAATAAAAAATGATTGTATTAGTAAAGATGATGTATTAGTTTTTGTAACCAACAGATGATGCCAAAATTGCTATGAGAACTAAATTTACTATATTGATATTCCTCCTTGTACATAACATTAAGAGTAAAACCATTGAGAATAAATACAATGTAGATTCTTGGAGAAGATCTATGAAAAAGAAAAAATATAATGTTTTACTTCTGAATGGATGATAACCAAAGTGGATTGTAAATTGATCCACGAGAAGTCCTTTGGTTGACAACTGTTTTGAATAAATATTTTACTCATTTCAACATTGTTTTTGCAAGATTGACTTACCCCCCAATGAATGTACTACTTTGCCTATATACCTTGAACTTAATGTGTTGGGGGCCTACACTTATTGATACCCATCCAATTTTTTCTATTTGAGAGCTATGAGTCATGGATGTAAATATACTTCACAAGTTGAAATGATGAGAGCAAAAAAGAGTAACACCTTCATTCTCAGAAAGTCTCCAGCCATCAAGGCTAGAATTGCAGTAGGCTCAAGTCACAATACACAACCATGTACAAGTTAGTACCGAGGGAAAGTCATCCACTGAAGAAATATGAAATATCTTAACTTCCGCAAGAACCTGAAATTCGCAATTTAGGTCCATCCAGACACATACATAGTAGCGAGTCGTATCAACTCAAGTAACACTAATGTAGGCTTAAAGCTAATAGTCTATGGGATATCTTCATCTTTACAAGATCTAGGAAGAATGGTATAAAGTTTAACCTCCCAATAGTGACACATACTGGTGTTAGGTTTTCACATCACTATTGGAAGGTTTCACTTAGACGAGGTTGGGTAGCATTTAGCGAATCGTATAGAAGCATTCTTATTGCATGTTTAGCGGATCCGTTATATATTTAGCGAATCATTTTGCGGATAGTATCATTTTTGACGACTTGTCTTTGAATTTAAATATAGTTTTGTCTTTAGTAAGCATAACCTCAGGTCGGCATGGTAACGCAGAGCTATAAATTGTGGAAAGTGATCAAACAGAGTTGGGATCTCCAAAGTAGAATAGAGTTATAAATTGTAGAAAGTGAAATTTTTTTTGTTGCAAATTACAGTTGGAACTGTCACTATGATATAGTATTATGTCACTATTGCCAATAGTGACAATAGTGGTTTTATTGGATAGATTTACAAGTTAAATCTAATGGTTCTTGAATTCTATGTCACTAATAAGAGGTGACACTATTCATAGGTTTAACTCTGTGGATGCGTTAGTTTAACACAATGTCAACGCCCCAAACAACCAAGTTTTCACCTAAAGAGATAAGGGTACATAATCATCGTTAGCAAGGCAAGTATATTGTCCGACGTTTGAGCATGGTTTACTGACCGATAAACGAAGTACTAACACATGCAATGGAGCTCGATGGCATGAGGACGACTAATATTAGAATAGCTGCTGCGTGATGTGGACAAACCTAACGATTCTACGCAATTTCTTCCAACTCAATGAATACAAGTCTGCACATGATTTATGCTCTCTTCAACTGATTCTTTCAGTCCTTTTCTCTGCTGACATGAATTCGTTAAAACAATATACCAATTTCGATTTTCCATTCGATTGGTAGGCTGTCACAACATGTTGTATGAAAAGGTCCGAGAGTGGAGGAATATTCGCTGGTTTCCAAGTCTTCGATGCAGTTACTCATTCGTAGGCCTCTGAGTCTCGTCCCCTGAATGGGTGACGTACCTCTTTCAGAAGTCGGACTGTTCAAGGATGACGATACTGAGTCGCTGTAGTTTCTCCATTTACAGCTGTCAAATTCTCTTCGTGTGTCGTGAAACCAGTTCATGGAACAGATGGGCAGCTTGTTTCTCACTTCAGTGTTAATACTGTTCACCTGCGATAAGTGAGAAGGCGCATGTTAAATACTTTGATTACGCTCTTGGTTCTCGGATAAAGCGTTGGAGGTGATATTGGAGCCGCCAAATGGTTTCATTTGTCCAGGCTACAGTGACGAGGGTAATGGAAGGTGCTCAGTGATGACAGGTTCATGCTAGTGGCAATACAAGTTATTTCGGTTTGGTTTCAGTTATTAGGTCTGGATCTGGGTTCACAAATCTCAACACTTGTTTGTGAGTATCTTGCCTGTCATCGACAACGAGATCTGAGGCCCGCAAAAGCTGACAAGGTCTCCTTGAACTCGGGATTCAGAAAGTACTTAGTTGGCGTCCAGTGGCCACAGGTTAAATTGCTTAACTGTTCAACTGCATCTGCGTGTAGAGATAAAACTTCTCTGCAGACAGATCCACATTCCATTTGCCCAGAAAGCATGTTGGCTCCCGGTTAGCCCCTTCTGAATGTGTAACTTGGAACTTCTCAGTACCAACCTGGGCGGATTGAAGAAGACGTTAATGTCATCTTTGAGACAGGTTCCCAGGCCCCCTCGATTTTGGTTTCCAACGTGTCGGTAGAAATATTTGCAAGGCTTCAGGCTCATTCTTAGCTTCAGGCTCCTCTTCAACATGTGTGCACAGAAGCCCACTGCACAGCTAGTCGACATGCTATTAAAAAAACATGTATCGTTTCCTGCTATCAATGTCTCTAAGTAAAAGGCTAAGAAAAACATGTTCGCCAGATCTGACCTCCTCATATCATCACTCTAATCCTGGAGGATTTCACATGTATAAGATTCGTTAAGAGTAAAAATTTTGCACGGCCACGTGACTCGGAATAGATGAAATAAGATCTACAAAGGAGCTAAGTCGGCCTCCTGAACAACCGGAAGTGAAATCAAGAGAGATCGCCTAATCAGCCAGAAGACTTCGAGGTGCGTCATGAGCACTAAATAGGCAATCAAAATTGGTAGTAAATTTTTTTCCATGAACCGTACAGAGTGAATATGCCCATTTACCCTAACCTCAAGGCGTTACTCACTTAAGTGCTGCGTCTCCGGGAGATGCTTTTTGTCTTCCATCGGGGACAGCAATGAGAACAATGGGTTTGGAGGAGCGGAAATAAGGCACATCACAGATAAAATAGCCCTTCCTCTCTAGTTGAATAATCTCCCCCTTCTTCAAATTTCTCATGTTCGCATCTCCAATAGCCTCGATCTCCCATCTCGTTTTGGGGTTTAATACTGACAAGAAGTCCTCGCCTTCTTCCAGCTGCACGATGTACCACAAAAATTCCACAAAATAAGCACATGTATTTTGGACACCTTTGGAAAAGGTACGAGGCAAAGTTTAAATTAAGATTGAACTAGGTTTTGGAATTTGCTGAGAGCTTATTGTTCAGCCTGGGAGTGGTAAAGGAGCATTTGGCCTGTAAGTCCCATGCATAATCATGTAAACTCTTTCAGCTTATAAGATACTGAGTTAAAAAAAGCAGACTATTAAGACGATGCATTTACTAATTGCATACCTTTTTCTTGGTGATCATGTAGTCCAACTCAACAAGAGATAAAGGAACGAGCTCAGTAATCTCCGGCAACCATGTAAGCTTCAGTTTCGTGGTTTTGACGGAACCCTCCAGATGAAGAACTCCACTCATGCCTAAAACTTTGCCATCTTCGTCCTTTTCCACATTCTGCACGATGGCATTGCCCCAATCCATTAAAGTAACTTCCTCCCCGTTTGAAATACACGCAGCATCGACTTGATCCAGCCACACTCTTTTCGTGAACGTTGTAGCTTTCTTTCCAGCAGCAGGGTACTTTTTATGCCTGTCGAGAACTCGTACAAATGAAGGCTCGGGGCCATTTGTCAAATCCAGAAGAACTTTCCCCTCTGAGAGGACTGCTGTATGGCGAGGGCACACAGGGTCGATAATCTTCTTGTTGATCGTCCACAATTTGTCCCATTCCATAAGATTCAAATTCTTAGATGCTCCCTGTAGAAAAGCAGAAGAAACAACGAGAAGGTTCGGAATACATTACTAAAAGACATTGTATTAAGTCACACACGGAGAAGCTCCGAGATCTACTGAATATGCAAAGAGGATCTAAAACTCCAGAAACCCGAAACACTAAACATACATTATAACGATGGAATTCAGCTCGCCATGAGGCAGATAAAGACAAGATGCTAGAAACAATAAAAAAATGTAAAAGTAGCTAATAGAGAAAGCTTAACCTGATTTTCAAGCTGACATCTCTCAATAACCCATTCTCAACGGGACATATTAACAGCTAGCTGCTGTTCGTAAAGAACCTCGTGGCGTAATTGCTTGTTGCTTGTAAAGACTTCAAAGATACGGTATCATGAAGAGAGAACATGATCTCACCTGGGATAGAATAAATTGCTTCAGAGCCTCCACGGTCAACCCTCTCCTTTGAATACCACGCACTGTGGGGAAGCGAGGATCATCCCAACCCTCAACCCACCCATTGTCGACGAACCACTGTAACTTACGTTTACTGAGGAGAGTGTAAACAAAGTTCAATCTACTGAAATCCCAAACGTGAACTTTCTTCAAACCCATTTCTTCCAAAATTCTGTAGTACTGGTCATTTCTGTCATGATACTCGCTGGAACGAAGGGCATGAGTTACACCCTCCACACTGTCAACGTAAGGGCAGGCAAAATCGTACGTAGGGTACACTTTGTACTTCGTCCCAACGCGATGATGGGGAGTTGGGTTGCATCTGTAATAGACGGGGTCCCGAAGAGTCTTGTTTAAAGCCTGCATATCTAGCTTGCCTCGGACACAGTAAAGACGCCCTTTCTCACTTCCCGCAATCATCTCCTTCCAAAGTGCGAGATTCTCCTCCACAGAAACATTTCTGCACTTGGACTCAATGCCATCCATTCTTTCCTTCTGCATTTGCTCTCGTGGGGTATCATCCACATAAGCTTTGCCTTCTTTTATCAACCTCTCTGCCATTTCCATTAATTGCTCGAAGTAGTCTGATGTGTACGTCAAAGCGTCCCCCTTCACCCCTAACGTATCCAGATCCTGGAGAATCGTCTCCACAAACTCGTCCTTCTCCTTAGAGGGGTTTGTATCATCAAACCGAATAATTAATCGACCCTTGTACTTCTGAGCAAAATGCTGGTTCAAAAGAGCAGCCTTGGCATGTCCGATGTGCAAGTAACCGCTCGGCTCCGGGGGAAACCGTGTGCAAACCTTGCCCATTTCCGCATCAGGCAACTCAACATCAAAGGAGCCCTCCGATGAGACACTAACCTCTGAGCTACTTGCTGATTTGTCCTTTTTAGAAGCAGCTGCCTTCGCGCTAGGTGCTGGAGCGCCGAACTTCTTGGGAGCTCCAGTCAGATTCTTAAGAGATGGGTACTCGTTCGCTATGGAAGTATACCATCTTGCCAAGTGTGGATACTTTGTACCAGATCGCATGCTATCCCATCTTCGTCCAGCGCCTGTTAGAGAGCGACTCATTAAAACACGGCAATTAATGGGAAGATTGCAAAGCTTACCACTTTTCGACATCTGCAATACGAATGAACGTTCATGTGGCACAGGCCGGTCGGTACCCTTCACGATTCGTTGGATGATGTAGTTAGAAAACTAATAATTTCGACCCAGGACAAAGTGGTAAGGACACTTTGTGTGTTGCGAAACATCTCGTGAGTTTGAAAACTTTCATAAGTTCAATAATCACAGAAATTCTAGAAGGGCATCCAGAGTCAACTAGTAGGCGGTAGCTGGAGTTATTAGGTATATTCAGCTGGAGGACATCTGAGCTCCAGCTTAACAGACAGATAAATCCAGCTGCAAATACTTTTCTCACTTACGTCAGTCCGATCTACTGAGGAATGTTGGTGTCCAGTGAGTACTGGACAATTCCAAGGAGCGAGACCGGCTCTCTGGAAAAATTTGCAGGATTGACCGCATTTTAGGCCAGAAGAGAAGACGAGGAGGTGTTGAAATTGACGAATTCAGATTAGTTCACCAAGACTATGTTATCCGATGTATCATATCTGTATGACACTGTAGTGGCATCTTGTAAATGGGTTTAGGAACGGAAATTAGAGTACGAATTTACCTGCAAGGGCTGCCCAAATGACCACATCGGCGATGCTGACATCGTAGCCAACGAGAAAGGTGCGGAGTTCCAAGAAGCTATTCGTGTAAGCGCATGCTTTCTCAAACTCGGCTCCAACGGAGAAGATCGGGGAGTAGTCAATCCATTCATCGACCTGCAAGTGCAAGAAACTCCAGTCACAATAGATCAATAATTTATTTCATGCTTTCATCGATCTTTAAACACAATTAACGACTCGAAAATACTTCACATTGTTTTGAATTTGGGAAAAAAGCACCTATTGACCTGTGCAGTGGTGAGGGAATCGACGCCATAGAATCCAGTGAGCTTGCTCACTCGCCCAATATACCTGAGAGCAGTGTTCGCGCCTCGGAGCTCCTCTCTGCTCGTCAGAGGCAATGTCAGATCAAAAGCCAAGCCAAGCCAAGCGTAATGCACGCCTTACTGCCATAAGAAGATACACAAAAAATTCAAGAACAACACTTACCCGGAAGGCAGGGCAAGAACGGGGAGTGAAGAAGGGGGAAGCGATGGCTGCGCAGAAATTTGAAATCCCCCGACAGCTGCAGCAGCAAGAATTGGCAATGCCACAAGATCCGGTGGGTAAGAAAGCGTCGCCGCCATGATTCGATTCGTACCCTGTAATTCTAATTCCAAATCTCTATCGTCGACGTCTCACACCTTCCCCGCAGATCTTTGGCCCTAAGAGCGACAATAATTATGTCAACGCCCTCCAAGCCATGTATCTAACCTCGATAATCCTCCAGCTACAGAAATTCAGGCACCTCAGTTCTCGTGCTCCCAATCGACAGTACTTCCGAGAAAGTACTGAAATCGCACTGCCAGCGATCCGGTCAGCGCGACCTAAGCTGACGAGACCACTCTCCAGCGACCCCTACAAATCCATCCGATCATCGCACCACCGCTCACTCATTCAGACATACATCCTGCCCCGTAGCGACATTGTCAACAACCTCTGGCCGCGAGCATCCACGGCACCCGCAGATGATTCGGAAGTCGTCCTGTCAGTGATGGCCTCTGCTGCAAGGTTTAGCAAAACCCTTGAGATCTGAAGAACTCACAAGACGTGAAACACGGTGCAGGTCCTCGACCTCGTCTTCATCCTCGTCGTTGTCGTCCGAACCCTACAGCCGCGGGGAGGCATTTACCATGGAGCCATGTTTCACTGGTACATGGTACGCAGTCCAGTCGCGCTCGAAGTAACTCGCAGGATTGGCTGACGACGTCAACCTGGTTGATTGCTGCTGACGGGATGCGGCGGGATGGATGGTGACTGTGAACCGCGTGTTCGCAAATGCGGACTTGACGAGGTGTACTGTGCCGCAAACTTCTTGCGGGAGGAAGCTCCTCTTGCGAGTATGAGTGTAGTTCTTCTCTGCTTTCCCATAAGAAACCGTATGAAGGCTTGCTCTGAATTCTTCATCATATTCCAGATCGCTTCCGAATTCGCTATTCATGTGATAAAAGTGTATAATGTAAATGGAAATTTTATATAGATTGATGTGACTGTTTTTTTTAATCTAAATTGTTTACACTAAAATAAGACATTTAAGTTGAATGTTTTTTATGCAATGAACACTACGGATGATGGCAATTTGTAAAGATTGATGTTAATGCTTTTGCTATTCTCATTTATCAATACTAAAGAATTTTATTCGGGTATGATGTTTCTTCTTTGAGTGCCTCTATCCATTGAGACTCGCTGGAAATATTCCAGATTGATATAGGTGTAGACAATTTTGTCTTTGGAATGATCGGCATGTAGTACTCGGCAAGGTAAATGTTTAATGGGTAATAAAATGTTCTCTATCTTTACTCTATACTTCTCTTATAACAATGTACATGTTTTACACATATCTTTACTTTACCTGTTAGTCTTATTTTTACCCCAATAAGATAAAAAAATACAAAAGTTAAATTGTCAAAACAATTTTCACTATGTTTATTAGGTAACCTTTTAGTTCAAGTTGGATTCAAAGATAGTATTTTTGAATTGGCTGTTGAACATCTGACGTTATTATCAAGAACTTACTGGTACCAATCGTATTGTTAAATCTCCAACTGGTTGATAACGTCTTCAATCTTATCGGTTATATTCTCTTTGTTACAGGACCTGATTGCCGCAGCTACTGCCGCTTGGTTTGCCGACACTTTGAGTATTTTGCATACATCCATGAGCGTAGACACATTGTCATGATGAACACCAATGACGATTAGTAACGCGAGGAGCTGATAGACTCGCAATTAGTGACTCTAATGACACGCTCAGATGGCGTTGACGTCATCGGCGTCCCAAGATAATCCATGGCCATACGATTGTGGACAGACATGGTTTCCATGCGGGCTGATCATCAATACAAGATGTTAATAAAACCTTTACACTAGATGACGCCAATTGATAGAAATTGATATACTTCATCGCGCTATTATTGTCGTCTGGTTGAAACATGGTCTTGAAAATCGTATTGGTCAGCTTCAAATTCAACAATCAAATTGAGAGACTGGAACTGGGCCGAGAGGCAATGCTGATTGAATGAGATTTGAATGAATGTTGAAATCAAATTTATTCATTTGAATGGATGGAATGAGATTTGTCAACTTCTTCAACTACACAAATGCAGATGGTTTTTTATGTCCGCAAGTTGAGGTAGTGTGCAACTATGGCAAGTTCTAGCACCAGCAATGTTTCATATTTTTTGATCTTTTTGCATTTCGTTATAGTAATCCTGGGATCAATTGTAAATGGCTGCATCTCATTTGTTTTGCAATGCTTCACAAAATGAGCAATGAATTGAGGTTGTAAATCAAGCGTTAGGCTACGGTCTGCGGCAATGTTTTGCATGACATGACATGATGCACACATGAAGGAAGCCACACCGTTGATCATCTTCCATTGATCATCATTGAGAGGAGGCGACTAATGTCACTTGCAAACTGCTCTATGATACTATCAATGACAACACATTTATTAAAAACATAGATACTCATTTCATACATTGAAATATCATGATATGTCGGCTCCTTGTTGCTAAGGTTGGCGGCCGCGGCCTCCAAGCAATACTGTTGCAGCATCACCTCACTACGACAAATCTTGACGAGTGTATCGCATAATGCCTCCATTGAAATCTTTGTGAAACTAAGAACTTTGACAACAACAAAAAGTTGAATCAAATGCTCGGTCAACGCATGTGATTGCAGTTGGACATCTGTTTACAGCTAACTAATGCATTGATCAGCTGAAAAAAACGCTTTATTGCAGCGACAACATCCAAGTCATTGTTGCTAATTAGGTTCAACAATTGCATAAGGACATCGATGCCAATAACCTTCAAATGTTCAAAAAGTACAATTTTGATGCGTCGGTTGACGCCAGTGCCCATACTCATTGATGAAAGCGCTTTAAAGTCAACTCAATGTGCGTTAATCACATAGAGGCCCTTGAGATTTCAATTTGACCCGCGATCCAATGTAAGAGAGAAGTCAACACTCAATTTGCTTAAGAACAATGCCAACATCAATAGCAACATGCGATAGAGCTCCATAATATTGCTTCAAAATCATTTGTCATTGACTATGGCTCATTATCATTTGTGAGCATGAATGTCATCATCTTGAATTGTTTGTCGCTAAAATCGCGTTGGATCACGTCACCGTTGATGATGTAGTCTACTACGACATTTTCATACTTCTGTAGTGCTGGTTCCAAGAATATGGGTTTGACGTTCATGGACTACGTCAAACACTTGACGAGCGTTTTGGAGGAAGATGTTTTGATACCTTTGACTCCATGAGCTGATTTCAAATATGACATATTGATTTTCTGGGAGTATCATTTTTTGCACAAAGTGCATATGTGTTTATTCTACTTCTTTGAAGAATTGTCCAATTGACTATTGTTGACATACATCCACAAAAAATTGAGACTCCATCGCTTATCTTTGGAGTTGTTTGAGGTTACCACCAAGATAATTTCTGCAAAGTTGCTATTTTTCTCTTTCTTATCGCCGTCAAACTCGACAACGCTGGTAAAAATAATTAATGTCAGCATCGTCCATCTAGATTATTGATCACTAATCGCGGTCAGATCAATATGTTCACTTTACTAGGGCGGCGTAGTTAACAAAGTTAACAAAAGCCGCCAATACACAAGCACGTAAGTAATCAAGCCGCTAAATTATCGGGTAATAATCTTGATAAGGTGTTAAGTAAATTGACACTACCTTTGCTCTACCCTCTATCTTACCCATTGGTCATCTTTACATAGTTATCCGTGACGTTTAAGTTTTTACTTGTGGATAAATAGTATTGTACTTTAGGCCTAGGCCTCTAGGTTTAAGCCCTAGAGGGGAAAAATTCCATAGAACCTCGAAGCTAGTCTTCCAAAGGTGATACACCAATGTCAAATTTCCAAACTTCATTCAAATTATTAATAGATACGGAAGAAACGGTATTTAAAAATAAATAAATTTAAACAACAGAATCTTATGTTACTCTATTCAAAATTTCAGAAAAGGAACTATATAAAAACAAAACTGATGTTATTACAGAATGAAGCATGAGTATTTTAATTGAAAGATAATGTAGAGAAAATCTTACTTTAGATTCTACTAAAAAAATTGTCACGTTGTATAATATGGATAGTCTTTCCCTATCTCTGATCCCATGGCTCAGTGCCAAATCACGTCTTACACCAAGAGACATTAAAAATCACGGGCCGACGTTCAGAACCCGATGCACACCCCGGAAATAGCAAACACTAGAGCTCGAAACACGGACGGACGGCGATCTCTCGGTCGAGAGAGATGCGAGAACGCGGAAGCCGTGCCCACGTGGCAGACTCGACGCGGACAAGTACCTCGGCTCGCAATAACACTCCACAAAACGGTAGGGATTCTGGGGGCTTGCAGGCGCCACGTGGCACGCAAGAGATCGTGCTGCACAGGACGTAAGTCCGGCGGCACAACCTCTCGGGTTCCGGCACAGGATGAACTCACGGAACGCGGTTCTAGAAACTTCTCACGCAAAAAATTGATTCTTATTTTAATGTAATGCTTGACACTTTATCAACAACGTATATTATTATCTAATTAATTTCTTAAATATAGTCAATAGTAAATCCCATGAACTATCAAAGTAAAATCTTCATTGAGAAGATATATTCTTACAATTTTTTTTCAATATTTATTTTCTACCTCTATTTGTTCTATTTTAAATTCTTAAAAAATGTTTGTGACAAAAATTATTTGCTATAATTTGACACGTAGTCTTTAGTTTTGATTAAAATATTATAATTAGGAGAATATTATTTATTAGAAATAAGACATTGTCACATATCATTTTTCCATCTGGATATAATAAGCAACATTTTAAATTTGTTATTGAGATCCAAATATGGTATTGGAAATGTTCAAATTTATAGACTCAACTTGTCGGTTTAAAGCTAATATTTATTAAACACCGCGACCCCCACTCTACCCGTGCGCGGTCACACGCCAGCCGAACGCAGTCCCGAATCTGCATCAGCGTATGGAAGAAGAGCACAGAGGAAGAGGGCAGTGGTCGCGGTCGTGGTCAGGACAGAACGGAGTTAGAGACGGGAATGGGATCGGGCCCGGGGCCAATGTAGATAAGGCGAAGGCGACGGTGTACAAATGGTTGGTTAAGGACTGGGGGCCGCGGGGCCGCGGGGAGGCATAGAAGGCAGCGGCGGGCGCAGCGCAGAGTCTAGACTTCCTTCGGCCATTTCTCGCTCTTTGTACAGGCATTCTCTCTCGTCGCGCTCGTCCTGACGAGAGCAATTTGTTCGTCGCATCGGGGCAAGGGTTGCTGTCATTCCTCCAGCTTCAGCCATGGCGTGTTTGACATCGGCCGGAGCTCTGTGCTCGTCCGTCCTCGCGGCTCCCTCGGCCGTGAGCTGCATCTCCAAGTCGTCCACTGCGAAATTCCGCGTGGCTCCCATCGCCGTGAAGCCTCTGTCTCGAAGGTGTTCCACATTCGTCGTCAGGGCCAGCTCGCCCAACTCTGCCGGTGAGGCTTTATTTCTCGTGTTTTTTCTGTCTCGGTGCCCGTAGAATTGAACTTGTTTCTTGTCGTTGCTTTCGAGGATGTTTCTGGGCGTTACCCGTTAAATTGCTCTGTAGGTGCGTTTAGGTGCAGTCGCTTCGCTGTCGTGGAAATCTGTCACAGAAATAATGCCTCCGTCTTTTTTTTGCACTTTTCTCGCTCTCTCCGAATTTTAGATCATGAAGTCTTCTTTGAAGCCCATTCGTCTTCATATTCTTTCCTGTTTCCAGTGACATGACATGAATTGGCTTTATCCTAGCGAGACCTTGTCGTTCCCGATCCTTTTTCTCAATGCTGGGTCGAGGGCATGGATTGTGTTCCAAGGGACGACGAACTATTTTTAACGTGGTCGCGCGTTGTGTCAGCAGATGACCTTCAAGCAAAGGTCGCCGAGAGCATCAAGGCTGCCACAGAAGTCTGCAAAGGAAATGAGACATCTGAGGAGTGCGTTGTAGCCTGGGACGAAACCGAGGAGCTGTCCGCCGCTTACGCCGACAAGAAGCGCAAGGCCAAAGCCGATCCCCTGGAGACGTACTGCGCTGACAACCCTGAGACTGACGAATGCCGAGTGTACGAAGATTGAGATGCAATCTCGACTCTTTTGCAATCCAACTCCCTCCGCGGTAAGAGTTTTTTTTCTGAGGCTTCCAGATTTCGTTGCTTACATTTCTCATGAGAGTCCCGAGCCTAGATTGAATTGCTTCACTCTCTCATCCCTACATCGAGATGAAAAAAAGTCTTGTATCCATAGGCCCGCAGCGAATTGATTTGTCACCTACATTTCAAAAGCCATGTGGATATACTTTTCCCCTATATGGTTCAATGATTGTCATCACTCTGAACATCGAGTGGCGTATGGTTCTTATAAGTAGCATTTTTTACCTTTCTTTTAATATGCTTAAAGATTTGTAGGATCACTGGTCTGTCTTTCTGATACGTACCCTCTTGTTCACTTGCAGACATTTGTGCAGGGAGTAGTGTATTAGTAAAATTAGACGCAAGATGGACGTAATGACGAGTCTGTGTGCGAACTGTGCCCCGAAGGATACCGTACGGATGTCTGTGAAATCAAAGAAGAGTTCACTGTAGAGATAGAGAACAAAGTTGTTCTGTTGTTCTGTGCTAGTACTTTAATACACTAGCTCTCAAGTGCTCTGGCTTACTTTCCGGTCAAGCGTTTCGTGACGGAAACAACGACATTATGTTAACTGTCTTTTTTTGTACAATCATAGTTCTTCACCCTTTTTAAAAATTGAATTACAGTTCTATAATGTCTATAACCTTATGACGTATCTATCTCCTTCGGCAAGTGTGGAATGCGAAATCACGCCATACAAGAGATGGTTTTGTTGATTATACCCGTGTGCAAGAGGTCTACCTGTTCGCTGCGGTGTTTTAGAATACGTTTCATCTTTTCGAAACTTCAAATAGATTGAAAGAATGATCTTCGAAGGTTCTTGTTTGCTAGTCTTCGAAATATCGGAATCTGTTTTATAGCAGTTAGTGGAATATAACACTGGTTAAGAAATTCTGATCTCACCGATGAAACTACTGTACCTTTACCTATTACTCTTATGTGTGGTTTGTCACGCTATGTATCTGTCGAACAGATGCGGGAGGAGTATATTTACCCTCGAAAGGTATAGCATATAAAGGATAGTAAATATTTATATAGGCGGGAAGGCTTTACCAAATGGGGATATGGAAGAAGAAAACCGTGTTACGGAGGGTGGAAACTTACAGCTTGGTGAAACGATAGGAGGAAAAGGCCTGATCATCATCACACAATTCGCAATCCACTCTTTCTGAAGTATGTGGAATATGATCGTTCTATACAAAATATCTACCTGACATAGCAAGTGGACTGGATGTTGGTCAAAAGCGATAAAACGTGAGTACGTATTCTACTCTTGGAGAGTGGAAGACGCTTCATGTGCACCGTCGTCATATCTTACCACAGAAAACATCAGCACCGGAAAGATGGGTAGTGTGAGGAATGTGGAATACGTGGTGGCGCAGCCACTGCAGCTACCGTCGACCTTGTCCGCTAGACTCTTGATTTTGTAACTAACGTAGACATCCACTTGTCTATTGCACTTTGTAATACCACCCCAGTGGTCAATACACCAATCCAATAGACTGTCTCAGCCGATGAATGTTAAAATCCGAACATTCGTAGGTCGGAGAGAACGCGAGCGGACCGATCACTAAAATCGAAGCGGCGCTGCCTATGGACCTGACATCATAATACTCAGAACCTTTTGCATCAAAGCGCTGCATGAAAAGCGCGATTACGAACATTCTCCAACTGCTCAAATAGAATTAATACTCCACAAATGCCCGGGAATAACACCCCTCTCTATGGTTTAAAGAATAAAACTCACCATTTGGACAAAGTTCCTACTTCTAAAACAATCCTGTGTACTACACTGTCACTCGTCCTCGATCCTGGTACTCAATCGAAATCTAAACGTCGCTTACTTCTGACACACGCAAGCTTAGAATTCTCAATTTTCTAGTCTCAGTTGCTGATCCGGCGTCTGGTCGACTGCGGAAGGATGTTCGACGTACAGCTCGACGTCCAAAGCATCGCTTGTCATGGATTTGATGGGCGTGATCTCGGCTGGCTCCTGCCACTGCTTAGAATCAGCTGATATCCACAAGCGCCCCTTGTCGCTGGCATCTCCTGGAAGTAGCTTCGAGTATGCGATGATCTCGAACGTGCAATCTGCAAGACCCACAACCATCAAACACAGTCACAGCTTACACGGCAGAACTGACATCCAGCTGTGATCACAGCATTGTTGGAGATTATAGAAGTACGCGGTCGTCCTCCGAAACTGCATCCGTGCAAAATGCACACCGAGGTTAAAACATGCCTACGCAAATTCGCCTCGCTGCCATTACCGAGAGTAGGCGACAAGGTGTGCAAGCTGGAAAGAATCGCTCGCACGAAGCTCATTCTGTGGTGTAAGCTCAGGGAATGTCCACATGCAAAGTTTTGGACTAGAGGTGAACCAGGTAAAAGACCTTGTGGGAGAGGTCGCAAGAGTGGTTCCGACACGGAGAGCTTGATCAAGAAGGTTCGCAGTGAGTACTCGATGTCGTTGACTGGCAACGATGCCGCGAAGTTTTGGTTCACATTCAGTTTGAAGACGAATCTCTCGACGGGTGTTTGATTGCTGTCAAAGAACACCACCGCCACTTTCTCTACAATGCCCTGCGTACGCACGAACGGGTAACCTAAGCAAGGATCGAGAATCGAGAACACAAGAGAGCAGTATTTAGAAACTTCTTGCCTGGGCTTCTCCGTGACAAGGACGAGCAATTTTGCACAGGAATTTGTCTTTCATAAAATTGGGGGTGATTCGTACTTGCTGAATCCAGGAGTGCAGGCTTGTGAGAGCAGAATGTATGTGATCGCGCAACTCTGCGTGCCGAATCCATTGCACGGGCACATTCAAGTGGCGACGCCTTTCAAATATTTCTGCAATAGGCAAGACCGATTCTTACTGAACACTGCCGAGAAAAAGCTTCCGCAAGAGGCTTATCGAAAGTTTCCGTCTTACAGAGACAGCGATTCCGAATCATGGACATGACCACGAGATCAATCACGTCCGCATTCACCTGCAGGATATAATTTCCGGATACTGAGCAGGAGGGTGACGGCGACTTCCAAAAACTCACAAAGGAGGTCCGTGACTTCTCCTGCGAAAGCAACCACAGATTTCGTGTAAATTGACAAATCCTAAGAGAACAAATTCGTTCTTAGATCTTCGCAATCGACGAGATACTTGTGACTCTGTTGCAAGCTGGAGTTCTCTCTCAAACCACAAACGTATGCGGCCACGAGAGGAGATCTAACCGGGACTGGCTATGGCAGAAGCTTGACCACGCTCCATGACACTCAACCTTCGATGCAACAAATCCCAACGGACCGACCTCGGTTCTGTGCACCGCCTCAATTGCCCAGCGCATTCCGATCGACAGGGAAATCGAAATCAGATGCTCGCTAAGTCAGATCAGACTGCATTCCTCACAAGCCTCGAGCTGTGCCCGTCTCCCCTCCTTAATTCTTCTTAATTCTTCATTTATGGACACTCTGTTTCTTCTACTTATTTCTTAATCTATCCGGCCCATGTCTCCCAAGTAGGCCTCGGCAACGTAACGATGGCACTTTACATTACCTCTCCTATCTACCTTTACTTCTCCAGGTAAATCTTTTAAGGTGAGAAGGTAAGGATAATAGGGTAGTTTACTAAATTGCAAAATTGTCATGCTGTGGGCTGTATGGGGAATATGTATAAAAACTTACTCTAACATAATGGTTAGGCGTGATGAACCTAAGATTCTTGAAGTATGTCTCACTTGCTCTAGATGCTATAATTTGGTCCCCGATTAAAAAACTAACTATCTCAATGTTTTTTGTTAGAAGCATCATTTAGTGTTGTATTGCATTTCATTCTCTTCTTGTACTCCATCCAGTTCATTCCATCTTCACGGAATGAAAACTCTCCAGATTATCTATGTCGGATTCCCACGCGTGCAAGAGTTTAACCTTTAACTATTTATCTACGCTTTATGCTTTCACGAGATTATGCAGAGCAGTAATTGCGGTTGAAATTACCAAATCGGCTTAAAACTGCATTGTTGTTTTCTGGATCCCGAATTCAGGGAGAATGTGCAGAATTACATTTTGAGAAATTCTGAGAAAATTCACATTTTTGTTTATCGCGGGTATGAGAGTTACCCAGTAATTACCTACCTTTACTTTACGTTACCCTATAGCCAAAACTTTTACCTTTACCTTTTACACTTTCACGGGATAGCGTCAAAAGGTTACGTTACCTTGCCGAGGCATACTCCCAAGTACAACCATTGCAAAGGATTGAACATACTTCACTCTAGGAATACTACACATATTGATGCACATTTTGAGATATTCACGAAGAGTTGAGTAAGAAATTGTTTCTATAGAGATAATTCAGAGATAAACTAATTAGTCTTACGCAATTTAGAGTTTATTGGTACACTGTCATGAACCCCTTTATTGACAACTATTGAATCTTTCATGATGTATGATATTATTCCCTTCATGGTATCAATCCAGGGTGTTTTATTATATGCCGTGATAGATATATCTTCACATACTCTCTTTTCTGCTATTCATTTGGTCGGTATTCTTATAAAGGAACCAAGAAAAATTCCACAGCTGGCTGGAAAATATCATATCGGCGGAAGGAAAGAGCTAATCTCTCTTGATATATATATATATATATATGCCTAGGTCGGTTAGGGCTACCCTCATGTCTCAAACATGAATATAGTCATTTACGGGGATACAACACTTCTATTACAACCATCACCGATCGAAGTAATAGTTCTCAATAGAGCTTTGATGCAACAAAGTTTGCGTGTACTGCAATTCATACGGTTTGAAATAATGTATGTAGTAAGAAAAATATAAAGTATATCACCATAACCATAGAGTTCTGATTCCTTTTTTTAAGAGTCATATATGCTAGACTCTCTTCTTGTATATCCAATACAAGATATTCACACAATTGTTGATACTGGTGATAATATTACTATATTATTTGCTGACATATATGGCAAAAGTGTTTATTATCATATCATTATCCACCACTAGAGCTATTGAGCACATTATCAGCCACAGTAACTGAGCTATATTTACTTTGTAGAAATCAAAACAATCAACTTCTCTCTCAACTTGTTGTCATAACTTACATAGCAACGACTTACTTAATTCGGTATGAGCATGCAATAGCATATTCAGCATTGAGAGTCGAGATTGCAATGAACGATTTCGTACAAAATTGCATTATTAGTAGCTATAAATCAAACTCTGGTCCGTTAGCCCTAGTTCTCATAACAAGGTTGTAGGTCTTCGTGTTAGTTCATGTGCAAACTTCACTAAGTACACACGATTGATTCTAAATTATGTATATGCTATCCATGCATGCATCTACCTGACCAAATTTTATATTATGGATTCCACGAAGACAACTAAAGACGTACCAATATATCACCATGATTCATAAAGTCCATAACTACAAAGATTAGATTAGATCATGATATGAACTAGATGGCTATCTAGTGTATATATTGTATTTGATGTTCGATTATGGTGATGTTAAATGTGGAAAGTATGTATATTTATAAATATATATATATATATATATATATATATCATGCATTGACAAGTTCCTAGACATGTAAATATTATCACATTTAGTTGTTTAGTATTTAGGCGGAAGTTGCTTCATAAATTTCCAATTCAAACACACTCGCAATATTCTCACTAGATATTCTCTTCTCGCGGCGTATTGGTCTATCGTTTGCCACGTATAGTTTCAGACGACTCAATTATCTTTGGTTATCATTCCTAGTCTCATATAAATTAACGCGCAAACCTTGGCCTCTGCATTTGTGAGAATTCCAAACCAGTCATACTCAATTTAGATGTTTTATCTTGCAGACAGAAATTTGATATGTACATTTACGAAATTTCCACAACCAACCCCACCAAAATACTGTAGGTAAACTTCATGAAGAATAATAACGAAACCATCCAAATAGCCTCATGCAACACCGTAAGAGACAATGGTCTTCTTGACAACACGCCCTTTAATTGCCATTGGAAAATCTATAGCTGTTCAACTAATCTAGTCTCTCCATCTTGGAAAGGACTAACAAGTACAATTTACAATTAAGGGCAGCATAATTTTTTGGACCCAGCATTGTGGCCTTTCACCTTTTCTTTCCAGTTTGCAATGCTGCAAACATATGACTACACTTACTTTACAGCTGCTAACCATACACTAGAAGCCTGAAAATTGCTAGATATATCAAAACCGTTTACATTATAGTCGCAGCATTTGAATGGAAGCTTGAATAAGGAATGTGTGGTATCGTTCATTGTTTTTGTTTAACATGAATTACTATATTCAATCGATGGAATATAATATCTTTTTCTGCGCTTATGCTTTGCGTATATATAAATGCAAACGTGCAAGTACAAATTGCTCAGAAATCTTCCTGTCATTTTTTCCCTGCAGTTATGTCATTGATATTGAAAAAGCGAAAATGAAATACTTTTATTATTTTCTGCCCTTGCGCCTCTATAAGCGTATTCTTTATGGGCAATAACAGTAAGATGTATCATGACAGTCGGATTTGTCAACTCAAGAAACCCGAAAAAGAGTTTAGGATAATTAACAGAACTTATTCATAAATATGCTTTTGGCGGCCTCCAGTGGGGACTCCTTTCCGCCACAAGTTTTACCAACTGGTCGAAGCAGGCAATGAGAAAAGATCACTTGCTTAATCAGCATTCATGTAGTTCACAAAAATGACTAAGAAAAAGCCAGGAAATTAATCCAGAAAATACTGGATCAAACTTAAGCAGGGTTTGGCAATTGACAGTAACATCCTATTGTCCACATCAAATTGCACCACTTGCTCTCTACATAAAAGCTAGACCCTGAGTAGATAGGTAGAGATATCCCAAAAGATTCTGCAAGTAAATGTCCTTGCACACAAACTGTCGTGTATTGTTCGAAGGTTTCAAGGAAGTAGCAAGTTAGATATGTACAAATATGACGTGAACTCGACTATGAGTGGGAGCATTTGGTGTTTGGCATGATTAGCGTGTACACTCACCATGAAAACACAATTTGCTGAGTTTTTATGAAAATATATCACCACTGATAATAACACATCCTTTGTCCACTCCAATGGAGAAACTGGATAAGCTGCAAGCTTCCTAACAAGCTCAAGCCCGATATACAATCAAAAATTTCAATCAGCAGAAGTCAGCTACTCTATCGAACCCAATTGACGAAATTTTTGGAAACCCCACATTCAAATAAGACTTCAGTCATCATCAGATAAAGCAGCTGGCAGAAAGAAACGAGACCAAAAATGTGTTTCAGTGCCGTAAGAATGCTCTGACAAACTCATTCAGTGAAGGAAACCTTCTTGTTGATACAGTACTTGATGAATTTCGATGAGCAACATTCAGCAGAATGTCAAAAAATCTATTTATCCAGTAAACTTGACACATCCTAACAATTTTTTCATTCGGCCGCCACTAAGGTATGATACATCATGTAACCTCTTCACCTCAAAATGGACCTGCCTTTCAAAACTCCTGCCTTCTCTGCATATGAGAAAGCACAAGTCAACAAGTAATCGACTTGCTGACTTGGCCGCATAAGGCTGGCTCTCATACATTCCGCTACAAAAGTTTTTTTTAAAAGAGCAAGACTAATCACCTGATGCGACCTCTTTTATGTGGCCTAACATTGAGGCATCTGACATTGCTGGAGAGAATGGACATCAGGGAAAAATTAGGAAGACGGGGAAGGTGTTGATTCCTGCTCTGAGTGGAGATATCAGAAGGCTTACCTCTACATGACTCTGCGTTTACAGATCCAAACCTTCGCTCACTAGGGAGGACATCCGTGACAAGAAAGTAAGTACTAAACATTCGGTCGTGACAAATCTGCCTCGACAAGAAGAGTAAGCTACAACTACTGCTCTAATCTACTTCAGATGTTATGACTCTGAGGTTGCTAAATCTTTCAAGTAATCCGCAAGATACTCGTACACAACGAAAGTAATAGCTGCTGCAGGGGCGGCTTTTATGACAGAAGGCAATGTGCCTTTGTAAAGACCTGCGAGTCCTTCTTTTTGCAAAATTCTTGAGATGGCATCTCTCATGCTTTTATACTCTTTGTGGGTTATAGTGGCTCCGTATCTTGGATGTCGCTGTAGACCCTCAACCTATGGAAAATGTTCAAACTCTTGTTAGCTTTGACTGAACGGGCACCACCATGAAGTTCAGCACCCACTAAATCACGGGCAAACGCTTGCTACAGAACAATAAATAGATCTATATTTTGCAATAACTGACGTCAAAATGACCGAAGGTTGGAAAGATGGATGCAGGTCATCACGCTTTCAGCTCTTACTACAATACTGAAAAGAGAAAAAAAAGACCTGGAAACGTTTTTTGACTACATCCAGAGGATGACAGCAAATCTTAGCAAAAGTGCCCGCCCCAAGTCCGCATACGAAGTGTTGAAATCCTGAAAGATTCTCGGCGTGTGGATCTTTGGGTAGTCCCTTCCTCTCATTCAAAGCCTGCATGTCATATGGCCATACTGGTAAGATTACTGATGTACCGGATGTCTTTCGTAGACATGACAAAGCCGATCCAACACGGCAAAGGAGATAGGTAATCATTTGACCAGTACAATGGTAATGAATTGTTGTATACTGACCACAATGCGTGATAGACACACTTTATCTTCTAGGCGAACTGTTGAATGTAGTTGATAAACAAGAGCACATGAACATATCTCCGAACTATACAAGAAAGTAGTCGTGTAGAACGCACTTACGCTTGTCCACTTCTTAAAGGTGTCGTAAAAGCCAAACTGAAGACCAGCGTATGGTACAATCTCCACTAAGGAAGGTGTGAGTCCTGCATATATCCCGGTGATTCCTCGCGATCGTAGAATTCCCATAAAAGCAGAACGCATGGTTGGATATACCTGGAACCATGGCATTCGAATGGCTTGCATATTAGATTACAATACGGTCAACCTTGACTGCTATCATACATAAGCGCGACAATATCAACGTGATCGGACCTTTGGAAAAGTATCATGATCAAGTGTATCATGACTTCTTCGGTCCTCCAGGCAGTCACCTCTGGCGGAAGAAGCTCTCTTACAGCTATGTAAAGATTCACAGTACCTTTGGCTCTCCTTGTGAAGCCATGATTGTTCGAAGCAGGTCGAAGGGATAGGAACCCACAGTTGCAGCTGTTCCAGCTACAGCACCACTTGCATAGGCCATCGTTGTACTCAAATGTCCCGGATTTTTATCTGGAACAAAAGTAAAGCATGACGTCAGTGAAAATTCACAAAAGAGTAAGAATCCTTCCAAGTTATAGTTGATTTTACAGAGGCCGATGGAAAAACAACATGACAAATGAAGAAAATCAAATAAACATGAAGAAAGCCAGATGCCACTGGAAATGAAGAAGATGAACTAAAATCACGAAACGGAATCCAGACAAAGATTCAGTAAAAGAGCAGACACCCTGTTGACATAATAGGCTTTACAAGAATGTAATAATTTATCCTGTATCAGGAAAGTAGCTGATTCGAATTTACGGAAGAGCTAATCAGGGCAAAAATTTAGAACCTCATCAGAATAATAAAGGCCTCAAATCTTGCAAAAAATGCTCTGGCAAGGCTGGTGAAGATGCAGACCTCCTTCCTGATACGAGGCAGCTACAGATTTGAACTTCTGCAGAACGACAAACTGAATAGCGGTGTATGGCATGACCATGAACAGCGCAGGCACATTACCCCTCCATAAGCCCTGCAAAAAGGGAAAAACATGAACTCCAAGATCAACTTCTGACGATTGAACAAGTTCCAATCTGGAAATCGGACTTTCAACGTATCCAAATCATTCATCTCAGACTGACAACCGGATGTTTCGTCCTTAGGATGTACGGCATCTATTTCGACCCCCCATGCCACGATCATAAAAAACTGTCAACTGGTCTAATAATGGGTTGATTATTTGCGTTGATGGTCTTACGTACCGGCAGACCTTCTTCTCGTAATATATCCCTTGTAGCCTGCCAAATTCCTGTATATTTTGACACCACATGAGTGCCACCCAAGGGACCGAGACGGGTACTCGTAGGTTCCAGCTGCACCTGTTTCCCACGAGAACATTATGATATTCAGCTACAACGTGATAATAACGAAGCTGTAGAATACAGCAGTTTCTAAGATAGAGAACAATCAATAGTTAAAATAAGGAGCGCGTGTATCAAAATTATGGAATCAGTCAGGACGGAAAATTCTCAATGTAGTAAAAGGTTAGAAAATGTTTCTTGTGGGATATAAGAACAACCTTGTCAGTCATTGAAGACAATGCATAGGGTCCCACCCCAGTTGACTCCAAACATAATGTCTTCGAAACTGACCAATAAATAGCATTAACTCGGAGAATTCTACACGACATAAATGTCTTCCTTGGTTGAGAAAGAAGAGAAGATGCATATAGAATTTCATACATTCTATTAAATAAACAAACAATTGATTTATCGTCCTACTTTGAAAAGGATAACTCGAATGTTCAGACCCAGCGAACATAACACTTTCAGGGAACAATGGTTACCCAAACTAAATTCTAAATATGTGTATGAAGCTCAGAGACTGTGAAAACGTAAATTCTACATCCCCACCATGTTATCTTAGATTACAAGGCAAGGCATGACAACAATGCAGGATATCAGTACGGGAGGTTTACGATGGGAATAAGGGCACCATGGGTCCCATCAGCTCTAGACAAGTTTACCATTTCGTAAGTAGAGTCAAGGACCAGATGCATCCCATCACTGCTGTGAGATATCCACTTGAAAGAAATGTCGTCAGGATATCTGAAGATATAGAATTGAAGGATGTGACATACTGTTGGGATAGTTCAATCTTAGGGAAGAAAAGACTTCAATCAAATGGTTTAATATGTCTGATAATAAACATGTGAATACAGTTTTGTAAAACTTTCTGTAGAATAGCTCCGAGCACAGACGACGATGATTACTCGATTAAATTCCACACAATTCTCGTAAACATATAATTCATTGCAAGAAATTGATTCATGACAAGAAGCTTGTTTCCTATTTTTTTGCTCAAGAGTCAAGACTTGAGACCAATAAAGTCCTAAAACTGCTCGTGTAATTCTCCGATTGAATGTCTCAGTGATCCAGTTCATTTCTCCTGCAGCTGATTCTGCAACAACTTTGCTCTATTTGTCCGCCACTGAAAACCGAAGGCAATACAATCTGATGCTCTCTGTTCAGAGTTGCAAGCACGTTCTCATACGATTTCCATCTTCATTTGTACAGAAGGTGACAGAAATTGTTGAAGGGTGTGTTCATGTTCTTTACTGAATTCCACATCAAAATCTTAGACCTTCTGAGAATGAAATATGTTCAAAGGATTCTGAAGCAGTAGAATTTATGACATGAGCTGTTAACAAAACACCTTCTTCCGCATCTTATTCAGGTCATGAGAGAACGATAAGAAGTGCAATTCTATTCGAAGGGCGAAACATCTATCCGAGGTTATCACAACAACGAGATAAAAAATCTTTCTGACATTCGAATAAATGAAAACAGACCTGGAAGCGGATCTTGATGACATCAAGAGGGGACACAACAGAGCGAGAAATCCCTCCTGCCACGGCCCCCGCAATGGCATCCACTGCCGCACGCTCTAGTCCTCCATCTTCCATCTTCATCTTCATCGCCCCGAATTACTTTATTTCCAGAGCAGCTGAATTCGACTCGGCCTTCCAACTCATGACAGAATAGCCTCGCAGATCAAACCTTCCTCAGTTCTTAAATCGCCACCGCCCGAAAAAAAACGCGGACCATCCCCATTCTTGGGCATCCATCATCAACAAACTCCCAGCGAACTTCCGTAATGCTCCCGCTCACCGTCAGCTACTCGTCCACTGCATCCCCTGTACTAAATCCCGCCCTATAATGACCCCGTCTCTACCGAACTTGGGCACGGAGCGTACAGCCACCGGATCGCGAAAATCACACGACCTCACCAAACGAGGCGAGAGAAGAGGCCGCCCCTGTCCCGTCGGTCGGTGCGATCGAATTGCCAAAGATCGACGTACTGCCTCCAGCTGTTGTTCCCACGCCACCAGAGCGGTGACATGCAACAGCCGAGTGCCCCGAATTGGATATCACACCATGCCCAGAATCGCCCTCCTCCTGCTGCCGCTGCCGATCTCGCTCCGTTCACTCACTCACTCGCTCTCGCTCACTCGCTCGCTCATTCATTCACCTCCTCTCCTCTCTTCTCTTCTGTTCTCTTCTCTTCTATTCTCCCATGCCGTGCCATGGTTGACTCCTCCTCCTCCAGTTGCCCTCCCATTCCCCTGCTACCCCTGCTACTCTTCCCCGCCTCCATCTTCTTCGTCTCCTCCTCCTTGCTCTCTCTTTCTCTCCAGCTCCAGCTCCAGCTCTTCTTCCCCCTCCCCTCCTCCCTCTCCAGCTGCAGCTGCACAGCTCTTCTTCCCCGCCTCCCCTCCCTTCTCTCTTCTCTCTTCTTTGTCTTCCTCCCCCTCCCCTTCCTCCAGATGGCATCGAGCCGCGCGGGTACCTTCGCACGTTCGCCCGGCGCACCACAGACGGGAGTCCGCTGACGAGGAGAGAGGACCGGAGCCAAGGGGGCGTCTGGATCCGTTTGGGTGCCGCCGCAGCAGCAGCAGCAGCAGCGGCGTGACCCCCGGGCCCCCTTGGTGTGACGAGTCTCCAGGTTCGGGGGTCGGTTGGTCCGGTGCGGTCGGTTGTTCCACGCTCGTCGTCGGCCCTACGGGGGACGTCCACATGATTGTGGGGGGTCGTTGCGACTGGCCACGTGAACCGGTCAAACCTGGCTCCTCGTCTTCATGCTCTCTGCCCATTGGCTCCGCCTCCCTCTGGCTTCGAGTACTCTCCATGTTCAATTTTTGTTGCATGCATGCCCAGCTACCGCCGTAATTCCATAATATGGTTCCTAAATAATTTTTCTCCTGGGGCGTGTAAGTCTGACTGCTGATAAAAATTACGAAACCACCTGAAGCTAGAGAACAAACAACCTCTTATTAGATTAGCAAGGAGTCTACTCTAATCTAATCAAAATTTAAGGCTAATGAGTAGACTCAAATTTTCGTTAGAAATTTCCTCGAGTTGTCGGTTCCTGTACAAAACTATGCTTCTGTCATAACATAATGTAAATCATAACACCATATTCATGACGCCGAGCAAGACCTTCTTTGGACTAAGGCAGCCTTCCGGCGTTCGAGTACTCTCAGCGTTAGATTTTTGTTGCATGCGCAGCTAATTATTTCGATATGAGATTTACATGTTCTTCGTAGGGCTTGTGAGTCTGACTGTGATATTTTAAGAAATCACCTTTCATTCTTTTTCGATTAGACTCAAGTTCTGTTTAAGAGAATTTCGTTGATCGGTCTGGTCCTGTCAGTAATAAATTATCTCCCACGAAAAATGTAAATCATAACACCATGTACATAAAGCCGAGCGAGACCTTGTTTGGACTAAGGGTGGTCGTGGGTTTTCTAGTCCCGACTAGATTATCTATATTGAAAGGGTAACCCAAATAGTAAGTCTCACTACTTGCAAAGAACCACCAGGAAGCACACATATCATTCGAGCAACCGATCAGTAGGTCACAAATGCAGGATAATTAGCACTACTTTAACGTGTAAGAATGCATGCCAACTCGAACGAACTCAACGAAGAGGAAGCTAGAAAAATATGAGAATGGTCACTGACAACAATGCATGCAACATCATCCTCCTACTCCTGCGTAGACATGAAAGCTGATGCCACTGATTTCCAGTACACCTGTACTTTCTCGTTGGAGGAGATTATGGAATGGAGTGATTTTCTGTACGAAGTACCGTCCAGGTGATTGTCGGAACTTGTGAAGCAACCGGTTGGCTGCCAGCATAATCTCAGTGGTTGCACCCACTCCATAGACCGCCACTTGTCGCTAGGTGTGAGCATCGGCCAAGGACAAAAGGAAACAATTGTCTTTGCCCGGAAGCCACGGTTCAAGCATATTGGTACACTGTTGGTGCCTGGTCAGGTTTCTTATGATGCGAGTGTACGAAAACCGAAGCTCTGATCACTGACACGGCTGGAGGTAGGGATAAGAATGTCCATGGAAGGTCGCGGCCTTCTGGTACCTCTTCGACGTTTTGGAAAAATTTATAAATTTTCGTTCTCAGAGGGGAATACAAATTAACAAATATTTATTTTGAGAAATGTCAACTTCCTCTGTCGTCATATTCATCCGGAATCTCTTCTATACTTCTTATGAGAAGAACGTCAACACATGCTCGTCTGTAACTCTGAGAGTACTGTGGACAGTTAAAACGAGCTTTGGAAAAGGACTTGAGAAAAGTACATCACCATTATAACTCAGTTTTAACAATCCGGCGGGCGAAATGCTGCACAATGATTAGGCATAGGGGAGCACTTTTTGAGATCCAGGTTGCGGGTACAAAGCCTTTCGAACTCTCGTTATTAGCGAATCAAAGAATTATAAGGATATTATTCTTTACAATTGGGATGATTGATAATCAGATGGATATGGCACCTATTTTCACATCTTGCCATCCAAGCAATTTAGCCATGAGCTAAGGTCACCTTTCCTTACGTATTTTACTGGAAGTAGTAGATGAGAGATTCTGTGGACTCGTGTCTGAGTCCTCGAGGTGAACTGCAGGCATTCACACTATGTAATATCTAACTGAGTGATGGCAATATTTCAACCACAGATCATAAAGCTCTCTGGATGGAAGATCTCTGCAGACAGAAGAGGTGGTGTATGAGACGTGGGAGAGAGCTAGACAGGTCGAACAGAATATTCCACTAGCAAATTCCTTCGTCTAAAGCTCGCAGCAGATCACCCACTTTGGCAAGTGGCAAGTTCAACGCGATCGTTGAAGCTCAGATAGATTGACTATGAACTGCTATGTCAGAAGGATAGTGCTGGATAAAGAAGAAGAAGAAGAAGAAGAGGACGACGACGACGATGAATGGAAGACAGAAAGAGGCAAGTCCTTCATAGAGCAATCGAAACTCATCAAATGGTGGACTAATGGTACACAGACCATGAGGTCTGTGATTAGTCGCTAGCCGCCAGCAGGAGGGCAAGTCTGAGGAACGCCGCCACCACAAACGTGCGTCATGGACCAGAAAGAGGCAGTGGACCGTATCCACAGGATCCAACAACAAGACAGCTGTGACTTCATATAGTACAAACAGAACCAGCATGAGCCTGTGGCGCCACGCACCAGCACCACATCTACCCGGCATCGGAGGCATCTCTGAAGAGAATTGAGGGCAGTTTACTCGTCAATCTGCGTCTCGGAAGAAGAATGGTCGACAGAGATTGAAGTTGCAGGCACGGAATTGGTCAAGGATTAAATTTCTAGTGAGAGATTCGAGAGAGGCAACGAAATAGGTCACTCAGACTGGAGGGAACTAATTCAGAAGCGTAAGTAGAATTAGGAAGTTTGGACTATGCTGTGAACGAAAGCGTGAGTCAGACTCTGTATAATGGCAGAATATTTTCCGCACTGGAGGTCCGTTTCATGGCAGGCCTCTTCGTATAGAACCAGGGCCTGCCAGTTTTCTAGATCTCTGATCTATTTCCAGCAAGGTCTGAGGAAAGCCTTTCCACCGAGCTTTACTCAAAAAACGCATGTTGGTCACTGGAAGCTCCGAAGGCTCGCGAGACTTGAGGAAACTGACTTCAATATGTCAGATCCACACCAATCCGATTGGGCGTCAGGCCGTTTGTGCTGGTAGGTGAGATCCCAAAGTTTGATTTCACCACCAATTTCAGACCTCGGATACACAACATTCATGTCACCCCATTCACATACAAATCATCGGATGAAGTTGAACCCTCAACGACAGATGCAAAAACTCCTGCAAACAGGAGCAAAGCACGTACAAAGTCATCTTTGTCATCACTCGAATTTTGTCTCTTTCATCAATTACGCACTGCTCTTCTCTTACGACTGAAGAAATCGGGAGTAGCTTGAATGAAGTGGGACAGTGTGACGGGAGTTCATAGAGTTATGCTGGACATTCTTGCCAGGTCCGACCTTGGATCCAATTCCGGTTCGGTACACCGAGTACCGATTTCATGACGTCAGAATCTCTGGTTTCTGTTACAACCTGCGCTGAATTTTTCCCGATAATGTAGATCGAGGGCCGTAATGAGATTGTATTTATCATGTTCATCATATCCTGGCATGTGGCATAGATGGCCGCATGCCTTGAATATTCGAGAGTAGCAGAAGTGCCAATCCTCCGCCAGAAATTGAGAGCGACACTCGGACCTGGCTATGTGCCTGAGGCATAGTGCAGTAGAAGGTGAAGTTCTAGCCTCCAGGTAGAAAAAATGGCCAAGCAAAGTTTGAAAATGTAGAAATTTGCTGACTTGACAGGGAGGGGTTCGTTCTGGGACAATCAAGACTCAATACACGAAGGGAACAATTTCATAATAATTTACTCGATCAACCTTTAATAAGGCCAATCTACGACACACTTCGGTGGTGCTATCCAGTTGAGTCTCTCCAGATCAGATCAATAGTATTTCTTCTTGAGCCATCTTACATACTCGATCAGGTATGAATCATACCGTAAGATCTTTGCCATACCGCTCCAGTACAGCACAGTGTAGAATTGATGTTACTCAGTTGGATCATCTCCCTTGACTCTACAGGACTTCATCACGTTGACATCCGTGTATGATTTAGGAAACGATTGAAAGGTTAATTACTTTGCACCACCACAAGTTGACCATGAGTCTTCGTTCCAAATGCTAGAGAGTATGTACACGGTTGGTATTCGAGGTAAGAGATGCTTAGATCCTTAGCGGTGCGAAATACTCAAATCACACGGTTGTCCACAGGAAACATATCATTCATAACTACATAGTTGTCCTGTGTCAGTTTTTCATGACCAGTTGTGAACTTAAGTATCTGAACTCACTGTAAAGACACGAATAAATTCGCCAAGCAGTAGCTGATAGCATGCTTATACTAAGAAGGTCCTGTATTGTAGTTCTTACATCATGAAATTTTGGTTCCACAAAATAACCCAGCTGTAGAAATCAGCAGCTGGATCGAACCAAAGATATATGAATTGTTTCTATGGTCCGTATCTTCTAAAGAATATGCTGGTTTGAAGGATCTGAGGCTTTCCTAACAAATCGTCGATGATTGCAGATTGCATGGAGTGCACTGCACTGGTTCAAAGCTGTCCTCGTTGAAAACTTGTTAATATAATACCACCCCTAGTAACGCGTTCTACTGAAAAGTCACAGAGAATAAAAGTAACGTGCCCAAAACAAAATCAAGCAAAGAAATCAATAGCAATAACCAAGAATGTCATTTGAATAAGGACATGAAAGCATATACAAACCCAGACCGAATTTGTCAAGTCTCACCGTCTGTAGGGGTGTCTCGATCTGGTTTCAGTTTTAAGAGTACACATACTTGTTCAGAACAGCACCACCGCCACAAGGGTGTTGCTGAACGCTGTTAATTTAGAGTTTTTAACAGGTTTTGACCTTATGATGTCTTCTGCTTGTAGTAGCTACGGCGTGATTAAAACAAAGTCAGATTAATGATTTCTACACGCTGGATTCAAAAACTTTGCTTCCATTAAGTATTGTACACTTCTGCAAAGGCCATGTTTTGTAAGAGGGTTAGATAGTATTGCAAGAGCAACAGATTTCGAGATCACTGTGTATTGATATGCCATCTAAGCAGTATTATCATATTAGTGATCTATTTGGCTCACTGAAACATATTGCATCACATCAAAATACAGCATATAACAATATGCCTTATTTTGAGAGATGCAGCAGATTGTGATACACAAGTACGAGTGCTTAATATATAGTTTTGTAATTGTGTCTTCCAAGTTTAGTTAAGAGAAATTCACCATCGAACGTACGAATCGAACAAATTACAAAACTGTGCCCACTGTCATTGTTCTGTTCCAATGATGCAAGCATTTGCTATCTAACCTAGTTTGTTCAACCCAACTGACCGAATTGTAACTAATTCAGAGAACCAAGCCCAATGAGATGCGGGATACTCGTTCAAGATCTCTGTCTGACTACGGTGGGTTCTTATTTGGGTCATCCACGAATCTAGAACTGGTTGCTTGGGTTTGTGTTTAACGACCATTTTCTTCTATCTACCTACTTATCTTTCACTGGTCGAGTTTTAAGCCTTTCGATACAACCCTCACGGCTCGCGGAGTGGAGCTTTCTCTAATCACTCATTGTCATAATGGAGACAAGTGGATACAGCAAACCTTTTATTGCTATGACAATTTTATGCAATGGTACGAATCAGTTCCACGATACAATGTGAAAGTAGTATATTTACTACATAGGCTATTTCGTGTACCTGTAAGGTGTCTTATCTTAAAATCTACCCTTGCTGGTGATTATTAGCTTAAAAATGATTGCATTGTTATTCTATAAACCAACCAAAAATGTAACTCTAACTCTGATTTCACAGAGTCAATTACCGAGGATAGTGATATACTATATACATTATTATATACAACAATCGAAAATAAGTCGTCTGTTCTGTTTGAGCTGCGTCAATCCTCCATGTGTTTCTGACAAATATATAATGTTGTGTTGTGTGTGAACACATTTTCTCTAGAAGTATGTAGAAGACAAGAAGGATGTAGGATAAGCATGGATCACAGAAGACATAGTGTGTCACAATCAAACATTGATCCCAAAGTTACATATAAACTTGCTGCATGGAAGACTCACCTAACAAAATGCATACCCACGATGATTACAATTCCACACTCACATTCAGAGAGCAAGAGGTCACATCAGTTTTTTGCTTCTTGCTTCCGGCTTTCTAACTGGAGAAGCTATTGGAAGATGCAAAAGAGGAAAAATAAAAAATACTTTCTTTATTTTGACATACATCCCCTACTATCTGAGCAATCCGAGAGAAAGAATTCTTGTTCTTTGTGTGTGTCAAATTGGAATGATGATGGATGAGTAGGAACCCATACGCAAATGTTTCACAGACAACGGAGATTGGTAAATTAGGTCTATCCACAACAAAGTACACTGTAGAGCATCTACTCGTCATCAACTATACGTCACTTAGTTATGGAATTATTCAAGCATTGATAAATTAAGTCTATCCACAACAAAGTACACTTTAGAGCATCTACTCCTCATCAACATCTACTCAAGTAGTCTTCATCAATATCAACACCATATGAAAATACGTCATTCAATGTGCCGTCTAAGAGAAGAAAACTGAATATTCGAAGAATACAACGCAACACTTGCTTAGTTGTTCACTGGCACAACAACTGATTTAAATCTAGATTATATATATATATATATCTATCTATCGATCGTTCTTTTTGTTAATGGTTTACTAAGATCCATAACACTCCTTTAGAGAAGCCATTGCAAATTGTGTGTTCCCCTCAAGAAGTGACGAGTAGAATTGTTTATACTTGTCCATAGATTCTAGGTTATGGATAGCTGTTGTGTCAAGGTCAAACTACTTAAGTGTTGAGTTGTATGCTTCACATATTTAGTTTTTGTTTGTATCACAATTTCCAATGGTTTAGACTACTACAATACTTACAACGGTAACTTTTTCGAGTTGATACATGACCATTTTCCCTCTAGCTGGATAAACAAAAGACCGGAAAGAGCGAGGTTGTTTGCAAAAGTTGAATTGTGTGATACCGTGAGCTTTTCTTCGATACGCAAGTGAAGAGGAGGGTTGTATTGGCTGTCTTACATGGCGACGGGGAAGAATTACTGCTCCCGCTGTAAACAATCGAGACAATTAGTCAAGATCCGTAAACCGCATAGGATCGGAGCAGTCGCTATGGTACTATGTTGTGAGAGAAAAAAACTAAATATGTCAGGCATACAACATAACACTGAAAAATTTGCTCACTCTAGAATCCACGGAAAAGTATACACAGTTTGTCTCGTTAAATATCTATTAAAACTTACAACACTTTAGTGCAAGCAATCCCTATCGATGAAGGATCCATGGGCGAATGTAAGTATTGCGCTAGGTAATGCGATAGCCTAGATTGTGAATGAAATTCTGCACCACGGTGGAAAACCGAGGGAGATGTCCAATTTGGTGGACCACAAATAAAGAGAAAACGAGCAATATACATCTCAGAACTGAGCCAAGTAGCACGCTTACCGTCCCGCAGCGTATGAAGGACATTTGCCAGCAAACGATTCCCGTAAGGAGCCGCAGGTCCAAATGCCAGGTTCTCACCAGTGCGACAAGGAAGAAGATGACATGAGTAAGTCCATGACCGAAACCAATGAACATCAACACCGCGATGCAAGCGGATGAATCCGATCCAGTTCACATGGAGTGAACGACGGTACACAGTAGGAACCAACTACAACACTGCACACAAACATCGATCGTTAGAGTCTTGACACGGAGGAGACTCGATCGGCAGGAGATTTAAATGTCATATCAGGCAGTTGTGCCTTGGATACGCTTACTGCTATCTTGTTCAAAATATCCTCAACGGGAGAGATAAGGAGAATTCCTACCCTGTTCCAGTGCAGCTCCCTGTAGCATTCGATGTGACCCTCTGGAATCGTCCATGCTTACTCTACATGGGTCGTTTACGTTGAGATCTTCGTATGATATCGGGAAGATTGACCGGTAGATCCAGTTAATTTGGTTTTGCAAGAGTCTTTTTGTCACTATATTCATTAGCCGGCCAGGAATCACGTTTCTGGTAAGTGTTTCAGTACTCACAATTAATGCTTGCGTTATTGGGTGACTGAAGTTTAGTGGACAAAAAACACCACCTTAACATTGATTGAAAAAACAACCATGCTTATCGAATAAAGAATCCCATTAACAATCTCATCGTGGATGTAACCTCTCACAATTTGCGTGATGATCATAGTAAGTCAGTTATCCTACCATAGACTTGTGAAATGCATGGTCATGTAACTTTCATGCATTCAAAGTATTAATTCATATTAGGATTCAAATCCAGTGTAAAAATTTCTGAAATATTTTTGCTGTCTCGTCTTCTTAGCACAGTATCTAATTCTTACGATTAAAATTCTAAACCTACGATAATGTTCGTTATCTCGAGTGCACCGGCTCCGCGATGCCTTTGAGCACTCTGTTTGATAGATCAGAAGGGAGTTTGGAAGCACTTATATTACTGCTTTTGACCACAACACATAATCATGGGGTTAGATCTCTTCAACTTATCAGGTACAATCTGTAGATTAACGTCTTGTAACGATGTACCCCACGGGCCTTTCCTGGGACGAGTTTCTAGCACAATCTGGTGGTGGTGTTGTCCACTTCAAACCACGCAATTGCAGCTAGATCACACCAGTTCCGTAAGTCGATTTGTATAAATATCCAAAAATTCAAAGTCAACCCCGCACCAAATTTGTTAGCGAAACCATCTGCTAAACTTCTTAAATTGCTCATTTGTCACAGGAGTCAAAATTCAATAGGAGGATAACAAATCTTGTTACATGGCTTTTGAGGTAACGGGCTGTAGGAACAAGCTGCAGCTCTGCATTTAAACTAATGACACTTTCAGACGACATAATCTTCCGCCCACAAAACAGCCTGTAACGTCAAGCTTGCCTCGTTACCCAATCGTTTCTACAACTTATTCTCTAATGGTTAAACCCGCTGTGAACCCATTTTCACATGCTCCTTTGAAAATACTGAGGACACATCTCCAACTCTCACGACTCTCCTGTCCAGGCCAGCCGAATTGACTAAAGCTAGACAAATTGAAAATCTTCTCCATCGAGCAAACTCCTTCAAAGTCAGTCCGTCCCGGGGCTGTTGAACCCCACCACGTACTAATCCTTATCCAGCAAATCTTTCGATCAATCTCTTCCAGTTGGAAGAGGGCTGCGGAACGCAGATCCAACACACAATGATGGCAGTAAAGCACTAGAGAAGTACTTCCGCTCCAAGGTGTCCAAGAGTTCGACCTACAGAGGCACATCGCTTACGTCCAGCGTCATACGTGGCCGTGCGAGGGTGCGCATGTCACAAATCCAAGCTTCAGCTAAACTTGGAGGGAGGCCTTGTGTCAAGGTCCTCGTTGTATTGGCTGTGTGGTCAACAGGCGAAGGAGCGGACCAGCCGGTACAACGAAGAGGGCTGGCTATTCCTCACAGGACGCTTTAAAGATTGATTTGTGGGAAACTAGATTGATTCGAGGGATTCAAAGCAACCAATCTCAACACGTTTCTCTTACTGTACAGCACATCTCGGTTTGATGTGCATAGAGAGCTCCTTCCTCTTGCATCCAAATCAGCGACTCTACAAACGCCCGCGTGCTTGCTACAGATGCATCAGTAGAGACGAGTCGTTACCATCGGATGTACGATCCAGCTCATGTGCTCACGATTTCCTCGTTTAGAGCTTTGTTCGGATTTGAGCGAGCCAAATGCGATGCCTCTGAACTGCTATTCGGCTCCGGGAGAGAAGGACCGAGAGAAGGACCGCATGAGCTAAACACCTCTTCTATGCTTCCTGCCTGAGAAGGAGTTTCTGACCCTCCCGGTGAATTGACACCTTCGCTTGCCACCTCTAGCTGGTTCGACTTGTTCAACGCGTGGCAGTGGGGGCAGTAATACGTAATGTACTGATAGTCTTCCTTTTTCGCCAGCCCTGCGGACGGTGAAAGCACTCATCAGACTTATACTTCCAAGTAAATTTGAGCAACACAGCGCTAATACAAATCAGGGGCACTCACCATTGTGCATGTGGCATTTTCCACAGATGAGAGCGTAGCATTGTGAAGGATCCTCGCCCACCAGCATAGCTGCAAACCTGGCAATCCAACCTCCTTCGTTCGGTCTCGCTCGGTGGTGTTCTACTTCCCTTTCATGCTCCCAGGCATCAATGTCTCTATCACCCGTATTATCTCGAAGTACCATGTCCATCCTATCTGGTTGTCTCCCTTGACCTTGAAGATTACTCAGAGCCATACTACTTCTCGGATCTCCCTGAGATGAGGGATTCCTTCGCTTCCTTATACCAGAGGAGTCCGCGACTTCCATATCATTACTTTTGCCAGAAGAAGAGACCTTGCCTGTTTGTTCTTTCTCCAGTAAATCCGCTGCTTGGAGAGCAATTTTCAAACCCGATTCCGCTCCCAACTTCGAAGCAAGCACACTTGCCGCTGCTGCTTTGGCTGCTGGATCAAGATCGTATTTCTGTCGCAACACGTACGCAAAATCAATATTAGTGTTCAAGTTTTTACCGTTCCTAACTAAGATAGAAAACACGGATGAAATTAAGCTTGATAATATACCTGGATCAACTGTTGAGTCAAGTAGTAGTTAGTTTTCTCCTTCAGTTCATCAATCTTAGATTGTCTTTCTGCACGTAACTTTTCTAACGTTTTTTGGTCCTTCGCTTCGCCTGCAATTCAACCCTTCAACACATGAGAAGTCGACAACCAAAAAATATATATATTTGTAAATCACTCAAGAGCGCCGGACATAATTTTTTCATTGTGGTATCAGAAAGATACCGCAACGAAAAACAATGAAGAAAGCAGTTGCAAGCCTCTGGTTTATGATGAGGTGAATGACTCGAGATTTTAACGCAAATAAGACGAAATCTTACGCATGCGATTGAAGCTTGAACACGATGAATACAACAGCGTGGTTAGCAGCGGCAACGCGAAAACTGGTAGGACTCGTAAAGCGCGTGTTTCCCAGAGCATGTCCGGAGCCCTCGTTGCCCATATTGCGATACCTAGCACCAAGACCTGTAAAACACACAAGCAATATGTTTAAAAACATCTGCAGACGAAAGGGACTTTGCCCTGCTCACTGATTCAGAAACAGCCATGTCTGGACTACTTAGTGCCAACTTGAGGGCACCAAGCAAAATCCTCATCCCCATTGCGAAATTCCGCAACATGTCAATCAGCACTTTATGGTCTTCTACAAAGTGTCAACGTCAGCTCTCCGCGGTCAGAATCAGCATCCTGAGATTTTTAGAAGTCTACGGTAGCTGAACAATCCTAGAATTGCCGAACGCCATATGCCGCGAATAAGTAACTCCGACGGTTCATCCTGACTTCAGTCGATGTTAAGGCTGATACGTGATACATATGCAGGGTAAAAACTAGTCTATTGTTCATGACTTCAAGCTGAAATTGTGGGTTCTAAGTAGATTCGTTGTTGAAACCTAGACATGCTTGTTCAAGTGTATTTACCCTTGATTCTAGATGTCAGAATCTCACAAACTGGTATAGAAATCCCGGAATTCGAAGACTGGTGGATCCTTGGATTCGCGGATTGATCCAGTATAAGGTCCAGTATCCAATCCTAAAAAACCAGACAAGAGCCAAGGGTTCCAGGAGGCTACCTCACCAATCACAGAGTACAAGATAAGATTTCTAGCAAACTTTCTCCAGTACGCTGTGCGTCTCTTCAATCGACTGTGCACTGCTACCTCCTCCTTGGACAAATGCTGCAATCTTTTCTCAAAATCCTCCTTGCTATTTCTGAAAAACAAGTGGCCGACTAGTCCCATGGCGCTCCAGATCCTCGCGACCATGCCTTTCTGGGGTTTGACCTTCTCATCTGTGATCGTGGAGGCTAGAGCGGCCAGTTGTACATCCTCCTTGCTAATTTCCTTGTCTCCCATAATGTCCCGCGTTTGGCCACGGGCAGGTCCTGCAAAAAAATGCGGCCCACATGAACAAACAACAGAACTTGGACTCGAAATTTTCTACATCATGCACACAGCATCGTCTGTGCTCGGTCTTCAGCCAAATCAAAAATCTGAAGAGGCGAAGATCCGTGGCTTTGAGAAAGGGACACTCGACCATACGACGATCGACATGATTGATGCACTCGATAGACTGCAACCAGCTTTCACACATCCAAATCTTAACCAACCCACACTTACGATTACTCCAGGAGGTTCCAGTGCGGCCGGTCGCCTTTGACCATACAACCTCGCCAACAAATAACAGAACTTGTCAACTAACAAACTACATCTTCCACACCTACGGAAGTCGGCATTAACTCGCCCCGAGGGCTGGGTGAACGTACTTCAGATCTTAAAACTCTGGCGCTGCAAGCCCCTGCTGCAGAAAAGGAGCCGAAGCGCTTCGAACGGCAGGTTCTCGTTCCACGATTGAATCGCCTGCGAAATCACTGTATCATGTTTCTAATTCGAAACTCCGTTCTAACAGCACTCTCGCTCGCGCCTTCCGATGTGGCCTTCTAAGCCACAACTTCTACAACGCATTCCTCCGCCCTCCTCCCAGCTACAAAACCACCTCTCTCTCTCTCTCTGCCCCCGGTCCCGCTCCACCTCCCTCTCCCTCTCCCTCTCTCCCTCTCTCCCTCTCTTCGACGCCCTCGACGTCGAACACCGACGCTGCTTGCGCAGCACTGACTCTGTTCCTCCAAGAATCAAGAAAATTGGTTGTGCGAAACTGCGGCGATCTCCTCTGCCGGCTTCACGTCCATGACGACGACAGAAAAGAAGGCCGGCGAAATTATATAAAATGCGTCGCCTCTCGCTCGCTCGCAAGGCGACACAAACTCACGCCACCACCAGAGCCGGCAACAAGCCATCTGGATCTCCAACTCATCACAATTCTCACCTTTCCCCCCTTTCTTCCTTTCCGGCCTTTCCGCCGGTTATTTTCAAAGACGGGTGATCATCCATCCGATCCGACGCCCGCCGTGACTGCAATCCATCGATCGATTGAGCGAGCGAGCCCTCGGACTCAGCAGCTTCCGGGCTTCGCTAAAATCAGATCGCCGGTGAATTCAACTCACCGGCGTATCACAGCGAGCAACGGTCATGAGGGGGGCCCCCCCTGATGGCGCTCATGACCCAGAGATTTCGACTGCGAGTTCTACCACGGAGGCAACGAGGGCAACGTCAACGGTCTAGGTCTCACATGCTTCGACGCTTGAGATTGCTCACTGCGGCTATCCCTGTCAGGTTCTTCTATGGTGTAGTTGGCCTTAGGCAAGAACAAAGGATGCCGGCTGCTGTTGTCTGTCGGTCAAGAACATCCGCGTGCAGCCTACGGGCACACGTCGGTCGTCATGTTGGTCCGGTCTCTATCCCCAGAGTTGTCGCTTTATCTAGTTACTGTCTTTCATAGTTTAATGTTTGACAACGTGTACATACTGGGCCACGGTGGTCGGAATTTAGTACCTCGTGCCATCTAGATAGGGAGAACATGTCTGAAGTCTCCCCTCAGCATCAACCACGCACAAATTACCTTTCTTGTTACACAGTTGAGTACCTGGGTGGAACAACATTGTATATACGTCCATTGTACATACTTCCCATACTCACGATGTTGGGACTCGGAGAGTAGTGTAGGCTGTCTCGATTGGTTTTTGAAACATGATAGACTCTAAAGAATAGAATAGAATAGGATATATATATATATATATATATATTCAGTAACATTAGCTTGATTCCATGTTAGAAGAGAGAAAATGGTCAAAATCAGTGGATGGATCAATTTATGTAAATAGATACATTTTTTAGAATAGACTTATGCCACGAGTATTACATACAATGACTCCAAAAATCATAATTTCTTCCTTTATTGATTCAAATGTACACTTTGATTGACGTTATTTCATCAAAATAGGTTTGAAAATTTTTTACGTAATAATAATCAGATTTTTATGATTTTTTTAGTGCAATCTTTTATTATAATTATCATCTATATTCATAAAAACCTTGTAAAAGATTTAATATTGAGCAAAATCTTGGTCCCATTTACATAAACAAGATATTTATGCGATTTATAATTGATTATTTTTTTCGTAAAAAAAGAAAACCTTTATTTGATTTATAAAATAACAATATATTACTAAAATTTGCCAGATGTATTAATATTCATGTTATTCTAATCTATCCTCAAAAAAATTATGCCCAAAATAATGAACTAAGATAACTATATCAATTTTAAGAAGAAATTTTTCTATATCAAAATTTTCTAATATAAAATTGAAAATTTTATAGCAATTATTTTTAAAATAACTTTGTGTAAAAATATTTCAAATTATGAAATCATAATAAGATGCATAATATGACAAATGTCAATTTCTGATTCACAATATATGAAGGTCTTGTTGAATTATATCAAAAGAAAATTTCAAACTATTGCCCATCTTCTACATGTTATTTCATTCAAATTGAGGCAAAAAAATGAAAAAAAAATTTAATTTACAAAAGAAAAGTTTCAAGCATTAAAAGGGTATGTTTTTATGCATATATTCATAATATGTATGATAATTATATTCATTTTATCCACTTATTTTTATGATTCTCATATGCAATCAATGATGAATTGATCATTAATAGTGAAAATTTGATACTTATTTTCACTCGACTTTCTTTTTATGATATTTAAATAATTAATGTAAGAAAATAAAGATAAAGAGATTGTGCATTGAGAAGAAAAGTCTTAAGATATTGACATTCAAAAATAGCATGTATGGATGTCAAAAATATCAAATATTTTCTTGTAGCATGATAAATCATCAATATCACACATTGACATTAATTTTTTTTCAAATATATAATCAAACGTTCTTGAGAGAATATCTAAAAAGATGTGAATATCAAAACCCTCAAAATTGTAGCATGTCAGCAATGTGAAATGGTAAATTTAAAATTTGTATGTCACAAATTTTTTTTAGTAAGAAATAATATTCGAGTTTTGTTATGATATGATTTTTTTAATTACCTGGAATTTCTTTGTGATATAGGAATATAATTTTAAAACAAATCAATCAATATCCTACTCATCACTAGGAAAAAAATTCTAAAAATATATAAATACATTATTTATACATAACTTTTTATTTTTTATTTTTTCAAAACCCAAAAAAGAAATTATTTTAAATTATTTTCATATATTTTTTGAATATTTTCAAAGTAAATTATTAACTTGAATAACCTAACAAGGAAGGGTAGCTAAAAACAAATTAGACATAAGGAATTGAGTACAATTTTCAAATAGAAGATTCCCAGTAGAGTTGAGAACAATAACTTAGTGTTAGGAGTTTCCAACAGACCGTCAGTTAGCATTGCTCGTTCACAAAGTAATCGGCCGATGAGGAATTTGATCCAGAGTATTCACGACGATAGATGGAAATACAAGATTCTGCCGCCATATAAAAGCGGTCATGATTGATTTCGGTAGTCATATCCTTGACAATTGTTTTACGTATTGGTATACGTAAAAAAATTGTCGACAAGAAGGGTGGAAATTTTCGCCAGGTTACCCGGATGATTCTGATCACTCTGAGAGGACGCCAAGATATTAGAGTAAAGATCTTTAGTAAACTCATTAGACATTGAGTAAGTCTGAAATATGGTTGAGCAATATATTGAGCTATACTACTTCTGAGGTGCACATTTTGGAATAATTGACCCGAATTATAGATGATGAATAATAGATATAAAAAATCTTTGAAGAATTCAGTAAGTATAATAGGAATCGTTTAATCTGTGATCCAAAGTATGTAAAAGTCTGAACATTAATCAAGGAAAAATAAGTGCACCAAAAAATATACACAACTTAAATATTATACTTTAGGCAGACTTCAGGTTGTATTTAATATGATCCAGCAAATCAGGTTTACTTTAGCAAGTTTGATAATTCCTTATCTATCTGTTCTTATATAATACACATACATAATAGAAGATGAGGGCGTGAACGACTGGTTCAGTGATTGTACCACAAACGTTGTGAAATTGGCATGAAGGTCTGGGATATAAGTGGCTTATCCACGAAAGTGGGGTATATCAAAGATATGCATAAAAAAGAAAAAGGTGATCTTAAGAGCTCGGATGTTTCTCAAATAGCAAGGCGTGAATAAAATAACAAGTTTTAGAAATGCACTAGAGTCCTGTAAATATTAACTGTATCATTTCATTATCGATTGAAAGGAGTAGATGTAAAGATGCATTTCATTTGTTCAGCACTTTGAAATCGCTGAACCTCTGCATGTCGGTAGCAAGAGGAAAGCAATGATGTACAGTATCGTATCACATCAGCCAGCCCTTGTTCCCGCACGGGCAAAAAACCGAAGAAGAACAAAATTGACAAAATCCAAAGGGTTTTCTGGAATGGGTCAAACCTACATTGGCAATCTGTACATGTGATTGCCAAGAAATGTATGAGACCAAAGATTTCTACAGAAAATATTATTTTTCTGATAAAACAATCTTCGTTGTTGGTCCAGAGCTACTACGCAGTCTACCGGCATGCACCGTGGAATCCGTGTCAGGCCTTCTGCCGGTTCGTCACCTCTATGATATGTCAAGAGATATTCTTCTTCTTTCTTCTACGATATGTCAAGAATTTTACTTGACTGTGAGAAGTTCGAAAAAGAGCGATTTTCCCATCCTTGAAGTCAAACCAACCCGCAGTCTGGACCACAAAGAGCAATAAGTTATGTGAAGTTGAATGATTCAGGTTGAACATAGACGTTGATCCCAGCAGCAATTTTCCTGGTCGTAACTGCATGAAAATACTATTCCAGATGAAAGTTACTATACAGCTAGAGAATCAGCACGAGCATGACTAAGAATCACGACCACATCTCCGACTTTGAGCTTTATTGCAAAGCTGGGTTGCGGCATGATCTCATGTTGCCGTAATTTATTCATTTCAGGTCTCCATCGTATGATTCCAATATTGAACTAGTATTTCAATCTCATAAACATAAATTTTGGATTAATTTTAATCTTTTCATAAAAAAATTTATAACATCTGAATCTCATTTCAAAAGCTTTTGATATCTAATTATCTCTTTGATAGGGTTAGGTGAAATACATAATCTCGAGACCTGAATAAAAATTTAGATAGATTTTGGATTATAAGTTACCCTATACACTTTAGCTCATCAACAAAGTTCCTTCTACGATTTAGCTTTGCATCCTGAAAAACCGTGGTCAGCGTATCAAAATAACATGTATTTACAGAACATTCTCAACGAATCGGTAAATCTCTCTGCTGGTTCATAGAAGAGGAATTCTCAAGACCACCACACGAAGACAGAAGTGACTTCGAGACAAGAGAAAAACGATATCCAGTGCATCGTTGATAAAGGGATCCCAGTGCGCAGTTGGGTGCAAGCCACAACAGCTGGAAAGCCAGGAGGATATGTCCATGTTCTTACCCGCAGCGGCATCCTTCGTACGACGCAGTCGTCACCTAACGGTTTGTACGAATCCATGCGATGCCAAGTACCAACATACGCGGGCCCCTGGCTGTTCCTGCTGCCATATTCGAGGGGCACAGTCGGTCGTTTGCTGCGAAATTCGGATGTTCACCTCTGCTGCACAGAATCTAGCTCCCGCCGGCGATGAGCGACGCCAGGGCTGACCTTCTGACCACCGAATCGGACGCCCGAAAATTAACCGAACGTGAATTCGCCCGAAAGTTCACGGTCGGACAGATGCCCGACCCGACCCGACCCGACCCGACCCGACCCTCCAGCGGGAGAGGACGATGCGCGTCCGTCAACGGGCACGCCCGCAAACAAAGCGACGGATGACTGGCAGCGGGAGCTGGACGAGATTCCGAGTGGCCGTCGCCGTCATCGCTTTGGAGAGAGCGACGTCTGGAAAGTGCCAACTGGCAAACCTCGGCCGCAATCACGCTTCGCCAAACGGACGAATCTGTGTCGCGTGCGGCGTGGAGGAAGGTGGCCATGCGCGAGTCTACGGGACGCCAAGTGAAGCGCAGGCGAGGCAACAAGCCGCATCTCTCCTCCCGGTGACTCACTCCCTCCCTCACTCAGTGGCGCTTCCTTTGACCCGGAGCTCGGTCCGTAAGGAGAAGCCACCGTAAAGCACAGGATGGTTTCGTGCTGTGACCGTGACCGATCCCGGAAGTGGCCGGAGGATTCTGGCTCCGGCGAGACGACGCAGTGCCTATGGTTTATTTAATACTTTTATTATTTTTTCTAAAGTAGGCAAAACATTTTTATACTGTAGTTCTCATTTCATTACTTTGTAAAATATTGTGCTTCTCCGTGTGCAATCCCGTAACCAAGTATGGAAAGGTATAATAATTGGTAATTTAAACGCATAAGCTAATAAAAACTTAAATATTTGTTTTTTTCTAATTAATTGTGAGACGTGGGCTCCCGGGAGCAGATGGTGCAGTCGGACAAGTCGCTCACTCCGTCGGGGAGAGAGGTGGACTTTCGTGGCTGGAGTCACCACGAGTCGGAGTGACACTCGTGGGACTGTTCTCGAGCTCGCTCTTCACGATCGGGATCTGGTGCTTGGTCTCGTCGCGACTTTTTGGCGAGTGTCGATTGCATGAATGCGCTTCCTGTAAAGAGAAAGGGTGCTCCTCGTCTGCTTAATCGTAACCATGTGCTGTATCTACGTTCTCCACCTTCGTGATTCGAGACGTGGGGAATTGTCGAGACCCTTGAAATATCACTCGTTCGGAATCTGTAGCATACGAATGCTGTTACTCTCGGCCGACGACAATTTTACGAACTGCTTCCCGGTTTGATATAATTTCCTTATTTCGAAGTGTTTGTGGAGCTTCATGTTCTCTCAAGCTTTTTGAGATCGTCTCTCGAAATCTGTCCGCATGAGTCTGCAAAATTGATGATCTCATTTGCGCCTTGCCTCCAATATTAATCTTGTTCGTCAATATAGCTGGATTTTACTAAAGCTTTACGACAGTGAAATGAAGAATCTATACCACATCTAATAGTGGGCTGGGGAGTTGTGGTCGTTGCATATGGTTGCCTTCAAACCGAAGGTAATTTCACCTAAGCAGGACTTCTTAGGTTTCGAATAAAGACGAATAGGTTGGAAAAGTTCACCAACCCTACTCGAAGCCCTCTAGCCCCAACAGAAGCATGGAATTAGTTCATAAGTTTGTAGATATTGTAATACAAAGTACTGCATCAAGTTCGTTATTCTGCAACGAACAAAAACACAGTCTATCTCGGGCGCAGTACTCTCTTCTCAAATGTCCTCCATCTTGACTCTTGCCTCTTTTGAGTCTGCCCCTCGTGCTTCAGGAGGACAAAGTGTTGTCATTGGATATCTTGGTTATCCATCTATAGCGCAGGATTAATTTTTTGATGTTGCAAAAAGAATTCAACATACGCGTTCTCTTTTCTTTACTATTTGTGTTTTTTCTCTACGACTTAACTGCTCGCCTGCTTTGATGAAATACAATCGAACAGATAATTTCTTCTCAAGAAAAACTAGTTTTACATTCTCAAAGACACAAATTAATCGTGGACGCTCGACAGCGACTACGGCCTTGAATATGTTGAGCTCTTACACAAGCCATGAGTAGATTGCAATGATTCTCTTCTCATGCAACTGCCCTGTGTTTCTTTACTATCCCTCCTCTACACAAGTCCTTCAGGAGTCTCTATCAGGCCATCTTCCAAGGACCGTGTAATAGGCGCTCGAAAGAGAGGGAATGTGCGTTAAATAGACCTTCCGGGTTTGAAGAAGCTCCGAAGAAAGTCAGGTTAGAGAGCCCTTCAGTACGAAAGACTTGTGCCCAGACATAGCCAAAACTTATTGGCTAGACCTCCGGACAAGCATCAACTACTACTGGAGTATCATACAACTGATCTTGCCCCCACCTTCTCTCCTTAAGCCTCGTTCCAGTGCTCGTTTGCACTGTATTTTCTACTCAGCAACACTTAACTATTATCCTGTCACAAGGGTCTTCTTTAAAGCATTAACCAAGTACGTTTCTTCTGAAGAGTTTAGGAAAGGAAAAGTTAAGGTGGACGAGAAGGCCCTTGCGCAGTCGATCCACTACAACAACGACATGCAAGACCAGTCCGTCAATTTACGAATTAAGTATTTTTGCTAGAATGCTTGAGCACATGACAATGTCTCGAGACTCTGCACTAGCGAGCGATACTTTACACCGGGAGCATGTGCACGATATCTCCAACACTGACAAAGATATTCTTCAAAGAGAACAAGAAACGATATCCTCCAGAGCTAACGAGTGCCACGATGAGAATTCGTTCCTTTGTCTTCCTCCCTCGTAACCTCTTTTCCTACTTTCCAGAGTTGTGTGTTGCAGTCGTGCTCTGCTGACGTGGAGAGCATGCATCGCAGTGATGGTCACTATGACTTCAAAAGAAGCGGCTTTCAAATTATCAATTGCCTTGTAATCATGTCGCATATGGAAGTAGTGTAATGTGGAGTTACTCAGGTATCAACTTGGGACTCGGAAATTTCAACACCTTACCCCTTACTAGTCAGCTATCTCATCTGAATATATTTTCCCAGAAATTCAGTTTGCACAAGTCCACTTCTATTTGTTCTGTGCACAAGGTCAAAGCCTTAGCCTGATGAGTGCAAGTGTCTGAGTCAGTGAGCTGTTTCCGTTCGGAAAGGACATTAGAAATGTCAATCAAGTAGACCATTCCAGTGAAATGATGTGTTAATCAATGCAAGTCTCTGAGTCAGTGTGAGAAGTTTTTTTCTGAGCAATGACATAAAAATTGTCAAGCCAGAGACCTCAAGTGATCATTCCAGTAACATGATGTGTCAATCAGTGCCAGTGTCGGAGCGAGTGAGAAGTCTGATTGTAAGCAATGATATAAAGATTTCATGCCAGAGACCTCTAGTGACGATTCCACTCACATGATGTGCCAACCAGCTTCAGTGTCGGAGTGAGTGTGAATGGTTTTCTGTAAGCAATGACACTAAAAGTTCCCATCAAGAGATCTCAAATGACCATGCCAGTAACATGATGTGTCACTGAGCACAATGTTACATAGACGTGCTTGCAAGCTACCGGATGTGCGATCGCCAAAGTTGACTCCCAACATGGAATCCACTCTACGGAGGTCAGGTTTTCAGGCACGACTTAAAATGGACAGGTGAAATGCTTCTCGCGCTGGCACTCAGAAAACAACCAAAATCCTCATTCATGCAAACTGGGTTTGAGGTTTTACTTTATCCTGAGTCCAAGATACAACCACAACAGGTTCGAAGAAAATTTTCTCTGGCGCATTCAATGCTTGGAATACTCAATTCGATAATCTGTTCAGTTTTCGACGACCTACTCGAATACTCTTGACCGAAGAGTTCAAGACACATTCTTAAAGTTTCATGCGGCAGAATCTGCAACAAGCAGCGATTTTCTATCTCTCCTTAGATTCCAGCCCAATTAACCTGATGATATCCGTAGATTTTAGACCACACACTCATAGCAGGTAAGATATTCCACAAAGAAAGCAACCAAAAGAGAGGCTAACTTGGCAGTTACTGAAATGAAGAACCCTGAACATGATCATCCCATAATATTCAAAATAGAGAAGACAAAAATTTCTTGCATGTCACACGCTAATGCGTAGGAAAATAAAATGGGCTTTCTCATTGAGGTTTGAGTATCGTGTATTTTATGAATTATCGAACTACGTACGAATTTATCAATCCCACGATGCTCGACATGTTTGCAGATTTGCTTCACGTACTCGTGATGGAGAAAAGAAAAAAAGACGGCAGTAAAAATATTTGTGACTATAATAAGCGCAGACATTTAAAAAACTAACTGACTGCTAAAGCAGGCAACATATCACACAATTAATGCATACCAATCACAGTCGAAGAGATGGCGGACCAGGTACGGTATATACTTTACTGAACAAGCTGTTCAATAATATGGTGTAATTTACAAAAAGTAAAGCAGCAAGTTGTAAACATTTGGTCTAACTGAACAACCAGACTCCTCTTTCGGCTTTCAGGTGTTCTTCTATTGAATCAGCGAAGAAAATGGATAATTTTTTCTGTCACATAAACCCTTGGGCCTGCGAGACAGCTGAGTAAATAACAAGACTAACTCTGAGTACTAAAGCAGGTCATATCTCACACAATATATGCATTCCAAATACAGTTGCAGAGATGTCGGACGAGGTAAGGTGTTGGGCTATACAAGCTATTCAAGAATTGATGTAATTTACAGAATGTAAAACTGCAAGCTGTAGGAAATTGGTCTCAGTGAAAATAGAACCAGAAGCCTTTCAGATGTTCCACTAATGAACAGCGAAGAGAATGGAAAAAAATTTCTGTCCCATGAACCCTGGGGGCTGCAAGACAGCTGAGTAATTTACAAGTGAGTGCCACAAGGCCACGTCCTATCAAAAACGTTGGGTGGATCATTAGTATTCAGTGATACTCAATACAACTAGCGCCGTAATTGCTCTCTCGTTCCCCTGGTTTTGTCAACATCTCTGCCGGCTAGCGTTCATCTTCGAAACGAAAAGCTTTTCATAAGGCTGTGCTCGGACGAAGCCTGATATGCCATGTGAAAGCTGAGACTCAAAAACTTGCTAGTACATAAACCGGCACATTACAAGAAGACCAGTTTAGCCTTGATATACATAACAGCACTCAACCTAACCTAATCTTGTCAAAACTGATTCTAGGGAACTTTTTAGGACAGTAATTCCTCTTCCAATCTACGTTGTTTCTCAAGGTCAGCAATTGATCTTTGATAATCAAGGATGATCCAAATCAAGTGCCTGAGGCTAAATTCTGGCCATAAAACCTTACAGAACGCTAGATGACTTGCAGCGCATTGCCAAAGAAGAAAATTGCTTAATCGAGTCTCTCCAGACGTCCGAATGAGTATGTCAGGCGGTGGACAGCCTGCTGTATAAAGATGACAGTCAATTTCTTTGACAGTAATAAAGTCTAAATTTAAAGGCAGTACCTTCTTACTTTCCCAATTCTCTGATTCGTCTGTAACTTCACTAACCGGAAGTTGCTCACTAAAGAAAGTATGCCCTATGACCATTCTACTCGGCGGCTCCTCCCCTTTCCTGGAGCCATTCTCCAATGTTGCCTGCGACCCTAAAGCCTCGTCACGAACCCGGCCATTCTTCCTACTCCGTAATCTACTTTCCGAACATACAGCTGGAGTCTTGTTGCTCATTGTTTCATGTAGTACATAATCAGTCCTTTCTTTGTTCCTCACCTCAAGATGTACGGGACTGGACTTCGAACACAAAGCATCAATTTCTCTACTGTGCTGATAGTCGTTGTTGACTGCAGGTCGATAATCCTGCTTTGGCTTGTAGAGGACATTCCAGTCACCACTTTCAGCTTGTGCAGACCAATCGTGGGTGGAGTCTTTGGCATTATCGAGGACCGACCGTGACAATGATGTACAAAATCTATCGCGAATCTCTTGAATGGAATGCACTATTTCTGCTGTGGAGGTGTAAGCCACACATATGTTGAGAACAACTGACCTATTTTGCTTGGTGGCCACCATCGCTCGCTCGGCAGCTGCACGCACATTGCTAGGCAATAGTGAGAGATCTCCTAGAACTTGTACCCTCACCCCAAACTCTTTGGTCAGACGACTACTGTTGCACAGATGATCCAGCTTCTCTTCCATCAAATTCATCAACGCACTGACTTCATCCGCAGGCCTCTGGAAATTGTCAATGCTGAAGGCATAAACTGTGACATATTTCACTCCCAACTGCAGGCAGTTCTCCAAGGTGCCGATCAGGCGATCGTAGCCATGAAGGTGACCCATAGACCGATTTATTCGGGTTCGATCGGCGTATCTTCTGTTCCCGTCCATAATGATTGCAATATGCTCGGGGATTGGACCGACTGCGAGTATCCGGAGGAACCACCGGCAGAAATAGCCACACACCGAGGAGTACAAAGAAATCAAAGAAGAAAGAGGAGAAAAGGACGCTGGATTAGCCTCTTCCATGTTGACAGCACCCTAAATTGGCTCGCACTGAGCGGCGTACGAAAGTTGTTCACTCGGAAGTGGAAGCCTCGTCTTCCATCCCATTCAGCCCTCTTTCTCTGTCACCTCAGCTTCTCCATTCCCCTGCACCTTCCAGAACGATCCGAGGGCCCTTCTCCAGGACCCGAACAGCGGGAAACTTGCACGAATCTCACAATCTTCCCCGACCACTGATGTCTTCAGCGGAGGCCCCAGACCACCAACCGAACAGCTTGACGAGAGATCAGCTGCACAATTGCATGTCATAGTTCAGCATGCGTTCATAAAAAAACCCTCCGGTGCTGGAGCTGAGGACTACGATCTTCTCTCCAAGGCGCCTGGAAATCTTTGAATCAGGGACGAACAAGTGGCTCAACCCCGAGCACCAACAACCATTACCGCCATGAACATCAGGCGGTCAAACTCTGTTGCACATTGGTACGCAGATCTTGAGGGCGATCAGACGAAATCTACCTCATTATCGCTAAGCTCACGGGCTGGCGCCATTAAACCATCATCGGCCGCGCTGTTGCAGCTCTAAACCCAGAACAGAGGATTGAGCTCCACGAGCACAATAATGTTCAGTGGCAATCGGACTCATCAGCGAAGATGAAAAAAGAAAAGAAAAACCAGAGCATTCGAAATCGACCGAGCTCGAGAAGAAAATATGCAATCGCCGGAATTTATGTCGACAGAAGTGAAGGTCAAGGCCCCGCTCCGGTCCCGTCCGGGACTCTGGTCAGATCAGATCAGGCCATTCCGTGTGGCGTCGTCGTGTCTAGTCGAGTCATGTCTCGCTGCATAGTCCGCTGCCACTGCGCGGACTATGTCATCTCGTGGTGACATTGCATGCACTCTTCCTCCCCTGATCAAGTCGGATGAGTCAGGAACGTGGTCGTCTTTGGATGACTGTGGTTGAACATCTTACTGAGTTGATTCTTACCTAGTTTCCTGACGGCCAGTTGCCCTGAAGCCTCGTTCGGAGTCTGCCGCTGCGCTTAGCGACTGGTCAGTTGATTCATTGGTCTACGGCACAGCCAACTGTGATTCGATTGATATGTTGTTTGATTTTCTGTAGTAATGTTGTACCTCATGTATTAAAGCACATCATTTCTGTGTTTAAGTATATTTTAAGGACCTGCCAAAATTAAATGTTGTTGCAATATATGCTTTGCTTTGATTCACCCCGTCTTTGTGACAGTAGATTTAAGGGACCTGCTGTGAATATCGACGCAGTTGAGAGTTTCAGAATTTTTTTTAGAGGTTTAGTTACAACTCTTGAAGTTCAGGCTTTGGACTGCAGAAAATCAAATTCTCAAGTCATCGAGGTACTGATCGAGGCGCCGATCAAATGAGTGGGTTCGTATTTCTCATGCTGAAATGTCGAAGAAATCTAGTTGTTTCCTCGAGACTTCTGAGCTACGTCACGTGAAGACCAGGAGCCCTCCGATCTCTAATCTTCCGGGCAGAGAAATATCGTTCCAACAAGGGTGTGAAATTGAGAAACCACGTCACGCGGTGGACCAAGACCGTCGGATCGACAAAGCCTGACGATGAGTTGGAGAGACCAGTTGGAGAGTCGAGCCGGTCTGAATGAGCATTTGGTTACCGGTTACCGGTTGTTTGAAAGTCATATGGCCAAAACGACGGGAAGAACTATGAAGAAACACTACGGGTAACATGAGCATCACAATCTGAAATCCAGGACAAGATTACTGTACGCTCAACTGAACTGTGTCAGTGGCGTCTACAGCACAGTCGCGAATCATGGTTGGAGTGAGTGGACAGTTGAAGAGCGAAAATCCAAGGAACCTGACTGCTCCATCGACCAGAGAGACTATGAACGTACAGTTACCATTTCAGAGGCCAGTGTAGACGATGAGCGCAATACTCCAGCAGAGAATTTGTCAATTCGGAGGAGGTAGAACAAGAGGCGATGGTGTGTAGCGGGGCCCTTGGGGCCACAGGAGCCATTCCATGCATGCGATCGCAAGGGACACTGTCAAGATTACGCTCATTGCAGCCTAACCTCTGTTGCCATCAACTATCGAGTGCTAGTTTTGCACTGACGAATGGAGCTCTCTTCACCTCGGTTGCGGATCAGAGGAAGGCGGTCGGGCAGCAGAGGTTGCGAGTCAGGGCTGCTGGAGCAGAGCCAGAATTGGATTTGGTGAAAGCCAAGTCTAACATAATGGACCCAGGTTTGTTTGTTGTCCCGTCGATGCTAGTGATCTGAAGTTGCTTGTATTTTTCTCTATTTTTTTCCCTCTCGAGTCTTTGAATGTCAGGACCCAAATACGAAATGTACGGAATTCGGGTCTATCGACACTTCTTATGTCGAAAGACAATCTTCTACTTTGTCAGGATCAATCTGTCTTTTTCTTAACCCATGAATTTCACGGAACTTCCTGATTGTTCATGGAGCCAAAACGAATTTACAGTAGATTATTAGATGCACGATCATACTACGTCATACTACGTCAGACAGCTTATAAATTTCAGAAACAAAAGAAGGTTCCAAGGTTAGGAACTTATACGGGGTTTAAGAGTTCTAGGGCATTTTGCTTGGCTGGTCCCAGCGTCAGTGACACCGTTTCGATATTGCTCAGTTATTGGCTGCCGAGTTCACACCGAATTGGCGGTTATAACTCTTTTCTAACTTTTCGGCCTGTAAAATTTGTTTTCAATTCAACTGTGAAGTGGAACAAAAAGAGCTGGCATTGTGTTCCAAATGTTGGGTTGAAGATTCTTTTCTCTCAGTCAAGGTTCAAGAAGAAATATTTTAGCATGGAGCTCTCTGATCTTTGCCTTTGCCCAAGCATCGTACCTTCTTTGCACAGTAGTTGTATTGTAATTGAACCTTTGCAATGATGTGAAGCAGGTGTTCTGGATTTGTGGCGAAATGCAGAAGCTGTATGTTTTGACGTGGACAGTACTGTCTGTGAGGACGAAGGTATCGATGAATTGGCTGCCTTTTGCGGTGCAGGTGAAGCAGTTGCTGCTTGGACAGCCAGGTGAAAGTCACATTTTTTAACACGCGTAGCTTCTAAACATCTGGATGTAATTGCTGCTTATCAGAAATTTTCATTTGCTATGATCGATGTCTGAGACTTTTCGTACAGATTTATCTGATCTCAGTGTCTTCGGCTATCGTAATGAAGTAGTGGGTGGGGTCTTGAACGTGTGAGCAGCTCTCTGGTTTTGTGAAACGTTTTACAGAATGCTGTGGGCCGAACTGTTATTCACAAAGATGGTTAGTTTGGGATGATGCACACCTGTTGCGTATGCTGAAGATTCTACTGAGACAGATTGACCGGATCAATAATAATTCATAATTTGGTTGTTTGTACAGAGCCATGGGCGGATCTGTGCCTTTTGAGGTAGCCCTTGCTGCTAGGTTGGATCTTTTCAAACCTTCTGCGTCAGATGTTGCAAAACTATTGGCTAGCAAGCCACCAAGGTGACTGGATTTTGAAGTGATATCAGTTTGTCAAATATTGACTTGTAATGTGAAACCTCTTGTGACTCGAAGACAGTAGAGCTGAAGCCGGCAAAAGAATAGGACTTTCCTGAAGTAATCCAATTGCCAAGTTTAGTAAGTAAAATTTGCAAAATATGTCCACTTTTGCTGTAAGTAATGGTGTCAGCCAACCTGCTGACAGGATGCGTGCTGTCAGCTGATGCTGAGAAAGATGGGGTGATGCAGACTTAGCACCGGTATAAAAGACCTTGTTAACAAACTTCATAGCAAGGGCACTCATGTATACCTCGTATCTGGAGGATTCCGGCAGATGATCGAGGTTTGTGGATAGGCTAATGAGTCAACGTACACAGGATGATTACATTATCGTAGCCAAAAGTTTATACCAGTGGAGGGACTCTTTGTTCTCTGGTAGATGTTCCTTATACATATAGTTCCTTTTGCTCGTTCTATCCCTTCGTTACAATCTATGATCTGGTTCCATCATTGATTCTTCCTCTTAAGATCAGTATATGGTTTTTTATCTATCTGCAGCCAGCAGCTGAGCTCTTAAATATTTCCAAAGACAGAATCTATGCCAACAATCTTCTGTTCGGAGAAAATGGAGAGTTTACAGGGTTTGATGCTACCGAACCCACCTCTCGAAGCGGGGGCAAAGCGAAGGTTATTGAGAAAATCAAGGCTGTGAGTACATGATCCAGTTTTCGTTATTCCGTATACAGCAGAATACTTTTGCAGTGGATTTTACTCCCATTGGAGTGAACTTTAACTTGTCTCTCTGCTCTGTAGGCAACAAGTACATGTCAAAATGATATCGAAATTTACACTTAACGCGAACTAAGGAGTAGTATGCCTTTGAATTCCGACAAGAGTTCATATGAAATGGTTTTTGCCCCTTACGAATCTTGAAATTCTTAGCACTTTATCACAATGATGTTATAGATACAAGGTACAAACTCGAAAAGAACGTATTGACGAGAACAAGTTATTCACATTCATACTCTTTGTTTCCTTCAGGAGTTTGGCTACACAAAACTGATAATGATTGGTGATGGAGCTACAGACTTGGAGGTGAGCCTAGTTAATCTGGACCAGCTTATAGATGTTTACTTTGAATCTCGATTTCCATTTGTGTACATCACGCCAATGTTTGTCCCGTATGATGAATGTCAGCAAGCATGTTGTCTGTTCTTGTCTCGGAAAAAGGTGCAGACCTTGTTCTGAATAGGAGATGACCTTAAGACGTGTGGATCTCAGGCAAGGAGGCCAGGAGGAGCAGATATGTTCATTTGCTATGGAGGAGTAGCAGTCCGTCCTAAGGTGGTTGAAGGATCAGACGTGTTTGTCACTACCTTTACGGACCTTATCAACACACTCTAAGCTCACTACGCTTGAACGTCGGTTTCTTTGAAGTGAAACTCTTGACTTAGCTCAGCGTGATCTTGGAACTTTGTACCGTTCAAGTGTGGCTGCAGATGCACCACCTGTCTGCCGAAAAACCCAAGTCAGCACTTGTGGAGGATTTAGGCATAGGACAATTGTAGGCAGGAATCGTCCTCTGTCACTTGAGTTCCAGTTACAGACTTCTTTCAGTGGAGTGTTGCTTGATCACATTGATCTGCAATACTGGTTGTTTTAGAAGGTCTCCGAAAGCAAATCAAGCAAATAAGCTTGTTGCCTTCATATCTGTAACCTGCTGGAAAATCCAGCAACATTTTTGATTTCAATGTATTATGGTGAATCCCTGACGAGCCACAAGTCCCAAGCGAGATAGCAGTTGTTTTCATACACGTGAAAAACTGTTTTTTTCCCGTTTGAGACTAGAATTTCATTTAGTTACAATGGACACGTTCAGGGCTTTGTATATTTCTGTCTCTAGTCGTTCTTAGCTTTAACGTCATTTACGGGAGTAGATTAGACCTCCTTAAAAGTGGCATTTGCCATTTTTGCCACCTTTTCGTTAATTGTGTATCCAACATTTTTGAAAAGTGGCATTTGTATTGACAAACTGTTGTGAGTCTTGAAACCATAAGAGATTGAGCTTATTTCACGAGAGCGTCAGGCAGGGTTGTTTCTCGGTTGTGGCTAACTTAGGTTCCACACTCATGTTATGTTCACCGGACACCTAAAGCCATCGATATTTAAAGAGAATTTAGAAGAGCCCATGAACAGGCCGCATGATTATTCACCGTGAGGACACCAAAAGCACAGAGCCCTAGTCATGAGAAAAAATGAGTTCGAAGTTCATGAGGATATTAATTTTCAGTTGAATAGTGCCAACTTCCAAAATCCACGAGACGGAACATATCTCCTCAAAACCTGAGGTGAAGATGAGTGACATCACGTGTCTTTAATCTAGGACAGGAGAGAAATTCGGTTTTATACCCAGAATTCTGGCATTAAAATTTTAGAAAATTTTCATGGTATATGTGATATTATTTCTTCTAAAATTACATCCATGAGGTGACCATGCGTTATTTCGATTTCCATCCGCAAGCGGCTCAATAACACGGCTAAAAAACACTGACACTAAAGAGGGCTCAAAGTCTTCATGGTGACATCGACCCAATTTGAATTGTGGCAAAAGTGGCAATTTTTAACAAAATGCCACTTTTAAGGAGGTCTGGAGTGATGCAATAGAATGTCCAGCAACTTGGACGGGCTGAAGAGCTTGAACGGCTTCACGATATAACCACAAGTATCATTGAAGCAACATATAACTTTTCTCTTCGGCAGACTCTAGTACATTAAAAAGTCGAAAGAGCAGTAACAGTCAGGTTGGAGGACAAAGCTTGGAGATGTTTCCCGCTAATGCAATGGATTTAATCTTCTAATGTTACACGACAATAAATGTAAAAGACATTCATAACAATATTTAATTAACACGGAACAGCCGACCAAATGAAATATGATTATACTCACTGTATATTTCTGGATATTTTTCTAATCGTCTATGAATGTGGTGGTTTCGGCCTTGAAGTTTTCTTCACTTGTGTCTTTCCCAAAATAGATTGTCATCATTTCCATCAATTTACCTATGTCCTACTATGTTCCCCTAGATTTAGTTTGATCACCTTGTTCCCCTAAATTTAGTGACCGCAATCTCATTAATACAAACACTTGAAATTATAATTAGAACTGGTTGAATGAAAAAATGTTCGGGGTCAAACGGTCAAATGTCTTCATCTAACGGTACTCATCTTCGATTCCAGATGATCCAGACTGTTGGTCTCCAGTAGCGTTTTTCTTCCAACGTCCCCGCCTCCGGCTCGGGAAGGGCACGTAGCCGGCTAACTTTCGGCTAGCCGATACAAGCGGTTTGCCGGCCAGGGCCTCTAATTTTTCGGCAATAGCCCGAAAATGCAATCAACCGAAATTTTCGGCTAAAATAAACATTTATTGGATAATTTTGAGTAAATAATCGGTCGAAAACGGGAATTCAATCCTAATTTAGGATTAACTTTCGGCCTCGGATAGAGGTGGCAATATTTATCGGCTAACAAAAAATATTAGCCGGCTAGCCGAGCCGTGCCCATAGATACCTCCGGCAATCAATCGGGATGCAGCTATGCCAACGCGGGGTGCGGAATTTCTAGGGCCGGGAAGATTGCCATTCCGCCTCGTCGAATCGGGCTGAGCTGATGGGGTTTTGGGTGGAGCTGAAGGGTTTCGAACGATGGGGCTACTACTTCCGGAGGTAATTCTTGCTCTCACTGTCGGGATTGAGTGCTGGAATGGTGCAGGGGACGACGAGCGAGCGTGTTTGCTCGCTCCATCCGTCGATTTTGGTCGTGCAGCTGCTGGAGTTTAGCCTGCACATGGTTGAGGGATGCGATGGAGGAATCAGCGGGTCCGAGTACTGCTACTTGGGAGACTTCGACGCCTCGAGCAACCTGGAGGCGTGGCAGAGGTTCGGAACTGCGGTGCGTGTCGCTCACTCGCACGCCTTCGTGAGCTCGTACATGAGCTTCGACGAGATCACCGATTGCAGCACAGCGATGGCTCGAGCTCCAGCGAGGATTTTTTCCTCCTCACCACGCAGTGCCTGAAGCGAATGCAGGGCGCCTCGTCGCTGCAACATTGATTCGGCGAGCCGAACACAAAGCCGAGGGCATCCGTTTTGACTTCGACTACCTGTACTACTTCTCGGTCGACCCGAGTGGAACTCCTTCAGGCTCCGAAATCCGAATCTTGGCACTCCGAACTCCTGACGGCCCGACAGAATTTCCGAGGCACAAAACATGGTCATCACCGCCGGCAACGACAGCAACAGGGTAATTCTAGAGCTAATACATGAACCAAGGCCCTTGATTGTTGTGTTTCGGTTAATCATGATAACTCGATGATTTTCACGGACTATCCTTGATTCAAATTTCTGCTTGATCAACTTTCGACGGCAAGAGAGAAGCAACGACATGAACAAGTGTGGATGCAATTCTCAACCATTGGTATCAAAGCAATGAAATTTTCATTGCTCTGATACCAATTGTTGGGATTTACATCAATGCATTAAATGTGAATAAAAAATCCAACATCATGGTGTTAGATAGATGTGACTCACGGCGATTACACTTGATAGTGGTTAACACTAGCAATGTCAACATCATTTTGCTACATTATTTGTTATATGTTGTGCTGCCCTCCTTTCTAATCCGAATGTCACAAGACTTACCATAAAGACCACTAAACCTATTTCTTTAGACCAGAAAGTTGTTTTTCGTCCCCATCTCCTTCAACTTAATCACGCATGGGCTCCTCTTTTGACTCATGACTGAATTTATACAACTCCCTGAATTAGAGACGAACGTGAATCTGTGTCACATTCAGTATGCCCAATTTAACTGTGATAGATCATGTCTTGCTATTATAGACAGTTACGCATGGCCCCTGGGGGCAAATACTTTTCATGTCACATCGAGTTATCAGCTCTTTCATGTCACTGGTGCTACTTATGTCTTTCACCACTGCCCGCCCGGATACAGTGCTCGATGCCATCCAGTGTAGAAAATCGGACAAAAATCTTACACGATGTAGTGAACTTGTATTTCTGACAGATGTAGATCACCGTGAGATTCGAGAAGTCAAAAGAGCGTATGTGTAACATATTTGATGGCTCCATTTATGAGTCCTACTGATTTCATCTTCTTCAACATCTTGGGGAGCATGATCACAAAGCATTATTTGACTCAGGGTTCATTCTACCAGACTGCGATGCAATCACATCCGCAATTGTGTATATAGAGGATATGGCTGTGGTTATCCAGGAAATAGTCCACCTAAAAATGGTGGACACCGAGTGTAACTATGAAAGCATTCGAGGTGACCAGGTCCAGACTGAGATCCGTCCAATCAGAGGGATGGTACACGATGCAAGATCCAAAACCCAAATGATTAAAAATAAAAGCTCGTTCGATCTTTGAACTGTGTTGTGCATGATCACGCTTGCAAAAATCAGGAACTTGAGACTGGAACTACAGTCTACTCTCTTATTGTAACGTGGGAGTAGCTCCCTTTGTTAGACGTACGGACGTTATTTGTTAGCGATAGGTTTTATAGTTGCAATCAAACCTTAGTGGACACAAAACACCATAGCAAAATTTCAAAGTAAATGATTATTGAGAAGGTGCACTCTTTGTTACTTCGATATAAGTAGTAGTATTATACTTTAGTAGCCTACACAGGGTATCATTCTCGTTGGCGAAATTGAGTCAAATTGTATATTCTTATTAGAATTCATGCTAGTGATGATTTTTCGGACGCGCATTTAACATATAAATCATTTGCCCTCTGGGGCTCTGTCCCATCTTAACCTCCTGATTTATCCATCATTATCGTCAAACTACTCGTGTCTAGGTTGGCCTTTCCAAGAGACTTTCAACTTGAATTTGTGGAAAATTCAAAATCCGGATCGTGGGATTTTTAGTAATCATCCTAAGAATCGAAATAAGGACAATGAACCATGGTTTGCAGAGTCTGCAATTTACCAACTACTGGTTGCCCGGCATGTGCATAATGAACAATTGCTTATATAAAGTTATCTGGAGTTTATTGCAGTTGACGAGATTTGCAATTTTCTCGGGTTTTCCCCCGGGCTTGCTGCACTCTTAGAGAGACGACTGTCATGTGACTTGCTTCTCGGCTCCAATAATTCCAATCTCAACATCGAAATGGTCAGCGTCTCGCAATGTTGGCTACTCGTTGCCCGGATTCCAGAACTAAATACGGGAATTTAAGGACCAGAGCAAGCCAATTGATGACCCACTCAACATCTTGGTGCTAGATGCTTCTCGCGTGCAGTGCAGTCATAGCAGATACGATTCATAAGCCAGAATCACGATCGCCATGAACAACGATCATTCATCGTTGTCATGCCTTACAGTAGCTGCGTCAGTGTCCAGAATCCTCTTCTGCCCGTTGTTGGCGCTCTTGTTCTCCGCAGTATTGCAAGGTCATACATTCTGTGACGCCTCAGTGGATACCATGCCATGCCATGGAGCTAACGATTCGTGCAATGCACAGTATAGATTAGTGGATTTCACAGTGGGCCCATTTCGTGACATTTCTACGACAATCAAGTAAAATATTTGTATCTATAACAGGAGCACCACTTACGGTTCCTGAAAAATTCACCTTTTCTTTCGGCTATCTACCATTTCCTCCACAGTTTTGGTCTTGAAAATTAAAATGAAAAAACGATTTTCTTGGCTCTTTCAAGAGAGCTCTTGTTGAAACTTTCTTCCATATCAACCCATTATGTTTTCCATCCACCTGCTCATATCAACCGTGCAAAACTTATGGTAGCAAGCCCGGTTTATTTGAAATGAGTAATTTTCGAACGTACTCCATTGCAGTCCATTATATCATGGATTATTTCCTTCGATGCCCCTCTCGAGGTCATTTCAGTGTGCTCTCATAAATCCGTCTACAGCGAAATATGTTGCGTACCTATGAAACTGTTTCTCTTCCTTGTACCTGTCACAAACGTCCTCTTTATGACCAGAATCAAGAACGAATATTTTTTATATCTACTGCTTTATTATTTGCTACGAGCATACTGCTATACTATATTATTTGAGCAGGCGATGGGGCTGCCGGTCGTGAAATGCTCATCAAGCAAAGCTCGATCGAGCTCATGCCGTTCGGTCATTTCCTTTAGCCGAGGTCCATCTCCGGCTTTTTGGATGAGGCTTGGAATTTGACGAAAACGTCACGTACAGAATCCGGATGGGCATGCACAGCGGGCAAGTAGATGAAGTCCAGCGTCAAATAATCTCGCTCCAGTGAAATGCTGTACACTGTTTGGTAGTACTGAACTGTGAGATATCCTAAAGGTCTGTGTAGCTATAATGAAAGGGCGTGTTCCTCCAGTCATTTGTCACTCTTGCTCCAACTTCGATTGTTCTCGTCCCACCCATTATTTTTACATTGCAATTATTGCTTTTGGCTTTTATTTGCCTCAATTGCAGATCCGAGGCTCAGTGGACAGACTTCCACTGAAAAGCTGAAATTGCCTTCACATTCGGCAGCATGCACTGTGCATACAGCACTGGCTCTTCCACCAACCAGTGCAGATTACCCAATCATCACAGATCGCGTAAAAGTGCCATCAGTCAGCCTTAAAGCTCCTCTGTTGTAATTAAAGTCGTCCCAGATGGACATGCCTGGCATCCCTGGAGCTGCGTGGACTGTTGTGTCCAAGATAAGAGGAGTCTTACTAGAGAACCAAATGAATAGAATCCCATCTTGTGATAACTGTGACGATTTCTGTTCCTACTTATGGGGGCAGCAGTCTTCAGAAGCCGGCTGTTGAAAGTCGAGAGCCATATCATAGATTAAAAAATGATAAGGATGGAGATCAGAACCTCACCTCGCTGTTTCCTCTCGACTGAGATGGGTACGAAGGTTTTCTGAGAGGGAAGCCAATGACAATGTCGCGATTCCAGCCGCCAATTATAATTCACACAGGAAGTGTGTGTGAGTGACTGTATGTACGAAACTATATTCCCTCGCAGCACTTCCTGAACCCAGATTCAGTAAGAGGAACTACTAAATGGCGTGGGATGCAGAATTTGCAAAAGAGATTTAGTTCTGACCAGTCGTACAGGCACTAGGTAGGCATACAAGTGTTCTCGCCTCTATGGACTCAAGACTACTGTCACTTTGTTGTGTAAAAGCCCCCCTCCATATCGTTACGGTTCCTACCCGCCAGCAATTATTGTAGTTCCTCCAGTGTTTCGAGAGACCCACTGTAATTATAAGTGGTTGCTTCTGAGAACCCAGTGCCATGGTGTGAGACCAAGTCAACTTGGAAAGTAGCAATCTGACCAAAACTGGGAAGAACAAACAGTTAAAAGGGTATACACAGACCCTTGACAGTATACCCAGAAGAGAAGTGGAAGCCCTGGGAAATTCCCAGGCTAACATTCACCTTCCACGACACAATTGAGCATCATTGTCCCCACCTTGCACAGGTGAGCCTACATGGATGGAACTGCAAAAGCTTCCAAGTGTTGTTAGGCAACGTAGGACTTTGGACCTACAGCAAAAGGTAAGGATATGATTCGTTTCGTTCAAACGCGTTTGAATCATAAGTTCCAGACAGCCTGAAAATACGGATTTGCCAGGATTGTTTCTCTCCCTCATTCTTTTGGAAGAGTGGAGAGTTGGGGCCACTTTTCCCTCACAAGCTTCCAATGATTTTTACTGTACTTTCGTGTATCAGATAATCAAGAAGGGTGGCTGTGGAAAATGATTGTAGCATGCATGCAGTAGGAAATGACAGACGTACAATTGATCCATGGGCATCATACGATGGCATCCACGTTAACAAAGGTCCGGTGCACATTTTTCAAGCCCCAGTCAACGTCAAGGTCCAATCATCATAGCGAACTCTCACGGTGATGACTGGACCACTTAACGAGTAGTTCGTTGCTGAGGAACCACATGAGGCGTAAAAGCCGCAATGCACTAGTTTGGCACACTTCCATAGGCAACTTCACTTTTCCATGGTTCAGTCTGAGGCCATCGTCACTTCTTCTTGGTTTCGTCATTCATGCCTACATAGCTCTGCAGACGTCGCTTGCAACTTTGTACGGTGCCAGCAGCGCAGGACCACACTCCTTCTGTATGTCACTCAGGTGAGACAACATTCATCGGCCGAGAGCATAACACGCATGATGGAAGCGTGTAAAGCTAGATGGATGCTGGTCGTGCACAATGGTCCATCATGACTGAGGTACGATTCGTATCAAAAGGCATTTGGTGACTGACTGAGGCCTGATTTCACCACTATCTTGCCAGGCATTGCTTTCCTGGCAGTATTTCCTGATTAAAAGAGAACACCTAACTGGGATCAAAATCTGCTCTCATTTTTCAAGCCCTCGTAAATCTACACTGATGTTTGATGTCTTCTCTGTCTCGTCAGCTCTCTACGTCTGGTCTCAAGGCAAAGTCCCTAACAATGTCTACCACTTGATAAGTGTCAAACCCTCCACGACGTTGCATAATGATGTCGGGTAGATGTGGGGCATGGTGGGATCCGCTCGTCGCACCTAAGGTTGTTCACTAGTTCTCTCGAGACGGCTCCACCCTGCCGAGCTTGGATGCAATGTATTTAGCACAGGTAATGAACTGAGAGGTCGCGGATATCAAGTGAAAAACTCGAAAAATCATCCTGGAGCTAAGGCGAATTTTGAAGTGATCAAATTTCCGAAGAGATTATCTTCCCCACAGGGTTCTAAAGACCAAAATGCGAGATTATGGCAGACTTCACAATGTAACAAACTCAACGTGGGCAAGGGTGAAATTGCCATATCTCCACTCTAGAATTCAGTTCGTGGTCGACGAAGAACCTCCTGTTTCGATTGCATGCACTTGACGTGTCTGGTTTCTCAGTCTTCCTTCTCTGGACCCCGACATTTGGCTGTCAGTGACAGTCGTAACCATGCACTCAATCCTTGTTCACGTTCACGTTAGGTTGGAGCAGTCCTGTCGCTCGAAGTCCTTAGTCTACACAACCTAAAATCCGCAGAAGGAATCTGGTTGGATGACCAGAAAGTTTTACGACAAGCAAGTGTAAGCCCACAACAATTTCGTCCTTCCTATGGGAAAAGACGTAAAGAAACCAATCAACTGCTCTTGATACCACTCTTGACTACAGAAGGCAAGAGTCTAGAGAGTTCTATGCAGTGTAGGATGACAAGCCTTATCCTTGAGGAATGGTCCTACCACGTTACAGAAGCTCGCAATATCTGGGAGACTTCTTACATTTTTAAATTGCATTGTAGGATCTGCTGAGGCATATTTCTTCTACAGTCAAATATCACTCGCATCACCTTCGAATGACCCCGTATCATCTAGTTACAAGTGGCGTCAGGTGTAGTGCCAGTTTACAATATGGGTGAACCATCTCCACATTCGCAATCTACATGCTGTTGCTGTGTGGTTCCATCTCCAATTCTCAAACGACTTCACAACCAGCCTGAGACACTAGATTATCCTCCAGTGGATCAGATGTACAACCGGCGGATGCAGAGTAGCAGGCTGGAAAAGAGATGCCTTCTTCGAAGAAAATCATCCTGAATCCAATCAATCGTTGAAAGCAGAGCAGTCCAAGTCTTCCCAGAAGCAGTGGATCCAAAAGTGTTGGACGATGTCGCGAATCAAATGAAACCACCTCTGCTCAGTAGCTCTCGAGTGAGCGCTTCATCTACCAAGTTGAACGTCTTTTCAACCAGCGTTTTGTCAACGGCAGTAGTTCTGTACACTTGGAACACCCTCCTTACATTTCCAGCATTCGTGTTCTTGTGAAATACCTCCCTGAACTTTTTCTCAACGTACCTGAATAATACGATCAACGAAAGCGGAAAGTGGATTGGAACCCATTCTCAGTAGAGTAAATTGATTGCACTTCTACTGCTAGCAATAGTTTCAGAGTATGCTTTTCACAGAGCCACTTCTTCAAGTGTGAGATTGAGATCGAAATATCTACTTACAAGCAAGCATCTCATTTGCATCGTAAGCCTACCACGACACTGAAAAAGCATAGCAGTCCACAAGGAAATGACAACATCAGCAAGAATCCATCATGCAACCAATTTAGGCTCTTCAACTTACTGATAGGCATGTGAGACCTCAGCTCGTCCTGTCGAGACGGGTTTATAATCACTAAACCATTCACAAACACTCAAAGGCACCTGAGCAATTGACAATACTGCGGTTAGTGTCTTCGATGATCATGTATGTATTGTTGAAGTTCTGCTTCCCAGCAAAATACCACGAAAATATAGAAATGAGAAATGAGCATGAGCAAGTACGAATTGACAATTCTGAGCTCACGCCCCAATTACTGTTCTAGATTAATAAAATAACTGTAAATGGAAATCGATCATTAACTTGAGTACAGTCTCTTGATATCACATGGTTAAGTGTTGAATGGCATATTGATCACGATAAACGATGATATATGTACCTTGTGAATCTTTTGTTCAAATAAGTCGAACTTGTTCAGAAAAAGTAAGAACGAGGTTTCCTGCACCCGATACCACGAAAAAAAATCTTCGACATTCAGTCCCATTTTAGCAAAAAGAGGAGAAAATCCAACTGAATCGCATACTTACGACATTCTTTCTCCTATATGCTTTCCATTACACCTCATATATTTCTAAGAGCCACTATGATACAGATATTAATAACATTGACCCTAAAGTTTTAACAGTGTAGGTGTATTAGATCGGACCTTAAAACATGACTGCTTTAACACCCAATCAAACAAATCTCTCGCTTCCACCATACGGTTGGTATTTTCATCCTCAGAAAGCGTCTGATCGTATCTGTGGAGAATGCCACAGCTTCAGGGTGAGAAGTCTACTAAAAATCAATGACTAAAACTCACAGCTAGCAAAGATGAAAAATTCTTAAGGTTCCCGTGAAAAACATTCTGATCAATAACCTTAATTGAGCTTAAAAAAGTTGCACGCGGGGATTTCGAGGCTCTTGGTGCTTACTCACTAAGTGCAGCACAAAATATGACAGCTGTTACACCCTCAAAAAGATGTATCCACTTCTTTCTTTCATTCCGTTGACCTCCAACGTCATAAAGCTTGTACAAATCAGATCTGCCTGGCCTGAAATGAAATTCGAACCACTTATTAAGATTCAATGCAATACTAGACATCTTAAACAGGGTTAAAATCTCACAGACAAGACCTTCGCGTCTTATGATTTTACCAATTGATCACATACCATTTGAATAGAAAATTACAGAAATAGTAAAATAGATATGATAAAAAATATTCTATGGAAACGTCCACTCAAGATTTATAGAAACTGCAGAGGCTTTAGAAAAGGGGTACCTAGTCATCTGCCGACCGGATTAACAAGTTTTGTACAACTGTCATGATATCCAAAAAGGTATTTCTAGTAGATGCAGGTATTCAAAAATTTATTATTTCTTAAAATGTAGGTTATCCAGAAATCCTCCTACTTTTTTACAGTTGAAACCTATAATTTATCAGGATTCCTGTACACCCACTTGAAACCAAGGGTTCATGCAATAACAGCTTACCTCAGGATGATACATTCTGTTCACAATCAGACACTCAAGCAAGAGGACTTCAATGTCAAATTCCTGAAAGAGCTCAAGAATAGAAACAATTAAACAGGCTTACCTGAAGGTTGTTTCGACAATTCCAGAAGTCCTCACTCGTGCAAAAAGAACATCTTCCTGGTGAATCAAATGATGAATGCATGAGATAAAAAATATTCTAGGATTTTTTATGTTCCTCTCAATCAACTATTCAAGCACAACGCAGTAAGGACCGATGTTTGTACAATACATCCTGATATGGATGTATTGTACAAAACAGCCAGTATTTTTCCTTCAGAACATCAAACACATTCCTAGCGACTTCGTCCTACTTCGAAAGGAAATACATAATGGCATTTTTGCTTCGGATGTTCTTGATGTATTAAGAAAAGTTGCAACCTGCCAAGAATATCACGCATGAATGAATCTTAAACTACTCCAATCACAATATTTGAACCTATCCGCACAATCTGGCCTTAATTAGGACATTAAATCATAAAATATGTGTACTGTCAAACAAAAGATTGATAAACAAGAAATGAACATATACATACCTGAGAGGGCACATAATCAATTTGTGAAAGTCGTTGCAAATTATTACAAAAGTACTCTGTACAAGTTGGTAGTTGTAGCTCACTTCCCCTTGCATAGGCTGCCTGAAATGTACCAAATGAAGCACCGAGATAAATGCCTTTCTCCCACACACCATTGCTGAACACGAGGTGCAATTCAGTACACAAGTCATACCTGAACAGCAGGATCTTTCCATAGTAGTTCCAGTTTCTTCGCATAATCCTGCGTTAGCAATGGAAGCTCTGATCTACCTCCAACTTCAGCAAGTTCTTCCCCAATCGCCTGGCATTTCAATTTAAGAAAATAATGAGGACCTTTGATGAAAAGAGCCATGACATAATGTGATTAGAAACACTTAATGTTAATTTACCACCATTCCTTGGCCTTTACCCAACTCTCTTGTTTTCACCCGTAGTGATTCACCCACTTGTACCTTCCAACACGTGAACACTAGCTCATCAACAAAACAATAACAGGGTTGTACAATCTTTGAGTCTCTGACATTTAAAATCTTCAATGAAGCTTCAGAATACAACGATGTGGCAAAAAATAGGAATCTTTATGATGAGCTCACTACCTTATTTGAAGCCTTCAATGTATACTTCTCCTGATCCGACTGTGCGAACTCTTGAAGGCCATCAAGAAGGATCTGCCATGTGACAAGAAACTCACAACGTTAATCCACTCGCTTTCAACAAATCGCCTCATTCCACTATCATTATAGAATCTTTGGCTAGAAAAAGAACAGTTAAAGGCCACAAGCTTTCAAACTCACTTTCATTGACTGAAACACATTCGCGTATATTACAGTCTTGTAATTAATTCGCTCTCCATCAGCGAAGCCTTCTTGAAACAGAACTTTGATCTGCATACAGGAATTACAGTTAGAGGCGACGTTTTCTATGGGAGATTGTAAGCGGCAGTTGTACCACCAACAGTCAGTCTACCAGTTTAGGTAGAAGATGATCATAGTTGTGAATAACCAAGGCCATTACATCCCCTTTGAGGAGGACATATGATAATGTAGGAGTCCATTAGGATTGATAGACAACAAGGTTCAAGAGATTTATCCAACCTGGAGTGGAATTATGGGATTAGATCTAAGGGAAGAACCATAATCTACAAAGAAGCATCACAGCGCAGCGATACTCAAACAGACCTTACTGCGGGTTTAGTAATACCTGCTTAAAAATGGTAGATTTTCCTGATTCTCCAGCTCCTGTTTAAAGCCAAATTCTAAACATCGTCAGATTCTAGAAATACCTTTACCCGTGAAGAGTGAATAGTATTTACTTAAGCAACCTGATACAGTTCATATTTTGGCGACACTTCTCAGCCACTAGCTTACTATTGGTTGACATTCGACAAGTGTATGATGGTACTTTTAATGAAATGACCTGAGTACAGACGGTGGTTGTTCAAGGGTTTACTTGAAGAGATGTACAACGACATAGATATATATCACAACAGTAACAAGGCGTGTTCTGTTAGCCAGTTACCATGTAAATTTCAGACATCATACGAGGGGCTTCTACATCCCAGGTATCTAATCTATTCAAGGTATGTACTCAGCAAGATGATATCGTGAGACTCACTTTGCTCGACATAAGACTTTGAAAGCTATGACTTCTTAAACTGTTGCCAAATACAACCAAATGCTCACACTACGAAAGGAAGAAATTGATTTTGAATCTACAATCTGCCTACTCTCATCATCACCATTACATAAAATCGCCCCATTGACCACTGCAAAATTTATGGCCTTGTCCACGATTTCCTGGATTACTTCGAAATGTAGACCAAGACCATGGAATCGGTCAATTTCCCAACGTGCTTTGAGCTATCAGAAGACTTTCAGTTGAAGAAGGAAAATGAGCCTGGAGATTCATACCTAGGAGCAGCAGCTTCTTGGGTACGTCCTTATCTGCTTTAGTTTCCCTCCGTATTCTTTGATCAATTCTTTCAGCCTAAATTGCATCAGCCAGAAGTAAGACAACCTGTTTGATAAATATTGCAACTTTAATTATGCAAATCTATCATACCGAACATGTACTAATCTCCACTGAATGAAGTAAACGATGAGAGTCTCTCTAATTGCAATGAGACTGTAGGATCCTGTAGGATAATAAAAAAAACCATGATGAAAGATTTTTGGGGCAAATTCGAACGATAAGCAATAAAAAGTATTGGGCACCTGAACCCTTTCTTCCAGTTCTCTAGGAGAAACCTGCTGGTCCTTGCCGCAAACGGAACCCATCTCCTTTAGATCTTCCTCAGAAAGGGCAGAGCAATTCACGAAATAGATGAATATCCGAAAGGTATGGTAGAAAAGCCCCAGCACATGACTGCCAACTCCCGTTGATAGCAACTCCTCATATTACCGATACTTCGTTCCTGTATTCTCCGTGCATTTGACTGTTATCTTGAATCTCGAACTTGCGACGCATGCAGCTGCCTATGGGCCGTCATTCTTCCTAAACCTGGTACAGTTCAGGAACAAAGCGTAACAACAATTTCTCCTGTAAGTACGCGTCAACAAATGAAGTCATCTTAAGAGCGCCAAGGAATCCTCAATTAAAACTAAGCACATAAACCTCCTCTCGGGTACATTATCCTCTCTAAGGCTTCAGATGCTAAAATCTGAGGATAAATCGTCTGAGCTCGATCATGGGCAGATGTGCACAGCGGTAGGTTTTGGCCGAAACAGACATCGTCGTTTGTCCGGCTTCGTTGTCAATGGAATATAACTGGCGTTGTCAAAGCAGTCGCCAGTCATATTGCAGCTTCCATGGCCAATCTCACTGCTGGATCCCATCCCTCTTTGACTGTGTCCCGGCCAAATAGCATTTTCCACTCAAGATCCGTCCGAATCGGAGTAACTTAGACTCACTAGGACATGAGCACCGAGGACATGGATGTCCTACACATTGAGCGATCATTCAAAGACCAGTACTAGAAATTTCTGCTCTACTCAATCCGGCAGAGAGCGAGGAGCGAATGCATCGCGCATCGCTGACGAATCCGGAAGATTCAATTTTGAGATTCATTCACAGTAGCAACGCTCTTAGAGCTCCCAATAAAAACCATTTGACCGTCGGTCAATTCACGTCTCGAGAACTGTCAAAACACAGTGACGTGACTGCTTGAGGGAGAATCTACAACAGATGGCGTCGGCTTGGTGGACGATGACTGCGAGCTCTCCCTCAATCATCTCACGGTCCTTCATGTGCTTCGGTTATACAGTTAAGTAAGTTCAAGCGAACTTACTTCAGGCGTCATCCTCGCGGGCGGTAAGCTCTTGTCGACCAGTTAAGTCATTCACTCATTCGCGACGAGGATGACTACGAACAAGAGGACGACGACGATGACAGGCCTCAACTCCTGCAGAGAAGCTGAGCAGTTACACTAGCTTCGGTACACAAAACAGCTCTACACTTGCGCTTGTGTTTGCGCTAGCTCCCGACTCTCTGATCCGGGCAATAAATCAGTCAATCAATCTGCATCTGAGAGACCTTCAATTCGGCCCGCCCTGGGCGCCAACAGTCTTGACCAGAGGGAGACCGGGGGACTGCACACGAGCAAAGGGCAGAGCAGAGCAGAGCAGAGCAGAGAGAGCACAGCACAGCAAGCCGGGGCAGCAGATTGCATACCAGCATTGATACGTCGCTCACTCCGTGAGTCAATCCTCGGGACTGGCCGGATGCCAACGAACCAGCACGGACCTCGCAGCCGACTTCGTGTCCCGGTTTGTCAACCGTCGGCGATTCCTCACCGAAGTGAAGTGAAGCTCACAAGGCATTCATTCATTCACTCGCTCGCTAGCTCTCTCTCTCACCACCGCACCATCCACACCAGACCAGACCAAACCAAACCAAATGCCAATGACGAGATACGAACTCGGCCCAGAGCCCAGCCCAGCCAGAAGAAATCTGGCCCAGGGTCAACGGTTCTCTCGCTTCCCAAGCAACGAACGCGACAACGGGACAAGTCCTCGAGCTCGAAAGAGGCACGCGAGGCTAGGCAAGCCCAGGCCAGGCCAGGCAAGGCAAGGCAAGACAGACAGACAGACAGGACTGACCGACTGACTCACTGACCGACAAACAGACGCTTCAGACGGAGCTGAGCTTTGTTCTGTTTTGTTTCATCTCAATCCTCTTCACTTCAGTCAGGCTCGAGCGCGTTTCCCTCGAGTTGGAACTTGGACAGAGCGAACCACTGCTCATGCCCATGCCCATGCCGCCCATGCCCGAGCCCCAGACCCCCACATCCCTCCCCCCTCAACCTCCCCTCAAGCCAAGCTGCTGCTGCTGCTCCCGTGCACGTATTTCTACTCACTCACTGAGATACTGTAAAACGGAAAAACGCAGCAAGAGCAGCAGAGAATGACACTCGTAACTTGCTCTCCTTGCCCTGCGGCCCAGACCCAGGAGACCCAAGGCCCAGGCCCCAGGGAGGGAAGTTCGCTAAAGAAAGCAAGCCAGCCAGTACACTAGCGAGAGCTACACACTGATCTCGACTCGACCCGACTCGGATGATAGAGAGAGAGAAGGAGAGAAGGAGAGGGAGGCAGGGTGTTGCTACGCTCTGACCAGTCCGACTCGCTGCTGATGCTCATGGTTCGCCTCGTCTGCTTGTGCGCTCCGTTGGACCTTTGGCAGACGGAAGCGAGGAGGAGGTCCTACAGGGGCAAACCGACCATCCATCACCATCCTACGTACATCCCGAGCTGCTGCTGCTGCTGCTGCTCCGTCTCTCGCCATGGCACACACTCCCTCCTCGTCCGAGCAGCAGGTCACGAGTGAGCCATGGGAGACGAAAACTTCGCTGTGCCGATTTGACACTCCTCTCTCACTCTCGGTCTCGCGCTCGCTCCATCAGTGGCGCATCAGACACCACCGGCCCAGCTCAGCCTGCTCACAAGGCCGATTCAGAAACGGACACAGTATCGCCCTCCTCTTCCTCCCCAGCTCGGAATTCCCCGAGGGCCGAAATTCCTCGGCAATTTTGACTTTCCTATTCCAGTTTAGCCCCGATTCTGAATGTACAGGCAGCAGAGTAGCCGAGGTGGCTGTACTGCAGCCAACGTCCCTTTGTACACGGATCCCAGCGCGATCGCAGGGGGGAACCAGTGAGCAGTCCTTCGGGATACTTTCCTCGACGCTCGGTCGGTCGCTGCGTGGCTGCGACCGGGCGGGCTTTGACTAATTCCCTCCGTCCGGACAGACGGACAGACGGACGGACAGTCGGACGGACGGACGGACTCGGCCGCAGCGAGGGAGGGCCGCCCAGCCAGCCGCTTCCTCCTCTGGTCGACTTTCAAGGCGCAGCTTTGACTACCTGGCCCAGTGCCACGCGGACAGATAAACCCCCGTGCCCCGTCTGCCCGCAGACGAGGTCCCGAGGGGCCCAGACTCCCTCCAGATCAGCTCGTGCCCGCCAGGTCCCCTCGTCGCCTGGCATCGACGGCGATCGATCGCCATCAATCCGCTGACATTGCGCAGCCGTGTCGTTCCTGCGACGCGGACGTGGCTCTCGGTCACCATCGCAGGGCCTCGATCACTCTCTCTCGTCTCGTCTCGTCTGCTGCGCTCTGAGCTCGGCCGAGCTGCTTGCGTTATCGCCAGCACTGTGCGTATCAGGATTCGGGACGATGCAAATCGCTCGCGGAGCAGGCCCAGATCTCGAGGGGCAGATGGACATGGAGATGGGCTGTGAGAATCGGCACTCATTGGCTCTATGGGGGACAAGCCGTGGTGGGGCTCAACTGCTGCAGCTGCAGCCGCTGCTACGACTCGGTCTTCGGGGCCTGGCTTCATCAAGATTCAGGTCTGATGGCATCAAGCGGAATGAGTGGGTGATCGCATCGAAGCAGCCATGGAGCTCGCGGAAAGTGATTTAGCCCGGGGGAATCCTGGGGATTTGTATTTCACCCTGCCTCTCATTTAAGTCTTTGCTCGGTAGTTCCCTTTCGCTGAGGATGTCCGCGTCTTTAAGAGGGCCCAATTCTTACGTCTGCATTGTGTAAGGAAATCTGCGATCGCGCAGCAGTTTAGATTGTTGCGCTCCAGGAGGATGGAGCGAGCGAGTGAGTGTTGACAGGAATTCGTAATTAGGTCAAAAAACGTGAGAAATTGCCCGCCAGCGGACGCGATCGGATTGACTTATTCCGAGGAGGGAGGGAGGGAGGGAGGGAGGGAGTGCAATCCCACTGTCTGCGCACATTTGGGCTCGCGGCTTGTCTGAAAGTCAGCTCTGGCCGGTGCGGTTCTCGTGACTGGCAGCGAGAGAGGACGCGGGAGGCGGTGAGAAAGCGTTCCCTTCCCTTCTGCTCCATCTCCATCGCTCTGTAGCTTGGTGGACAGTTGGGTTCGTCACAGATCGTTTCTGCAGACAATGCATGCCATCGACAGTAACACACTCGTCACTCACCTTCATCATGACACGTCCGTCACCCCTTTCATCCAGAAATAATAAATTTCTCTGCAATGTCTCCGGCTCTCGGTGCACTGTGCCCTGTGCTGATCGCCCACACCTTACCTTCGGGCGACAGCATCTGCATGAACGGTGAGGATCGTGGACCGACTGGACGTGTACATAATGCTCTGGATAGGTCAAAGACAAAGCATCCGATTGAGTTTCGTGTGGATCTGCGTTTGACATCTTCCACATCCTAAGCGTTTGACATGTTCCAAATCCTATCTCCCCGAAAGGGAGCTCAGATTTCTCTAAATCAGGACACGAGGAAATGTGAGCGCTTAAAGACCATAGATGCCGTGTCTTATCCTGGCGATGGGACGGAAAGTCAATAGTGTTCCAAGTCAGGCGAAACGTGAGCGCGGAAGATGGAGATGCACCGATCCGGAGAGGAATTTCGGTGAGATCGTCGTCGCATCGAAGCCAGAGGCCAGTGGAACAGGAACTGGATCGAAGGAAAAGTATGTCGGGAGGATGCTGCAGCTGCAGCTCTCGTGGACAGCCCGTCGCAATTGTCAACAACGAGATGAGAAGAACTCGTACGAAAGAGAAGACCGCGATGGAGAGATTTGCCCACGGGGTCGATATGCCAGGATTCGGAATATGCTGCGAGTGGCAGGAAAGGCTGGAAGAAGTCCAATCACATCCACGGAAACAGTTGCGCAAGTCAAACCGTGGAACGCATTGTGTAGTGCCAACCCCACCACCGAATCTCCATGAGTACAGTCTAGCAGAGCAGAGCTGTGGAGTGGCGGGCGGTAGCAGCCGGGAAGGACAGCATCTGCACACAGTTTCATTCTCGAAGCTCTTCCATCGCATGAGCCCTACGGACTGGCCAAGCTCCACCCTGCCATGCCGAGTCCCGAATCCCGACCCGACCCGACTCACTCGACTCTCGCCTGCCTGCACCATCATCATCAACCCTCAACCCTCGAGCGAATTGCTAATTCGAATCTCGAATCGCCCTCGATTTCTTTCGGTGTCAGAACCGTGTGCTGCAGTCGTCGGCAGACGCCGGGAGAGCGGTTTGCCATCTGCAAAGATAAGGGGACCCGCATGGGACACCTCATCGCCATCGCCATCGCCATCCCCATCTCCGCCGCGGTCTTTTCCCAAGCTCGGCTGGCCTGTTCAAGGAGATAATCCCGTCAGCCCTGAGGCCTGACAGCCTCGTCCGCAGGCAATAATTGTTTTCAGACACTGCGAACAGGCATTGCAGCTGACAGATGATTTATGGCCTGCCTGGCAGTCAGTCAGTCAAGCAGGCAGCTCAGTTTAGCAATCCCTCGACCCGCCGTCCGGAGTTCCGATCTCTCCCCGTCTAGTGACTGGAATTTTCCATCGCTGACGTTTCCTTCTCTGGTCGAGATCATAATTGCCGAATCAGATTCTACCTCCACCGCTCTGCTCGCGACCAGTTCGCGGCATGTATCGAATCGTGTTCAGAATTCTCAGAATGCCGCCCTCCCTCTCTCCCTCCCTCCCTCCCAGAAGTGGTAAAATTTCTGCCGTCTCCAATCTCGCGGAGATTGTCAGAGTGCCAGCCCGATCATTGTGGAGTCTACGCCCACCGGGCCCATAAGACTGCCGAGGCGCCGCTCGCTTGCTTGCTTCCGAATGGGCTCAAGTTGCTCGTTTGTCGAAATCGAAAGCGGCCGCTGCCTGCCTGACACACGGAAACACGTCCGCGTGTTGCGGTGCCAATAAATGCAGATCGCAGACGAGCGAGCTCCTTCCGCACTAACTACTCGTCAGAAGCGAGGCACCGCCTCCTCTCCTGACTCTCCCAGCTCTTCCTCCTTCCTGTGCAGCAGCTCCTCGTGCCGGCAGAAACTATGGGGTTTTGACCCGAGACCTCGGGTCTCGTTTGGCCCGCCTTTCGTCCATAGATGTTGGAACCACGAGTTAACGGAACAATGCGGCGCATCTGATCGGCTAGATTTGGCCTTCGGCCTGTGGCTGCACCTCAACGAGACCAAGTTCAGTAGCAAGCAGCTTGATTCGTCCGCAACTCTGCTTCGGAAGTTCCTCCCCGTCAGATTTACACAACAAGTCACAGCTAGCTGGTACAGATTAACACAATCAGTCAATCGGTCGAGGAACTAGCTTTTCGTGAAGGGATAGCGCCGATGTTCCTGCTCTAAGCCCGAGCTTGCGTTTCTTCCATGTGTTCTGGAAGGCATCGTCCATTTGACTTTCACTTTCGAGGAAGATTCCACACCCGGGCTAGGTCACGAACGGAAAGAGATGCGCGCACGTGACGAAAGCAGGGCGTACACGTGCAGGACAGTGACCCCACGACCATATTGTATGTGGGCAGGGATGGGGTAGTTCATTGAAGATCACACTCGTGCCGGCAAGATTTGTGGACCTTGATTAAGTGCCCTCTCGCTTTCGAGGATAATATCATGTCGACATACATGTGCGTATACATGTGAGCAATATGTGCTCATGCTCTCTTCACGCTTTTGTAGCTAGCACTTGTGCGGACCTTTCTGCTCGTACTACGGTTGCTTCGAACAAGAGCAGATGATTGTGCACCTTCCATAGGATATATTTGAGTTCCGATCAATCGGAGCACAGTTTCGCTTGGTGTTCATTCTGATGTCTTTCCAGCCTTCGTTGAGTTATTGGAGCTCATGTCCTGTCTACTTGGGCACAAGTCCACACATGCTCACATGCATCCCATACTCTGCCCACCAATAGCAACCACTGCAGATAGCGAGTCGAGATGCTAAAACTGATACGAGTCGAGATGCTAAAACCCGAATCTTTTGATAATAGGCATATATATTGACACTGCTAGACGAGCACGGTGTCAAGGATTACAGTGTTTCTACAGATCAATCATCACCTCGTTTCTAAATGCTCTTCAAAATTGTTTCCGCGTCTGACACCTTGAATTCGGACGGCGCAGTCTCCACATTGAGCACTTTGATCTTTCCATCATCGACGAACGCGGCCCACCTGCAAAACACGTTCAAGGTTCCGTGTCAACAACTCTCTACCGCAGGAATGAGCGAGGGTTTTGTATCCGGTCTGATATAACTCGCCAAGCCTCCTCCAGACTAGGTTCAGATCTTACTCTGTACACACTCACTTCCTTCTCCGCTTAAAACCCTCTTTCATAAAACCCTCTTCAAATCATTATGAGACAGTAACTGTGCCGCTTGGAAGAACAGAGCGGATTCCTCATGGCACATTTATTAAAGATGTGCCAAATACACATTGGCTTCTCCTGTACTCAACAAGTCAGCATGTCTTATCTCCGAAAGTTGGTCACCCTGAGAGGAAAGACCTTAAACAGAAATTTAAGTCTTCCTTCGACCTCAAAAGAAGTAACACCAAAGGTGAACATTCAAATCCTCAACTCCCGAGCAGACATCGAGGCACTGCCTTGACAAAGTGGGGGCACAGGTTAAATGCAACTTCCAGTCTGTAAGTTTCTATTGTTGACAGGGATGTACATCTACAAGATTGGGTAGTGAAACTTTACAAGGTACTTTCTCTTGGATCCTCTGCACCGAATATCTAAGTATGAAAATAAAGAGTAGGCTTGAGACATGAAAATGACCGAAGGTAAATGTCAGTTCACGCAACCCTGGATCAAAGATGACAAGCGTCTGCTAATTATAGGATTGCTTGAACAAGAGTGATTACTAGTTATTCCCCGAGTAAATTAAGTAGTGGGAATTTCAAACCATGGTGATTTTAAACTACTGGGAATCAAATTCAGCGATTTCCAGTGCCAATTTTAAGCACAAACCCCTCTGTTCGAAGTGGCCGCCCGTCTTTCCTCTCATGCGTTCCCACGCTCCTTCGCACTCACCTTGACTGACTCTAAGGCGATTTAACACAAGACCCACAATAAGGATCGTCAGGCTTGTACGAGACGATGCGAACATACCTTTGAGATCGATGACCCAACAAGGCAAACGACAAGTTGAAATCGAGGCCGAGACTTTTGTGGAAACTTCCATCGAAGTCCCCGAAGAAATCCAACTGCAGTTCGAAAACTTATATTAAACATCATCTTCTGCCCCTTCTCGATGAATGCAGCCCATTGACCTATGGCGGTGAGGACAGCTACTACTGTGGCGAAAGCTGATATCTACTTACAAAATATAAAACAATATCTAAGATCCATCACAAAAAACAATCTGCAACGACTATAGATAAGTTATTCGACATCTGAACAACTGAATAACCTTCAATATGCTTTATCTCAGGTGCTAACCTTATCCTTCGCATTGAGCTTCTCGGCCCACCCATTCATGACATATGGATCATTAACTGCTACACAGATTATTGTGTCAACACCCTTTGCTTTCAACTTTTCTGCATTGTTGATGTAGCTGGGTACATGTTGAGTTGTACAGACTCCAGTGTATGCTCCCTGCATCAATCAAATTGACTTCAGCATGAACCGTGAATATACTAAATACGCAGGTGCTCTAGCCGTAAATACAAAACTGGCCACAATAGAGCTAGGCGCGACTGCAATTGATTTCTACCCAGGTCTCATCAAAATGCTTGACTCTGAAGGAAATTGGTCAAGAGCGTTCTAGCATCTCCAAAGTTTTGTGAAAGTAGGATTCAAAACTTAAAATCAGAGAGAGAGAGAGGATTCTCAATGCCATGTAAAAGTCCAGCAGTAGAGAATACTCACAGGAAGCCCAAATATCACCACTTTCTTGTTCTTCAGGAGATTTTGCACACGATCAAACCGAAAACAGTTAGTATTCATAAGATAGATCAATTCAAGCACCCTCAATGCAGGCAGAGTATTCTACTCATCTTTCCACTAACAACAACTGTACGACAGATGGCATGCAATTAGGTCTTTGAACCTATTGCTCCTTACAATGATCTAAATCAGTTACTTAAGAATCTCAGATGAAGAAGTTGCTTGCTGAATCTGAACCTCCATCGAGGACATTTGAATCTCTTTGTACAAACTAACTCCAATCAAACGCAAAGACCAAAACACCACAAAGAGTGCCATCATCCCAAGTTTTACACCTTCGAGATCTGCGACATTAAAGCTCTTAAGAAACAGCACCCATTAGGACGCCATGGTGGAATCATTTTCATGATCAGAGTAGTCACATTCAAGCCTACTTCTCCTTATAAACCCAACTTCCATGATGCATATCGAAATCCAGCACGATCCGATCTCACCATGTCACCAAAATTGTTGTCAGAGAGGCCAAACCCCAGAGACAACTCAAACTCATCTGGATAAACCCTAGAATTCACTATGCACATGGTAAAGGGCAATGGAACATCTTCAACCAGTACCTTGAAGATGTCCTTCAGAGGAGTGGTAGCAAACTTGGACTTGACGCCCTCATCCCAAGTACGTGCTGCTTGCAGCGAAATCTCGCCATCCAAATCCAAATGAGTTGCAGAGGAGCTGAAAGCTTGCAATTGCCTTCCTTGAGCCCAGATGCCTCTGGCGCCCACCAATCTGCTCTTGTTGATGGCCGTCCTCAACATTTCTGATCTTCTCTTCTTCTCGGTCTTGAACCAGGTTTACAACTCTGGATTAATGCTCTCTCGATTGGATCGATTTCACACTCTGGCCCAAAAGCTCGCTCTCCGCACCCTTCCCTTCGAAGCCTGCCTTTGTAGCTTTGTACGAGCTTTTTCCAACTCCCTGCCACATGTTCTGCGCCAAGTTTCCTCTCTTGTCGGTCCAGTTCCTGATTCGTTAGCAGAAGGACGATGGCCTCACAGTGCTCCTGGACAGTGTGACATGGACATGTCCAGGTCATCATTGTCCACACGCTGGCTACGGGTCGAGTCCAACATTCATCGCCAGATATAATTCCAACGCACCATATCGGGGCACTAAGATACTGTAACACAAGAATCCATATTGCATGCACCTACAAACGAACGACTAACGTACAATATCATTCCCAAAAGAAGCTTTTATCAACGACTTATTCTCAGTTTAGTTTTTTTAACAATGGCGACCTTTCAGCTCTTGCAGAATCACTGAGCACACTTGCGAAACCAATATGAGACGCATTGACTCCAAATGTGTATACTACAACGCATAGCTTCCCCTCGTCGGAATCCAAACCTTACCAATTACAATAAGTCATCCGCATAACTATTGATCAAATTCCTGACTTCAGGTTTTTTTTGTTTTTGCATCTCATATTGATGGCTTTAGGTGACGATTTAAATGTTGGAAACTTATGCTCTGAATTTGTTAAAAATCACATGAATCATTCAAAAGACAGAGGTTGGGCTTACAGGCTTTCTAGGAGAATGGATTTGCAAGCAAAATTTCATCCGTTTACGATTTTAGACAAGAATAAGGCCAAAACTTTTGAGCAATCGCTTAATATGACAAAGATGTGTCCTATCTAAAAAAAGCTTCGTACTCATTTTGTAGTGATTTACTGAGAATTTTTGGATGGAGTTTAGACACACTTGATTCCGTGGCGATGTACACCAATGATATTACACCATATAGTGGTCAAAGTGTTCATCATGAGAAACATTTCTAGGAGATATGTAAGTGATTGATTGAATATGTAGTTAAGTTGTTTGCTAGAAAGTGTAAGTAATTTTGAGACCTAGTACACTATATGTATCATACCATCATCAATTCAAGGTGTAATTGATCTTGAATATAACACAATTTTAAGATGTGCAAAAACTTTTAGGGGCTTTACGAGGTGCAAAAAAAGAATTGAACTTGATGTGTGATATTACCATTGGAGACACTATATTAACGGTATGAATGTCTGGAAATTTTTTAATTGATATGCGACAATTTTTCTTCCTAAAAATTGTTGAAATTTTCTATGATGATACAATTACATTTCTACATAAAAGAATACTTTATTTCAGTGGATTATAATAAAATGAATCTTGAATATTGCTTATGATTCAACATGTTGATGCCATAGATACTTTTGATGTATTGAACAATTGTAATTGATATTTATATATAAGCTGAAAAATTATCATCAACTATTTTCTCAGTTTATTTTTTAAGCCTTATTTGAACATTTTTTAAAAATTTGTTCTATCCAAATATTTGTTGGACATAAAAAAATCACAAAAATATCTTATGTTTTTATATACTTACTTCTTGATTAAAATATCATTATCATTCGAAAAAAAATTCCAAGATTTGTAATTTAACAAAATCGGTAATTGAATCTTCATTTTTAAAAAAATTTGGGAAAAAATTTAACAATTTCTTCAATTAAGTTCTTAAAATTTTAATTATTTTTATAAAAATAAAATAGAATTATATTTATATTTTATATTTATAAATTTAAAATTTAATGAATTTAATTTTCTGGAGAAATTTTATATTACATTAGGGAAAATATTATCATGAATTTTACTTTACTAAATTTTTTTTTATTTTTTTTTGATTTTTTATACACATTGATTATAGTAGATTTATAACTTCCTCAAAATCATGTTTAATTGCCATACATCTTGGTTTTGGAGTCTTTCCAACCTTTCACTTTCTTCCTGGTCAAGTTTCTATCAACATCTATCTATAAAAAAGTGATTGGATTATATATTCTTGTCGTGAGATTTTCAAAGACTCCATACATTCATATCATATCACACACATATTTCCTGCATTTCATTTACTCACACATATAATAATATGAATATTAAAATATACTTATGTGTAGAAATAAAAATCACAAACGATATTGATAATTATGTATATGTTTTTGGATATTTTGCATTGTTATTCATAAAATTCCAGCTAAATTTTTGCATACCTTTGCATCAATAAATCTTACTAGATCTTATATATGTGTTAGACAAACATAGAAAACAATTCACAATTTTATCTCATCTAATAATGTGGGTTATTTTAAATGCTACTGTTTCATGTCCGGCGATAATTGATAATAGAAATTTTCAGCGTTAGCAATGATTTTATCACATAAAATATAAAATAAATATTTGTATATCTCACAATAAACATATCACACATACTAATCTAACATAATTTTTTTTTACGTGAGATACAGTTTAATGCAGTTCTTTATATTCTACATGCAGGAACAATTAAAAACCAATATTATTATTTTGATATTTCATAAATTATTTCACATAAAAAAGAGTAAGAAGATACTCATGAGTTCAATGTTAGACTGAAAAAATTGAAAATTCGAGGACTTGTTATTCAAGGTTTTAAAAAAATATTTCTTAAATTTTGTGTGTTTTATATACAAATTTTTAAAACTTATATAAAGCTAAAATTTAACTACTTTCATCTCTACAGATCAATTAGACGACAAAATTACTATGATACATAAAATTTGAACATAGTGTTTGTTGAATTTTCATAAGGACAAACTTTTCCAACAGAATATACAAAAAAATATTTCTTAACCCTATTTAGAGTACATTCGAAATATACAAAACTGAGAATTGAATTAATGTCTTATTGAACATCTTCAGTGATGTAAGAAATTAATATTTTCAAAAGCTCTCTTATATAATCTAAGCTAACTAGTCTAACAAACCAAAATCAAACTAGCTTTCACAGATAAATCTCGAGAATGAAAAAGAGGACACAACGCAACAGGTCCGTGATTCACCCCAAGTCAGGGGCTACGCCCACGGGAAACTCATTGTATACTAAGAAGTTACAAAGGTGAAATGAGACTCGCCTCCAAGAATATATAGTGGCAACAAGTACATGATTAACCCCAAAGTCAAGAGCTAAGCCCACGGGAAACTCATTGTACATTATGAAGTTACAAAGTTTCAAAGGCGAAATGAGACTCGTCTCCAAGAATATATAATTGCATCTATCAAAATAATATTCTATGAAACATGGCATAAATTAGAAAATATCTAGTTATATTTTTCGATGAAACTATGAAAAATACTTAATTATATTGATGGACAGCATAGTTTTAGTTTAAACATTCATTCACTTTGACTAGTCTTGACTCTTTGATGGGTTTGAATCAATATTGAGCTCAATTTGACTATAATTGCAATCATTTTAAAAACCTTATTATTCATGACATCCATCAATACTTGACGATAATCCATGAAAGAGCAAGTATAATTTTCATTTTGTTTTAGATTAGTATGCAACTTGACTTTCACGGTTTAACATTAGGTTAGTGATCATAGTTACAAAAATGTCTCTGAGGTTCATATGCATATGATTACAAGATAGTTTGCAAGCCTACTACTTACTATGCATATAAAAGTTATAGATATAAAGTGACAAAAAGTCACTACGTTCCTCAAGAAAAAATACAATAATCCATATACTTGTGAATCCCTGCCTGCAATGGAACCATGCTCCGAACTGTCGTCTCTATATATGTACAGTACCTAGAGGAGGGTGGCAACCTCCTCTAGCTTTCCAGATGACATATCAGTTTGTGTTAATGGCATCTTGCAGTGCAACTCTTCATACTGCGTTGGAGTTTGGTGTAGTGTGAATGGCGAAAGCTGTCTCATATCTGTTTATTATTCAAAAGGGACAAGGGGACGAAGTCCATTAATCTAATAGGGTGATCCAGAACTCTTGTAAGATCTTTTACTTTGTGAACTCATATGATTAAATATTATTATTTATTTTCAATTTCCACATTTAACCTGAGCTTACCTTAAACTCTTGATTTATAAATTAGTTAAATATGAGTATATAATGATTATAATTTCCTCATTTTCAATTTCCACATTTAACCTGAGCTTACCTTAAACTCTTGATTTATAAATTAGTTAAATATGAGTATATAATGATTATAATTTCCTCATTTTCAATTTCCACATTTAACCTGAGCTTACCTTAAACTCTTGATTTATAAATAGTTAAATATGAGTATGTAATGATTATAATTTCCTCTTATCTAAATTTGTTGAATTATGTAATTTTCATTTTGTATCGAAACACGACTTCAAAGAGAAATGCCAGGCCGGGTAGTGTTGAAAGAGCAGTAATACGGCATTCGTCATCCGTCATGTTCCGGAACTAATCAGAAATACGATTCCAAATTTAGTCATAAATTCTGCACTGACCAAAGTGCAAGCAAAAGAAAAACGGGCATCGGAGAAAATTCAAGGTTCAAAGATTAAGCTCTTTGATCTTTGAAGCTCGTTTACAGAAGGAAGCAATGGGAAGATAATAAATCACCAAATTTTGCAGTCTGCTCAAATTACAACAGGATAGAATGTCCAGTCGTTGTTTCACCTTCTAGGCGCGTTCGGTCAAGAACGAAGCTGATCTCATTCTCGTCACAATTGGCTCGTCCACTCTCTCTTTCTTCTTGATGCGTGGAACTCAAGCCACAGTAAGTTAGACACTGACAGGGAATTCCTTTCGACACGAAGACAGCGTTAATCAACTCACGCTTTAGTCAATGAAATTCGTGAAAGCCTTTGCTGTGAATTGATCTGTTCGTTTTGAAGTTTCAATACAGTCTGATCCACAAGTTCAAGGATGATGGCAGCCACAACAGCACCGTGAAAGGTGTAAACAACGGACGTCAGATGAGGAATGAGGAACATATGTGGAGTGATAAGCATCTGAGTCGGACATTTGAGTTTCACTGAACAAATGAGAATTCGAGTGGAAGGTCACATAGAAAGCCGGTAGTTCTTTGCCACATCGAAATTTGCAGGCCTTGGATGTCTCTTAAGAAAAGAGGCAAGCAAAAGTGTCGTTTGTCCGCATAGGTTCTCAATTTCCCGTAGCAAATACACTGTAATGTACATCTATACAGTTACACGCTTGTTACCAACGAATCGTGAGAAGCTTCAACACAATCCATACATACCGTGGTGTCTGTCTGTCTGTCTGTCTGTCTGTCTGTCGAAAGAAAATCATCGATTATGGAGATATCTTCTGGAGGACTCGGAGGGTCAGGAATGATATAACGAGATAGAGCAGATGACTTTGCGAGCAGATGAATTTGAACCCCTTCTCTTTCCAATGCGCCCCCTGCGCTGCTGCAAGCCCTGATTTTATCGCTTCATTGGTGGGATCGGACTCGAGCCCCTTCTTGTACGCAGCGATGGCTTCCCGATGATTTTTCATTCCCTGATAGGCCGTCGCCAATCTCAAGTAGCCCTCAGCCCAGTCGGGATTCAACTCCAAGGCGATTTTCGCGTCCTCCAGAGCTTCTTGGTAATTGTGCAGGAACGCGTTCGATGCAGAACGTTTCGAGTAGAGAGACTCGCTCAGGGGTGCAAGAAAGATGGCCGAAGTGAAGTACTCCACGGCCTCTCCGTAGTTCCCTTCCGAGAATGCCGCGTCTCCTTTGGTCTTCTCCGCATACGCTCGTTCCAGCCATGACATGAGTTGGGGAAATTCCGGAGAGTCTATGCTCGAATCTGCAGCAGCCAGCCACGTTCACGAACATCCGTTATCTATTCAGTGACTCGATCTCGGGCCGTGATTCTGAGGCTTGGATTGAAATCTGTACCAGAACTCTTTCCAAAACATGTCCGTGACAGAGTTGCGAGCAAATGGACTGAAATTTCGGATCAAGATGAATCGAATGAATGTCCTTCCCTGATGCCTTCCTTACATGTGCCATGAAAGTGAAGAAGATGAAGGATGAGGAGCATTCAAAGCCATGTATCAAACGAGTGGGCTCGATGCGGTGCAGGTGCACGCGAAGACATATATCGAGCACTGTAAATGGTGGTGCTGATGATGCCGCCATACATACTTGAAGATGAGATTTGCATCGGGTTGTTGGAGACGGAACCGGAGCTCGAAGACGAGAGCATGTCGTCGTTGTTGGATCGGGAAACGCGCATGAGCATTTCATCGCGCTTGGCACGACACTCGTCGTCGTTTTCCGCCCAGGCCAGCACGTGGTTGAGCATGACGAGCACCTCGTCGGGATTGCAATCCTCCCCGTTGGCTTTCTCCAGAGCTTGCTGCCGGTACCGACTGCGCAGGGTCCGATAAATCTCCTCCTGCTCGGGGTACTTCTGAAACAATCGACTCCTCACGTCGATGTCATCGAAGATGATCTGCAGATGCGGGCTCCTGTCGAATGGGCTCAGTTTCATACTGCTGGCATGGTGAATCAGTGTCCATCTGTCGTACGTTCTCCGATCGCTGGCTTTCACCGGATCGCACATGACCTCCCACGTGATGGGGTCGTGATACCACTTGAGCGTGTTGGACTTGTAAAATCCCGAGCTCGACACTGGCTCCATCGCCGTCGTCTTGTCCCTCCTGCTGCTGCTGCTGCTGCCGGGGCCGTCCCTTTCATGAGCCGCCGCCACCAGCTGCAGAGACAAGCACCATGTCAAGGAGTCACTCTCCGGCACCAGCGCTCGTCCCCACTGTGATCTATGGCCTAGGAAGATAGATCTGTAGATCTGTACCTGGAGGCCGAAATCAGATGCGATGCGATGCGATGCGATGCGAAATTTCTCTCTCAATTCACGATCATGGAGGGATGTACAATCTGGAGCGTCACGGGCTTCTTACATCGGCAAAGATTTTCTCCAAATCATCCGTCTGAGCTTGCCGCTCGTCTCCTTTGATGATACAGATCACTTCCTCGATGCTTTGGCCGTGAGATCGCATCGCCGCCAGCAGCGGGACGAACATCTCTTGCAAGTCCTTGCGCATATGAGCCTTGAGCTCCTTCCGGGTCGAGGCGGCGTTCGTGGTCGCGTACGCTGTGACTAACTCCGCTTGCATGCGGTCCACTGCAGCATGGAACTTCTGCATCTCCTTGTTGTCGAGAGTCACCTGCTCGATCACACAGACAAGCATTCACACAGAGCACCCTCGTATGTTACAACGCTCCGCTCTCCGATGTTTTCCACTGCTCTCCTGGTGCTACCAAAACTCTCCCATGCAGAACTCGTTGTCGAGCCAGACGTGCAGTTTGAGGCCTCGAGCTTTTGGAATGGTAGATCTATATGCGCTTGCTCTCAATTGACGATACTGTTATACGAATTTGTCAAAAGTCGAAGAAAGTCGAATCACACCAAGAAGTCGTCAGCGATCCGGTTCTGTCAGTATGGAATTATGCACTCACGCTGCAGGCCATCATCATCATCATCATCATCATGATGCAGGCAGGTCAAGGAGAAAAAAAGGGAATCCGACAGTGGATCAGAAGCATACATCGACGATGATGAGCAAAAGCTGGATTTGGAACGAGGTTATAACTCGCTGGTGGATCAGCAAGAGCTCGGACATCGTTTTCGTGGCGTGCCATAAGGACTCGACGACATTTTCCATCAAAATTCTCTCTGCATCCTTCTGCCCTCGCCGAAGATCCCCCTGTAGAGCCTCTACAAAACAATGTAACGCCACCGATTGATTATTCAGCTTGTGCGCATACACTGGCCAAGAACTCCACCAACTCCATTTGCACTTTCAACCACTAAGACCTCACGATCGTCTCGATTGCTTCTCTCGACAGCTCTTTCTCCGCTCGTTTCTGAGTTTCTCCGGTCAAGTGGAAATTGTGGAAATCTGTTTCATCTCGAAGCCTTGCACTCGGAGGTGTTTGGATCGTGGGGGGTCGAGGGGTTAATGTACCAATTGCGTAAGTTGAGGTGGTGTTTTTGGCCACTTTTCTCCAGCTCAGCACGCCAATGTTATGCTTGAGATTCTTGGCAAACAAGCTGAGCTCCTCGGCTACCTCGGCGTTTTCCGTCTGATTCCACCATGTAATCGCACGAGTCACCGTCTGGAGCAGAGTTTGAGCGAGCGAAACGGTCAAGCTTACTGGTTCCATCAATATCCTCTGACAGCTCGATTTCGATCAATACCAGAGAGTTGATCGCCCACGCCGTTGTCTAACTCATGAGTGTGCGTTTTCGACTTCATGCCCGTGTCGACAACCTGAAGAATTCAACCCCATCCGATTCGTGGACACAACACCAGGACAGCACCCGCAAGTTTGTGCAGAGAAGGTCGCAATGCATAACATCTAGAACTTTAAACGAATCGTCGACAATTCAGAATGATCGGCAGCACCTTTTTCCTTCACTCACAGCCAGCCAGCCAGCCAGCCAGCCGGCCCGTATCTCCCATATCTCTGTTGGGAGAGAAGCACCATCGAGCCTATTTCGGGCGCACACTCCCTCTTCCTGGAGCTGTTTCCGGGAGATCATGAGTCGGTTGTAAATGTCAAGCTGTCCATCACTGTTGGCCTCTCAAATGCCACTTCTCCTGTTGGTAGGTGCCGGTGGGCGCATTGCTATATGTATAACCAACTTCAGCCCGCAACCAGTGGTCACGTCCAAGTCTCCTCGACGAATCTAAACCATTGCCATCGCCGAGCTTAGGGTAGACGAAAGCATCTCATCCATAACTGGATCAAACCGTCAGGGCGACATGTACTGGTGGGTTAAACTGTTCGCTGCAACAACATCTCTCACCATCGCAATGCGAATCTGTCTGTGCTTGGCTTGGTGTCTAAGCTTCCGGCACTTCTAGCCAGATCCAATATCAGCATGCAAAAGTGACTCCTTGGATTCCAGGATAGTAGAACTCAAGGGCCAACTCTATTATTTGGAGTCGTCCTGGATTCCCTATTCTAAACTGATCATGAAAAGCCTGATTGATGTTCACTGGGATATGATGTTTGACCTAGCCGTCAAGCTCTCCAGGAAAGCGTCTTCTCTCCAGGTTTCAGACATAACATGTTCGCAGGTAATGGAGGTGTATAATGAGGGTTTGATTTGAGCTTGATGTTTAAGAGAGCATTTCCCTTCTGACTTCATTTTCAGAGTATCAATACCTTGTTAGCCCTGATGCTATGGTTTTGTACATCAATCACAGCCAGCGAGGAAGTAAACAATGTTCATCAGATTAATCTCGAGTGTAACTGTGCGCTTCCTGGATCTCCGTCTACGACTCAGTTCAGAGTACAGGGTGAACGGGAACATGACATCAGAGGCCGTGCGGGTCTATATTGTCATCGTTACAGTTCCTTCTTCCTGACCATCACTGTTCGTCTGTTTCTTTAGCAGGTGCAACTCATCCAGACCAAGATCCGAATCCGAAATCGTGAGTCCTTCGCAGTCACAAGCTCTCTTCCCGAGAGCCAGTCTCGTTTCTGTCTCGTCGAATTTTCGGGACTTTCGGGCTGGAGAAAGGCTCACAGTTCTCTGGACAACTCGATGGAGAGGAAAGATGATACTGCCTGTAATAGGTCGAAACTGCAATAGCGAAGATCCACTGAAGAAAGAAGCTGCAACGGATTGGAGCATTTGTCCATCCGGGGGATATTCTGGTCGATTCGGATCTCCAGCGTGGAACACAGGGTCTGTAAGCTGGGGGTGGCAAGCTTCTGTGGCTCAATTGGACAACCTTCTGACTGACTGACCAAAGCGAAGTCTCCATCCATGTACGGGTAAGAGTACGCTTCCGAGAAATACGAGACACAGAGCTAAAAGGTAAAACCCGCAGCTCATTGCCCTCAATTATGATTGATACACTATCACATGCAGAGAATTAATACAAAACTCTGTCAAGCTTGGATTCTTGCTCATGATTAGATCATGGTGATGAAAGCAGAAGCGAGAACATGGTGAAGACACAGGAACTAAATGTGCGTTTTGTGACAGTTGGAATGGAAGCATTTATGTAAGCCCAGGCACAAGCTTCAGTCAAAGCTGTCCCTGCTCGACACACACAAATATCTTGATCGGCATCCAGTTTCAGACCACACGTACTACAACAGGCAGACTCAAGGGCGGATTCGTCGTTCCGATATCAGCCATCTCATTTCATCTCGTGTACACCGCCATGTCTCAGTTTCCCCTGTTTCTAGTCACTGGTGAATATTCTCTAGCGTGCTTGGCATTGGAGGGAGTTCTCTTGAGTGAATGGATTGCCAAATCGAAGAGTTTATTTAAGTTCTAAAAGCGTTGACACTTCCGGCCTCCCAAACATCATGAAGGTTAGAGCCTGTTGAGATCAGACCCAAGGCAAAGACTGTAAATTCGTTCGGCTTACAACCAGGCAGTTTGCTGTTTGTACGGTGTTTTTATTATGTCCAACCCGGAGCGATGTAGATTCCAGTTTGGTGCACTGTGCTTTATTCTTGGAGCAGTTCGTTCGTCGTGACACGGGCAGCTTTCCTGCGTGATATCTCCATTATAGAATCTGCCGACACAAAATCAGAGCAGAATATGGAAATGCCAGGGTCATGGAGGAGGTCAGAGCTTGTGTAAGCTTTTCCAATTCGTGCGTTCGGTTCGTAATCATGTCCCGGTATGGTAATATAAGATTGCTCAGCCTAGACCTGTAATATTTGATCTCAGTTCTCTTCCAATATTCAAATTATGGGCTGAGAATGAAATCGAATAATCTTCTCTCCCTCCATTCACAGAAGACTTCGAGGACACAGATGAGCACCCAGAATCGGACAGGACTCAGTTCCAATTGTATTATCAAATCATGAGAGCCTTCACCGTTTTACGTGTGTGACGTTTCACTGATTCTTCAAACTTTGGTAATTGGCAGAGACGAGTTCGGACACATGCCACTCCACTTGAGGGTTCCTTCATAGACTGGCCAACGGCAAAGAGTGGTCGTGGTTGCGCTGGGAAGTGCTAACGCAAAACAGAGTGATCTGGAAGACATGAAGATCAGATGTGGACTGACATAACATGCAGGGAACTAATGCATTCAGCTTAACAAAGGAAAGCTGCAGAAGTACCGCAGTACATCGACGATGCACGCACTTTTTTCCAAGATTAAATTTCAATCATTGAACACGTAAGCCTGAGATCAGTGCTCAGATCCGAAATTTATCGTCTTCGAAAATTCGATTCTTACAAGAGCGACTGATTCGAGAACTTTCCTGAAAGCTAATGTCGTGCAAGCGGCAGATTGAAGGAATAGAATGCATTGAAAGTCTGCATCAATGATGACTCTGCAAACAGTTCACAATTGGTCATGAAATTCGCCGTTGACTTCATACAAGCATAGATTACCATTGAGATACATAGAGCTCGTCGACCTTAATTGGTTGGACTTAAGCATTCATTCAAGGGCTGTTGTTTAATGAAGCTTGCGTTGAATTGGAGTCTTGATTTCAGTTTACTTGACATTGATGGGCCCAAACAGAGTTTGACAATATTTTTCACAAAAACTGGTGGATGTCGAACATGTCTGTGTAGCACATCACGAATGATTTTCAACAGCAAAGAACGAGTCAAATGTGGCTAGGTCCATACGTAATATAGGCAAACAAACACAACCATTTGAAAAATTTGTAGCTTACCAGCGGCCCAGGAGCCAAGGTTGGACAATCAGAAGTACAAGCTTTCACCGAACAGAGCAGATGAGATACAAGAAAAGTAGTTCAGTCTATAACGTCAGAGCTCCAATTCTGGACAGTCTAACTCTCGCCGTGTTATGTTTCCGTGTCGAAGCTGTGGGGGCGAACCTGTGATCTCCAAGCGCTGCTCCGTCCTGGCTGAGTTGAAGTTTCTACCAAAAGAATCTCAAAGTAGGAACAGGGACTCATAGAGAGGCTGAAATCCCTCAGAGCAAGAACATTAGAGCTGCCTGGAGTCGACAACCGCCTGCCAGTCAAAGACATGCAAGAAGGTGCCATCTGATAGTTTAATTTCAAAGCCCTGCATCCTTACTCGCCATATGCACATATTGCAGAACAGATAAGGAGTGAAATTATCGTGCTTAAAAACCTGAAAACACTGCCTCAGCTGCCTCATCGAAAACCTCCACAGAAAATCACAAGTCCAAATTTCGGGTTCAGTGAATTCCCAAGTTTCACATTTCATTTCAGGAAGAACTTTCTCCTTGACTGCGCCCGTCTTATCATGACAACGTAAATTTATCGGCCCCGACACTTCGTTCTGAATCTGGACACCAAATCCAGCCGTTAGTGTGGGTGTTATGCAGAGAGCAACACATGAGTTGAGGAAAATCAGCTGCAGAGTACTTTGAGTGACGTTCGTAGCCATGCCTCGAAAGCAAATGGATGTGGTGTTCTTAGAGATGATGAGTTGAATGCTTAACGACGTGCAAAACCATTGAAACGAGACACTCAGAGAGAATTGTGCACTAGATGCCCAAACCAGGTGAAGCTAACAGGTGCTCATTGTACATGACCTAGTTATGGTCGTATGGTTCAAAAAAGCCTCGCACATCACGCTTCTCACATATTGTGTTTGTGCTCCAGTCGGTCTTGCTGTCTACCTAACGGATCCAACCACCACAACGGAAGCTATCATTCACATTTTACTTTATGTACTAGATTGGCTCACTCATCATGATCCATTTGTACTATGAATACCTATTTTCTTCTGAAAAGAGTTAGATGGAACTTCCGGTCGAATACACAAGCTTGTAATGAATAACCTTATAACGATATCTATAATCATGGACCGAGCGGGCTCGCAGCTATACACCATACTACAGGGATCCATGATGAGAAAATGGTAAGCTACGATTTCTCTTACTCAGAGCATTCGAACTGTAGATATACTCTGTCCCTGTGAGAAAATCCAAGGATGAAATTCACAAACTTGGGAGAGTATCCATAGAAAGGGGAGAAGTACATATATCTAAGAGGCCTATGAACTGCAGGAACGATCGACATTACCGAACAAATTGGCAGAAGTTTACAGAAAGCAAAAAGTTGCATATCTCGTTCGCTCGCGTGATTATGAGTATCCTCTCCAAGTTTTCAGCTTCTGGTCCACTCTCCTAAACTATTTGATGAATGGCGAAAAGTATGTGATTGACAGTTGTATATATATTAGTTGTATTTCGTAACTTATTCAAGGCTTGCCTGACGAGAGAACTCGTAACTACCATCAGTTTCGTTTCGAGATTGTCTCATCCTCAAGTTCAATGAATTTTAGAAGTTGAACCTACCGTACGCAACTTGATACTGCTATTCCTTCATCAAACTTCAAATTATCATCAAGACGCAAACATAATCTCTCGAGTATCATAATTGTGTATCAAGGTGTGATCAGAGTTACAAATAAGTGAAATTTTTTGCAGCCATGTGAACATTGTTTAGCAACCACTGCATCCGTGACCATGGTGGAAAACTACACAAAGCTCTTATTTTGATCTTGTTTTCCTCCAATGCATGATATTAAAATTTCATCAGTATTCTGGCATGTACAATACGTCGACTTAAAACGTTTTGAGAATAGCGGAGTGGACGTACAGGTCTTTTTGGACGTGAGACGTGGCCTTTAAACTCGTTCATCCATTCAAAGAAATTAAAAAGGACTACCACGATCTTTGCCAAAGTTCGAGATCTTTACTTAACGTACAATTATGAGAAGAGTTGCTCGTCCTTGGCCTCATCATACGCTTACCAGAAAGTAGATAACGGCTGTAAACTTTAAATCTGATTCGCTAAGTATTGCTCCACCAAATGGACACATATACTAGCGGCAAAACTTCTTTAGTTTTTGATAAAGCACACTACGATCGTGGAGTTTCAATGTGACGTTCTCTTTTTATTCACACCGCAACCACATTATTATACTTGACCTTGGTCAAGTATAATAATCTTTGAGATCAACCACGCCACGTCTAATCCTTTGAAGATTTAGAGCATAAAAGCACCCGCTGCCTGCATCTCGTTACACTTCAATAGTCGTATGAATCACAAGTAAGACATGGTTTGAAGAAGTTCTACACCTGCTGGGCGAGGGACGCTGAAAGAAGACCTGATCGACACCAGCGTTATGTAAGAAGGCAGAAGGTGGGGAAGAAAACTTGTCAGTTGTGCTCACAAGAGTTCTTAACCAGGCAAACTTATGAGACATTTGAAACTTGGGACACTTCAAAAAATCATCTATTGACATGCGGGCATTTAAAATAGAGGTCACGGTTGAAGATTTTGCGTCTTAAATTTTAAATGTGCATCGAATATCTTTCAGCTTTCAGATCGGCTATGATATCACCGTGTCCAGCTACTTCAGTGATGTCAAGATATGGTGGGAATAACATCGGAGTTAGAAGAGTGAATCATCGAAGCTTATAACCTCTTGTATCCACGTCTAACTGAACTGTAATAAACGTTTGATGCTGCTGGGTAACGAGCTAGAGGAGAGAGTCATTTGACAAGCAGATTTCTTCCAATCGAATCTTTCATTTCTTGGGTTTCGCCTACGACTCTGGCAGGTGAAAGAACTGCAAAGTGTCCACTGTGTTTGATCTTCTTATGGCCCCATAGATAACGCGATGCTGGAAGATATTGGAAAGTTGTTTTTAATCTTGCACACCAAGGACTAGATTCATCAGCCACATCACAAAATAAGAAAGTATAGCTTGACAGACAGATAGAGACCACTTCTCTGGCAAGTAGTAATTTGGGTTATTATATTTTAATGTACAACTTATATAGAGGAGTCTACATCTGAATCTTTATAATTCGTCCATGGACTTTATTTTAATCTTAGAGCACACAGATTGGTTCCTGGTCTTTATCAGACACAAATTCAACTTGGAACGTATAACTCACATTCAATGCCAAACAGAATAAATGATACACTTAATCATACAAAGAGTGAGAGATGGTATCTCCATTCTCTGAGTCCGTTGAGCTTATTTGCCAGTAGGTCCTCCAAAGTCCTCCCAAGTCCTCCCCAGTGCAGCAAATCATGCTTTAGGTGGTCTATTAATTACATATCTTAACAGCATTCCGATGCTGATTCCTACCACCAACCGTCAGCTAAGAGAATATGATAATGTTATTTTTGATTCTCTTACTGTTGCCTTCACAGATCGCCCTATCCGAGGATTATCATGATGAACATTTGATTGCAGCTCAATCTCCCTCTTCCAAAAGCGTCAAATCTTAGCTGCATCTCCTTGATGTCAAGCACAATTTCTCGTCAATGTGCAGGCATGGGCTCTCTGCATTTTTTAGTCTTGAATATTTGTTTCTGATAATCTTAGGAATCGCTTGCATTGTCCATTGACTTGAAAGCTTGTTTATTAGTTAACTTTTATTCCTAGATCAACCTTGATTCTTAGTAGATCACTACTCATACCTTTAACATTCGTTTCTTCTATTTCTTGTGCAAGAAGCATTCCTTCTTGTTGATAATTTCCTTGAGGACATATATATACATATACATATAATTATATCCCTACGTATGTATGAACAAGAACTTCAGATTCATACACTATCCTTTCTACTTTCGAAAAACTCATTTAGCTTTCATCTCTACATTCATGCAAAATATATCCCCTCAAAGGTCAGCAAGTTCGTACAGGTATGAATCTTTGCTTACTTTTGAAATCAGATTAGAAAACTTATTACGTAAGAAAATTAGAGCCAAATGAAGGTTTGTTTCATGATTGAAGATGAAATTACGTGTATTCTAAGGTTTGTGAAGATGTGTGTGGTAAACAAAAAATATGATAGATTCGAAAGGTATTTCTTATGCCTGAGTTGCTATTTTGCATTCAGAGGCAAGGATTACACGGATGATCAAGACAGGCGTTCCGAATCTTTGAGAGGTAGATTGAGCTAAATCAATGGTGTTCTTCCAACAAGCGTAAGGGGTTGAGTTTGATCATCATATTGCAGTTGAAAATTATCTTAGAAGTTAATATAGAAATAAATTGGGTATATAAACATGATTATATACGCTTTTTAAAAATGTCACAACATATTGAAACCAAGATTTTTTATTCAAATTTTACTCTTCTGCTTAGAACGTTTAAAATTATTAAGATCCAACTTTGTGGTGTAAACTACCTCGTTGATTATCTTCCAAACTGTGTCATGAACCGAAGACCCACTTCTACTAGACTCATCTTCGTGTTGAAAAGCTGTTCCTACTCTCAACGATGAATTCAACTCACCCCTCGTTCAGCAATTTATTCCTTCCGAATTGGCTCCAACTTCTCTCTCTCCACTGCAATCCGTGACGCAGGCTCTCCCCCTGATAGCTCGCACCTGTTTTCTCCCTTGAAAATCTGTATGTACTGTACCGCCACCACTCTTCTAACTGCTACTTTCTATAATTCAACATCTCTCTTGTGACTACCACCGTTTACAATTGGAGATCTTCCTCATACTCTGCGTTTCGGCTGATCGGTGCTTCGGCAGTTTATGTTCTTCATTGCTTCCGCAGCATATGTTCCTTTGTACTTCGACATTTTGGCTCCTTGATCTCTTGCAGTTTCCACATTAGTAGTGGCATTTGATTATTTCGGTGCTTTGGCTCTTCAGCGTGTCAGCTGTCATCGTTCTTCTGCAGCTCTGCACTTTCATGTTTTGGCGCTTCAACACTTTGGAGTCTCGGCAATTCGGCGTCTCACATTTCTACTCTTCAACACTTTGGCTTTTTAGCACCTCCACGTGCTTGGCATTTCAGGAAGCACTTTGGTATTTCGGCACTTTCGTGATTTGTCTCTTCAACACTTGGGCGTCTTGGATATTTTTCTCCTTGGTCACTTCGAGTGTTAATCAGTTTGACATCCCTCGCTTGGTCTCTTTGATGTTTGGGCACTTTGGCATTCCTGCATCTGGAAGATTGGACAGTTGATTTTAGATTTTAAGACAACGCCATAACATACAAGTGAGAACTTGTTTCTTTACCTATGTGATTATTGTTCTTTAACGTATAGTGTATTGTAACTTCATGTTGTGCAATAACCGGAACAATATGTAGAAAAGGTAATGATTTTTCTATACGTTTTCTAGATTGGATTTTCTCCTCCTGAAATTAATTTTATGGCATTCCCTGAGTAGTCGGGATGACAGTGGGACTCTACGCATCTTGTCATTAGGAAGAATGAAATGAGAACATTTACCATCTAATCTTTCATCCATTCACTTTCGTTTGTATTTATCTCTGTTTTCATGTTTTCATACGGTGCGCCATGCGGACATATCAGTGCAGAGTAATTAAGGAAGCATAAAACCTCGAGTGAATTCGGAATTGGCGTAGGTCCTAGATTCTCAAGTGGGAGTCAATTCGGTACAAGGATACAGATGTCAAATCCAGCCCATACTAGCCAATGCAATTGTTTTCAGATGACCTGAAATAAACTGTCTGTAACAGACGCTCACCTCGTCCTCACGCTATGAAGATACCAAGATCACACTCTGCATCGTGATCTTAATCATCACCGGCCATGACATCAGTTGTGCACACTCGATGGATAGAAATCACGTCCGACAGGTTGTATAATCGTTGAAAATACTTCTGCAAAAATTTATTCCAGTCTCTCTGACCACTACACTTAAGAAAACTCACCTGCCCTCATATATGCAAGAACAAATATGGTATTCAATCTCACCTTTTCACACAAATGTACAGATTTCAAAACAGTAGAGTGCAAAGCTCAACAAGTGTCAGGGACAAAAGACGACTTCATAGTCGGAGCCTGTTGGACATGTGAAGGTAGAGTTTGCATCATCAAAGTTGTAGCTGTAAGCTTCAGGACATGCAGTTTTGAACTGCATTGTGCCATTTGTAGGTCCCAGTCCGGCAGTTCCATCGGTGTTGACGCAAGAGAGGGCACCATTGACTTCAGTGTGTAGAACGTTGTTGGGCTGACAGAAAGATCTGTTTTTTAAAAAACAGTAAGTTCCATGATTCAAAAGAATAGTTGTCGTGATTGTACCAACAAGCCGGTTGCTGAATGAGCTATGCACTTCAGCATGTTCTGGAACTTTGAGATTGATCAAAAGATACGAGTTTACCTGATGTCGCTGATGGAACAGTTTATGGAAGGACAGCCTGTGGGTGCACGGATAGACATGGGTATGGTATAAGCATTCTGCAGGGAGTTCAAGCAACAAATGATGAATACGATCAGTGATAAGAAGTTTTGATGTATGCATTTAGCTTCTGTTTCTCGTTGAATGACAGTAGATTCAAGTTTCTGAGATTGCGGCACAGAATTCAGTTCTATGTAGATCTGTTCACATGGCTCATATACTCATACAAAAAGAGATCCGCACTGATGAGAACAAGAGATGACTGCACTGCCATCGAACCTTATCACATATGCAAATTCAGATGCATTATAGTTGTTTCCGATATTCATCCCCATCGGAAGATCTAAAGAACTAAGAACTCAATCCAACGCGATCCAGCCTATCGGAAAGGAAAGAAATACTCACAACGTTGCTCAGGTCGTAAAAGTCTTGATTGCTAGTGCCAGGGATTGTGAACTCAGCTAAGTTGGCTAAGTTTCTATCCGTGGCCGCGTTAGGAGTCCCTGTAACTGCACACTGTCCCGTGACGGAGGCATACACAACAGCAGATGGCCAGCTACAAACCGTGCCCAGATCGATAAATTGTGAGGTTCCCGCGCTCAGATTGAATTGAATAATGTCTTGTTGTCCGCTTTGAGAACATGCTGTGACGCTATCGTTGCAGTTGTTACCGATTGTGATCACACAACCTGCATGGGCAAAATGAGTCACGCCGTGGATGTTACTGGGGACGTCATTCGCAGTTCAATTCCCTGCCAAAGAGCCGTATGCATCTGCGGTATGCCAAGTCTTGGGCACTCTCACTGATTGTACACACATACACGATGATCTGAAGGAAAAGGAAGAGGGTCTTGATGGCAATCTCACCGTTGACGATTCCTCCGTATATCATATGGAGAAAGAAAAATCTTAGTGCTAAGCTTGAAGTGGCCATGCTGTTTATCAAATTTTACGATATATTGACGCAAATCAGTCCCAAGAGATGTGACAAAGAATAGAGATCGGAGTCTGAGATGCTATTGCTGAAAGATATCTCAGCCAGAATGAGTTGCTTCAGCCGTTTTGACATCCTGATTTACAGATCTGAGTGTCTGGTAACGCTGTGTTGAGATCAAATTGGATGTTTTCAATGCATCTGTCTTTGGATCAAATTGTGAAGCACAGTGGGTTGCCCTTGGGCAGACACAGAGGGATATTAGCTAAGATGCTTTCATTTGGACTCACATGCTTCGATCGATTTTAAACAGGGCTATTCTTATCTGTCTTTAAAAAATTCAATTCAGTGTTCAATTGTGTTTAATTACATCAAGCAGATGTTGTTCCCCAATGGTGTATTTTTTGTGACATCAAACAGTACAGTCAACATTGACTAGTGTTTGAAAACCATGATTCACTTAATTGTTGATCGGCCCAAATGGGTCACTTTCTCATACCTAGTCCTATGAAGGACCTCGACGACAACGGAAACTTCCTGAGAAGTTCAAAAGCATGACGAAGATTTTGATTTTGTTGTTACGGAATATGGGACAGTTGAGCTCAGCTAAGATCGGATACCTCAGTTTTCTGTCAATCCCATCTGTTGACACACTTTGCTGTTGACCATTCCTTTCAGAGCTCAGCAGATGGCGAAGCACATGAACGTACAGTTTCTCGACCCATGCATATCGATAATATATATCAAGCAAGAGTATGAGAATGCCAGCAGATTGCAATCATGACATGTCTTAGTAATCGGTTCTGATTGCGATCATCGGTTTCACAAAGGGCATGGCCCAAAGATCTCACACTCTACAATATTTCTGGAATGAGAGAACTAAGTTTGCATCCAACAAGCAGATGGTATTCTCTCACATGCCTCAGAGCCTTAAATTTTGGGCAAAGTCCTGGAACTCTCTTCGCCTAATAGATAATGGAAATCTGTCGGATGTCGCATGCATGGTGAAGTCAAACCCCCAGCTAAAGCACTCAAGGTGATCCCGTTTGCTTCTTTGCCATCCGAAAAACACCTGGAAACAAATCCCATCGTCACTGTTTAAAGCTCTCCTATGTTTCCGTTGTGTCTATTCATTCGGCGCTCCTTCTGCTGTGGAATCTTGTAGCAGGATCAAGTTAAGAGTTTTACAGCTGGATACATTCCAGAAGAAGTCACTAGTTCTTCAAAAGTACAGTGGATTGTGTCGTGCACGGACGACTACCATTTGTATTAAAGTCATAAAGAAATATGATATGGGAATGAATATTGTGAGATATTAGGTTCCGTTGCATGTCATTTTCTCTTTTAGAGTATTTGTAATGTAATAATAGTTTGGTGATGACTCAATATCTTATGGACTGCCTAGGAATTGATGGCTTTGATTCATTTTGATTTATTAACGTTATAAGTCAAGGATGATATAAGGTCAGTTAGCTAATTAAGGCAGTGCATTACAGTGATAAGGATTTCAAGAATGGTAGAGAGTGAAAACGGAAAAACACATAGAGAGTGGGAATCATCAGTGAGGAAGTGGTAGTCTTGCTCGGGAACAGGAGTGATTTTTCTATGTGTAGTTCTCGATGACTGAAACCTTGTAATGACGGTAGGAAGTTCAAGTCTGAAGGTCTGATCTTGGATATACATACTCGAACTGATTTAATTGAGGAATTCGCGAGGAGTAGGCTTTTAACCTAAATCTCGCCAACAAATGCTTGTGTTTGTATGGTGTGTGGACTGTGATTTTCTGTAAGTGATTGGGATTCAGATCCCTACAAATATTTTTAAGGCTAATAATTTATTATTTATGTCAAACAATGCAGATATGAATCAGTTGTTCATATATCAAATCTTTGAGAAATTTGAAATGTTAAACTTTGGAGAATTAATCAGAAATTTAGAACATTTTATTCACTGGCCGTCGGTTGTTTGCATGAGTGCTGAATTTTTGAACTAACATTTCCTCCGATAGTACGCTAAACTATTGTGAAAATTTGGAGCTGTGCACATCTGAAGGCATAGGAACGAAGCACGCGCAACAAGATCGATATTCAGCTACTCCTCTTTCCTCTAATGTCACAACATATTCAGACATATAATGTTCAAATTTAAAAATCTTGGAGACATGTACTGAGATGTTCTGGTTATTTTGTAAGCCACAAATAGGCGAACGTTCTTCACCATGCTAGCAGCAAACGTACCAAAGAAACACGTGGCAAGAGCTTTTTGTGAGTCTTAGAAAGAAGATTATATATAAACACTTGACTGTCATTCTCGATGGCAGACACTTAAAATGAATCGGGAAATGAATCATAGAGCACTTGTAAGTCAGGAAACCTGACAACAATCGACGAAGGAGAGATGGTACCTAGTACGAGAACTTTGTCAATGTACCGAAATACATCACACACCGCTAGATTATAGTCGTCTGGAAGCCCGCAAAACATCATTCACCAAGGGCTCTTAGGAGAAGATAATCAGTGACACGCCACCTAAGACTGACTAATGTACACGTAGACTCTATCCACAGGATATCAAGCTTGTCCACTATGCAGCGAAGAAGCTTTCTAAGATTTCTATCTACTTCTAGAAGGAAGTGCATGACATTGAATTTAGCTGCACACACGACGAGTGAATTTTACAGGGTACCCGCATGTCGGATGCGGATGGGGGAGAAATTTGGTTTTGTACGTTGATTTGAGAGGCTCCCACCTGTGACAGAAATTTGACACCGAAAATGAGCTCCTGAGATCTCTCTGATGGAACACTGATGAATGGAAATTCAGAAGGAGATAGATATTCGGGGTTCGAGAGAGTAGACAGGCTCACTTGTAATCCAAAGCTAAGTAGTAGGCAATGATAACAACGTTGAGTCTTGCGAACTGCTGGCCAGGACATGCCCTCTGACCTTCACCGAAAGCAGCGAACTGTCCTGGCTTGAGAAGTCGACCCTGCAATGCAACGACAGTGGATACTGATGATGACCCTGACATTGCTGTTGGCAATTCGCCGCTCTAAGGAATGCACAGAATAAGAAGAGCTAGAGTGCTTCAGTTTGGGGCTCACAATCCATCGATCTGGTTTGAAGACATATGGATTGGCGTAAATGTCGGGGTCGTAATGAATAGCTCGAGACATCAGCTGCACTCTCCAACCTTTCGGGATGGTGAAACCTGTGGCCGAATTAGCTGTTAAGGAACTTTGTAGATTCACAACTCACGTAACTGATGAGATCGCTCGAAGTTGCAATGATCTCTCCATCCATCAGTTTCAGTTCTCATCGATTTTGTTCCGACTATGAACGGACGAGGTAAGAGACTTGCCATTGATAGTGCTCGTTTCTTTCACCTTTCGGAAGGTGAAAGGTGCAATATTCACAATGCGCAGAATTTCGTCATGTACCTACACCCCTTTAGGCAGACGATACTCAGTTCAACCGAAGACATTCATTTCGGAGGTTGGCCGGCATATTTGTCTGATCTAAAGGAGACATGTGCGAGTTCCAGATTGCGTTTGATTCTAGTTGTCGGGATGATTTCTCTAGGATTCCTATATCACCCTAGTTGGCATCAAGAGAGATCGAGATGGCAAATCAACCGACAAGGCAAGATGGTGGAGCTTTACATGACGAAGATACTTCAACCTCCGGGTGTCGAAATAGCTCAGCGGTTCTCCGGGGGGTTTTGTGTTCCGGACTTCTTGAGCTTCCACCTGCACATAAATTAAAGAAATTTAGAGTGAATCCAGGCTTTCATCAACTCCTAACGAGATCACAACTTCACAACTTCAGAACTGATCACAACTTAAGACAGGTGTCACTGAAAGATCCGCTGCTTTCTTAGTTCTCTAGCTTTACTGATTGCAGACAAACCATCAAGTAGTAGTGAGTTTATATGTTGTACCCGAACTTTCTCGAGCACTTCTGGATGCTCATTCATAAAAATCATGAACCATGTAAGACTGAGAGCAGAGCCCGTGTGCCCAGCAATCATATAGCCTCCGATCATATCCAGGAGTTCTTCATCGGTCATCGGTTGTCCATCGTCATCAGATTGATCCATCCACAGTTGCAGAACATCATCTTTACGCTCACCTGCTCGTCTTCGAGAAATGACTGGTGTCAGCTTCTCACGTAGCCTCTGCCGTGCCTGGAAATATAACCTTAGCCAAATTAAGAACAAGCATTCAAAAGACTGTCGTTCAGAAATTGAATCGTTAAGTTCCACTCCTAAACATCTCTCAGAAGAATCTATGTGAATGTGCTGACATATTTTCATTTGTTTGGACGCATGGCAATCCCAAACTGTTCAAGCGAAGCATTCTATTGCGACAGTACATTTTCAAAGGCCTCTGAAACCAATTCAAATCAGATGACTTTGAAAATATAAAGTACAGCAGTTACCTTGAGGCCTTTGTGATGTGCAGTTCCCGGAAGATTAATCGGGATAGCTCGTACTGCGAGTATAAACTTGGAAAAAATCCTGGCAATTTCGTCCAGCTCAGATCGTTCTTCGCAACTGATTAGAATCTTCATCATCCTGTCAAATATCAACTGCGAATCCAATACAGATAGTTCGATCAAGCTTGAGGGTTTAACCGGATCCAAAGACAAAGAGAACATCAAGACAGCTCAATCCTACACGTAAGCTTAGGGAAATGCAGTAGCTTTAAAAAATATTCCTTGTCTACAATCCATTCAGGGCGTGGCTCAAAAGATCGAAAGTCACATTCTAAATCCACTTGTACGAACGGCTCCTGGGGTTTTTGGTCTAGTAGGAAAGGCCAATGCAATAGCTAAGTGCCTTAAACTAACAGTGATGGACCCTCAGAGATTACGAGAAGCAGAAGTTGATGTCACCTTGGTTACGGCATCATAGGTGTTGATCACCTTCTCGCGGGCCCAGGTCTCAAGCTCTCTGACGTCTTCTTCGGCTATTTGCAGTGCAAACCTTGCTAGCGTGTCAGTTCCTTGCAAAGATGGACCCGTAAGCCTCTTCATACGCTTGTGCTTGTCCCCAGCCAAAAGTGAAATTGAGTTACAACCGAATAGCATATTGAAGGAATCTGGCCAGCCTGGAAGAAAATGGTCTCCGTGGGCAGTGACCCATTTGTATGCATCGCTTGACGTCGTCAATATCGTTGGCTGGCTGAAGAGGTGTGTTTTGTACAATCCCAACTTTCCGTATCTGAGCAAGGAGAGCAAATTTTAAGCATGTCAGAACTTATGAGGATATGAAACTAAGTAACATTGCACAGATCCCCAAAACGATCTCTTTCTGGCATGATAAAACGTGAAATGTCTTAAATGCCAGTCTTTCATGCAATAGAGATAGAGGAGATAGAGTTAAGCATCTCACTTCTCAAGGTAGGAATCTGTAAACGCATTAGGATTGGAAGATGTGTATGCCCGCAAGAAGCTGTACATGTGACCAAATATTGGCCAGCCTAGATCACCTGGTGGAAGGGGAGCAGCAAGAGACTTTTCATTCGGCTCATACCACCAGTTGTTGAATTTTCTTACAGCCGTTGTGATGAGCAAAATCAGAAGAGTCCAGATTATGAGAACAATCGCAGCCATGTCTGCAGAAAAACAAACTGAGGACCTGATCCCAAAGTAGCTGACCACACGTGCACTGGGTAAGTAAGACTGAACTCATTCCCAGAAGGCAGCTGGTCTTAAAGTATACGTCGATCTCCTATCTTTAAAATGCTACAAATGCGATCAGCAGGAGTTTAGACTAGATTTGAGCCCTCGAGAGGCTCAAGCTTCGGAAGTCAACGAAGAATTGTTGAGTGATCATTGCAGGAGCACCCCCACGGAGCCGACAGTAAGACTAAGCTACATCCAGTACGGGCCAGCTCTCGTCTTCTGTTCGGACGTGGCGGCTTTCATCGATGTTCTATGAACCGCCTGTACATTTCATGAAGCAATCACGACTTGTACTGCAAAATTGCGTGTTTCATTAGATCCCTTCCACTTGGCATTTCTTCTCTTGCGGCCTTCATCAGCAGTGCAGGTGGATGGGAAGAGGATAAGCACCAAGCGGGCTTATTAGAAAGCAGTGAAATTTCGGCGATCTGATTTACCTTGATATTGTTTTTCTTGCCAGACTCTAGATCTACTGGAGGGAGTGATGCCCAGAGAGTGGGAATACACTCTGCGCACGTGTTCAGCTGATCTGCGAAACGTTCTGTATAAGTTCAGAAAATCGAATCTTTCGCTCAATGGTCATTTCAATCCACCTGTCCATCGGACTAGACGTAGGTTATAATAATGTTATCTTTGGTTCCCTGAACAGAGATTGACCAAAAAGCGACCTTGTTTCCACACTTCACGAGCCAGTCGCTATGGAATGGACACAGCTGTTCTAAACCCCGAACATTGTCATCTTATTGTCCGGTTCCCTTATTGTGGTTACACAAATGAATTTGATCATCCATGTAATAACATTTCACTTGCTCCAGTTAAGAGCCTGTGAATCCAGACAGAGTACAAGTGAAAGTCTTCGGGACGAATAATGATAATTGCAGGTATAGTAGTCGGGTGGTAGTATACTGCCTCGAAAGTTTTTCTTGTAAGCCCAGTTCTTTCACATGTCGGTGTTTGCCGACATACGTGCAAGACCACGAGATGTAAAATTGTGAAGTACATGACGCGGTTCGATCTAATTCGGTGATTACTGGCATCTTGAGTACTCAGTCGCCTGTTATTGCGAGCCGCAATCAGTGTACGTGGACAGTGCTTTGAGAGGTCAATGAACGCGCAGTATAAAAGTGAATCGGATGCTGTGGGGACCATGGACTAGATCTCAGAGCATATATATTTATAAATATTTATTTGGGTAGCTTTTAAAAGCAGAGAAGAAGATAGTCTGTAGATTTTAGGACTGGAAGCAAGTACCAGCACAAGTTCAGAGCAGTTTAGTTCCAGTGAGAGATGCAAAATTTATGCTTCAGACATCGAGACGCGCTAGATACGAACTACTCTGCTGCAGTTGTGGAATCTGCAGGTCCCAGATTGATCGGGCAGCTACAACAGTTCTGGTGCAAGTGATGGTGGTAGCGGCAAGCGGTTGGAGAATGGTACCGGGCTGACATGATTCTCGTTTCTGGACGAATGAAGGCTGCAGTTCGACAATGCACGTTCAAACTCGCACACTGTTGTCAATGTTGGATGCTTATGACTGGCATCAGTCGCATGGTACGCTGGACCTGGGAATAGTATGTATTGCATGATTCGTATGTCCTGTACCGCCGTTTGCGAGCAAGGTCCTGTGAACTAGGACCTCGCTCGTTTTACGTGGCCGTCAAGTGAGCTCCAGAATCCCAGTCAGTGTTCTCTGTCGTGTCAAGCGTAGACAATTGCTGAGGTTCAGGCTCAGGCCATGCGCAATTCGACACCTCGTAATCACTGTTCTATGCACGCATCCCGGTCTCTGATCGGAGCATGTGTGTCCCTAAACTTAGAGGATTCTCAAAGTCGTGTACCTTTACGTACAGCAGAAATGATAAACGAATCGAGCAATGCGATATATCGAAATAGAAGTTAAAGAGTAAAATCAAAATCTTATTGTGTCTAAATAGGGAGGCTTGTTCTAGTGGATCCTTTGAGTCGATTGATTACAGATGACATGAGCAACGATTCATGTACCTAAGTAATTACAGGTTTTTCTGAGGAATTTACCACGTGGTAAATTAGGGAGAAATCAATTTGACATCAAATTAATTTGATTTTTCCCTACGACTCTTGATGCCAGTGGAGTACATAGCATCCACCTCCTTTGTTGACTATGCTTGTATTTATCTCGACAGTTTCCTATTTGCGCCAAATTTGAACTCTAAGGAAATTTCAGCATGATTGTCTTTGGAGCAAGATGAAGGAGGATGAAGGTGGCGTATTATTGCAGGTGATCAGACACTCACTCACTCTCCTCTATTCCATATAAGATCTCAATTATAAAAGAAGGGAAGGGGAGAACTATAAGTCAATAAGGCATAGGTATCCAACTCATCAGAATTTTATATATACGTGATACCCACCAGTTTTGCCCATGATGCAGTGAAACCTGCATAATTGCATCGATGATTCTCAACTGTGACGAGTAGGGTTGGAGGCACAGCAAAATATTTTGAGGCATGCCTATGCCCCATTTCACGGTCATATTGAAATACGTACATTTGACGTATTTGAACATGTACATATATGAGAATAAAACATTTTTAGAAGTAAAACTGTTGAAAAATTCCAGAAATTACGAATTAATTTCTTTGTACATACAGGCATGCCTGTATGGAAGAACTCGAACGAGGCATGCCCCTGTGCCCTCGCCCAAGGGCATGCCCCTTGAGGCTGTGCCTCCAACCCTAGTGACGAGACACTCAAGATGTACTCTCAGTAAACATCATGCAAGGAGATTATGGTGTTGTAACATGAATATATACATTATTATTTATTGTAAATTAATCTTACAACTAAATCTGATAGATTTTATCTTCCTATAAATAAAGACATCATTATTTGAGAACTAGTTATTTAGTATCACCAATGGTAAATACATGTTACCGATGGTAATAGTCATATATAGACAGTGTCATTTTTTGGTTCAGAAATCATTTTTACCATTCTAGTCTCAAAGTTACGAAAGAAAATTGTAAATTATACTCTTAATTTAGTAAAGATTTCAATATCAAAACTATATTTTATAATTGAAAAATTCTTGAGTTACTGGTACCAACTCGGATTGCATTACAACTGTTTATTTTTTTCTTTTCTGAAGTCATGGTGTGAGAGATATTAAAAAGAGATTAGAATCAATTATTCTAGTTAATTTTCACTTGAGTAATAGAAATTCCACATTAGTTATAAGTTATTCAATTTTAGAGTTACACATCATGTAGGTCCTGCAATTGTTATGTACAAATTTAATTTCAATTCTCCATGAAAACAAGAAACTATTCATGCTTCGTCAATCACTTACACTTAGTCGATCATGTCCTCTTGCTTTGTAAGAACAATAAAATGTAACGGAAAAGAACATTGTCAAGAACTTTGTTGAAAAGAGTTCAGTATCATCGTTGAAAGATACTGGAGAATTAACAGGATCACGTATGATGCTAACCTTCTATACCAAGACGACTTCATCTTCAAATTCTCCTGAAATCTCTTTCTCCGTATTTAAGATTTGAAGCAAAAGAGATTATTTACACTTTGCTTCACTCTTTAGATAGTGTAGTGAATTTAGTGCTAGCACGTGTTATCCTTATATTGCCTAGTCATACTTTGGCGGAAAATACCTTTACACCGTTGTCTTCGTATTAAAATTTGATACTCTACACCTTACAAACAATGATATAAGTTGTAATATATCATTGCATATTCATTACTTAGTTGATGAAATTTATGCTTGGTATAATATAAGTTTTCAGTTTTGAATATCTTTATTTTAGGTCATTATTCTTGAACATGATCTAAATGATCCTTTAGAACATTTTTTTAAATGTTCATGTAATTTATCCTCATTATGATATGATTGGAATACGTATGTGTGATTTGTTGTTTATTTATTTTAATTTAGGGAGCGGCTAGTTATTCCTTAGTTCAGACTAATTGTCCCTCACCCTTTTATACTGTACAGATGATAGATCTATGATTGGTCAGATGCAAGGACAAGGATGGGACGGGTATTTCTGCATGCACATGGAAAGGGGGAGAATCAGAAGTTGGTAACATCATGGATTGTTTTGACAAAAGAACCGGCCAGCCCATTCTCATGAAACTGAATAATGTTTGTTACGAGCAAATATTTCAGTGACTCTTGAACATGTAATTGGTTACATGAAACGCATGTTTAGCGGACGCACTGGAGTACATCCTCTTCTGTTTTTCTTCTTGTAAGCTGAAGATACTCCGGTTTTCGCTACAAGGCTTTCTTGCTTCTGATCATGTCTATGGTTTGCGATGATTGCTGTTTGCAAATTTCCCTCTCGAGATAATTTTTTTAGCTATTGCCTATCCAAACGTCTGAATCAATTGTAAATTTCCCTCTCATGACAATTTTTTCAGCTATTGCTTATCCAAACTTCTGAGTCAATTGTAAGGCTGGCCTGGGTTACACAATGTGGTTGATGAGCAACGAGATGGCGAAATCCGTATACGATGACATTACCTTGGTGTTAAATTTTCGTCGAGTAGAATGTTGGATACTTTCAGGTCTCTTCGTACAACTAGAGGGACACAATGTTCGTGCATATACTCCAGTACTCTGTTTACAATAGCGTGAGAACTGTCTAGCCGATTCCATAAAACTGCACTTTTTTTGATTCTACTCCTTTCCTTGTTCCTGCGAAAACTATATCTCCGTCTCATAACTTTGTCTGACCTTTGACTAATCACAAACCTCTCTTTTGTAAAGTATAGTAAAGTGAATGATAATTAGCCTAAACTCAGAAATAACTAGCCGCTCCCTTAATTTATACTAAGTTTTGAACACGAAAAATAAGTATTAAATGAAAAAATTTTCATTGAGATGAATATCATCCACCCATTTTTTAAAATTTGGAAAGATGCACCAATATGCATATCTACAATTTTTTTTTATATATGCCCAATTTCAAACCCTCAATACATATGTGATAATAAAAATGTAAATTAACTTATTATTTTACGTAAGTCTTCTTCCCAAATCTCTAAACACAAGTATCAGCCAAAAGAATTATATTTTGATTGTATTGACAAAATCTGAATGCCTATATTGTGATTTATACTTTGCATAACTAAATGCAAGTAACTAATCCATAGAAATTTTATGTTTTTTTGGGAATATTTTTCATTACATATGAACTAAATAATAATCAGTAATATCTTTCAAATTATTCAGAAATTGAAATATCAGATTTGATTTAATATTGTAATCAATCACTTTAAGCTCATAATTGGAAAAAAATTAATTTTATTTTCTACACAACAAGTATGCATAATTGTAAGTTGTTTGAAGTAAAAAATGATTCTTCTTTTTCTCAAATTTACATACTGATATTTATGAAAAGAGAGAAGAATGAGAGTTTTTTCTTAAAAAATTTAGAACTAAAAGCATCAATATATATCTATTAATAAAAAAATATGATAATATATTTATCCCTGCAATCTGATTTTTATTCTTAACCTCTTTGCACAACCAATTTATTAAAATAAAAAACGAGATAATAAAATTTTTATTCAACTTACTTTTTCGGGATTTTTATAATATCATATTTTTGTTCAATGATGAATCTTCCATCTATGCAGAGATATACTTCTCTTAAATGTTAGATATTTTTGTAAAATATGCAAGACATCCATAAGTGATATAATTGCTGGAATATTTATTTAAGTGCCTGATTTAAAATATTTTAATAAAATGAGATTTAGGAAAAAAATTTTCCTAAAAATTTGATTTTTTCCCTAAAAATTCAATATAGACAAATTTCTATAAAATATAATTTGAAACTTACTAACCAAATATGGTTTCAATTGGAAGAATTTTGTTGTGTATCCTTGCTGTGATGCAAAGATACACAACAAAATTCTTCCAGGCATGCCAGTATCAAAATAAGGGCATTTTACGTATCAGAAAATATATTTATGTGGAAATAAAACATTCTTAGAAGAAAAATTGTTGAAATGCTCTAGAAATACGTATATATTTGTTCATACTTGCGAGCTTGCCTTGTATAGAAAAAGGCGTGCCCTCGCCCGGGGGCATGCCTTTAAGGTTGTGACTCCAACTCTAGTGTTGAGGTGGGCTTCTGATGGTATTTCGCTGTTGTCAGCGGTAGCGGGGCTCGTTCGTGCTCTTGTGTGCACGACATGCACCACCTTCAAGTATATCGTTAGAGGATAAGCGCGTCGTGGGTTTCCACAGTGACATTCGCCTTAGAGTACACAGATCTCAAACTTCCTCACCTGTAGACGATGAGTCTGTCGAATCTGAGTGACGGAAGATTGCAATAGTTGCAGAACTCTCGAACCTGTCGTGTCCTTGACAGAGGTGGTTCGCATTTACAGCCAGCACGCTTGGAATGCTTGGGAGTCTCGTGTGTGCCTGGAGCAACTCACGGTGATCTACGGAGATGAAAAGAGGCTGCGTTGGACATGTAAATTGGATAATCTTACAACTGTAACCAGCGTCAGAGACAGACAGAATCAAACGCTAAAGCTCTTCAGTTTCGGTGACGAGGTTTCAGCGTGCCAAATCTCAACATTACTGCCGTCCAGAGTTTATCATAGAACTGTCCCGCTCAGTCTCATCCTTATTCTCACCTGGGATGTCGTATGCACAATGTCCTGTGTGGCATTCACTACAGAAAGCAACTGAATACCATTGATTAAGGAAATCTCCGATGGTGGGAGGATCGAAATGCTTAACATTAGTGAATGGCGGAAGTAGGATTTAGGCTTCCCCCTTTTCCTGAAACTATAAATCTTGATCTCGAAAAACCTGCGAACTCTTTCCATCGGACTGATGGAAAGAGTCTAGGTGCCTCGGAAGATTGGTATACTGGAGAACTGGTTTCCAGGGCAGTGCAGGGAGTTGAATATATTGAAGATAGCAGTAGCTCCAGATCCACTTGTTGAAGTAAAAATGAGGGGATCGCAAGACAGAGAAAGTGAAGGAACTAAGAATTTATGGAAAATCTCGGCACTGGACGACTGGGATCACCAAGCTAAGTGCGCTTTAAGATCTTTTAGTACAAACCTCCATCTCGAGCCTGACATGCAAGTCAGGCTCGAGATGGGGGTTCATCATCAGCTGACCTGTCACTATTGTGAACAATTTAAGAGCCCAAACTGGAAATGCGACGAAGTGAATCATCACTCCTGTACATTGTGAGACCGGCTTTAACCCTCATGCCCAACACGGCACAATGTAGAGCGTTGAGCTTTCCTGAATTTAATGATGAGTTGTATGTATGTTCCCGAAGAAGTGTCGATATAAAAGTCGAAAGATCAATCCTACTGATTTTTCAAAAAGACAGTCACGAGTCCATTTAAGTCCCATCCTGATAATGAATAATTTATGTATCGTGAGACATTGATACATGAATTGCAGTACCTATGGCATCTATGAGATTTACAAATTCTACCGCCGACGATTTTTGTTCGTCTTCAAGTATCTAGAGAGAATAAAACCGCGGTATCTTCGAGTTCGTTGTCACCAGGCACCAGGCACCAGATACATAATGGCGGATCTAAGAAAACTGCGCGGGTGCCTAGTGGAATACCGAGGTGGAGCTACTGATGCTGCAACTAATTCTCTGATCTACGTGTAGGCAGCTTTAATGACTTCATCCTTCATACCCAATCCAAGCGCTTGAAGCTCGGCACCATCTTCCATTCTGAATCCAGGAAGCACCAGAGCTCTAGATCCTATGAAAGTGTCATCCTCCATGACGCACGACTTGAATCCGACTTTTTCTCCTTCGTAAAGATGGCCAAAGAGAAGCGCACTGCGCCCAATGGCACTGCGGTATCCAACCTTGAGCTGATCGGGGTTCAGAGCATACAGAGTGTCGATGTAGATGCCTGTCGTCTTGACCGACGCACCGAGGAATCGAAGGTACAGTGTGATTAGCACGGAGCCCTTGCCGAGCTCCAGAAAACTCGTTCCGAGTGTTTGGTTGATGCACTCCCAGACCGTCAGCAGAAAGGTCCGGCGGCTCCACAAATCGCTCGTGCTTCCGTCTCTGACTCGCCAGACACCAACCCACTTGCACACTATGGCGAGAGCAGCAAACATCAGTCCCCAGCAAAGGAACGCGACTGGCAGTAAGCCAAGCATCCAGTCGTTTCCAGCCACAGCGCCCACCCACAAGAGGGTCAGTACAATTGGACAGGCCGCCAGCAGCGAGACGAGCATGGGAAGCCCCAATTGAACAATGGGTTGCACGAGAAGCATGAGTTTTAGCCCCACAGACAAGTGCATACTATCTTTCCTTGCACCGGCGACTGACTTACTCTTCTCCACTTCATGTTCAAGGTGACCACCATTCATTTGGACATCGGCTTCCCCTTTGCGCATCTCTTCATGGTCGTGGCCCTGCGAAGCTACCACACCGCCTGAGAAGGGACAGCCATTCGCTACGACAAGGGAGTCGTCCGGTTTGCTGGTTAGCACATCGGAGTGAGATTTCTTCAGAAGGTCATACCAAAGCGGTGGAAGAGGGATGCCGGCTCTGATGTAGGTGAGGAGATCATGGAGGAGAGCTCTGGCTGTGTCGATGGAAGCACTTTGCGTAGCGCTGGTAGCAGTGATCATCGCAAGACTGGGCGGTGCGAATCTCGGATTGAAATTCGAGTGGTCCAAGAGCGTATCATCTAAATTCTCAGCCAGGAATATCTCGGCAACATCGATGTATGGGCAGACTGTCTCATCCCAGAGTGTTGTGGGGTCTTGAACTTTCTCTTGCTCTTCGACGGAAGTTGGAATCGGATGTAGCTGCATTTGCAGGATGCACTTCACGCCCTCCGCGGATTCGAGCCTAGCTTTCAGCTCATCCCTCAAGCAGGTCTTCGGTCTGGTGTCATCAGGGAGTACTGGCAGCATCCCATCGAAAGGTGGAAAGTCTTCCTGTCGCTGCACATTTACTATGTCATCTCCAATTCGAGGATCGGCAGGGCGGATCTTAAATCGGACATAAAATACCTCTGGGTCTCCTTCTTGCGGCTTCGTGACAAAGTAGCGAGAAGTACAGCCATAGTAATGGAGGTCGGCCCATGAATTCGGTCTCCGGATGTTCAACCACTGAGATTCACCGAGAGGAGGAAACTCTTTGATTTTCTGCACTCGCTCCTCTTCAGTCATGATGTAATAGCCCATGAAGTCGACCATGTTCTGTGCGTGGAAAATTGTTCCCGTCTTCATTAAAAGGTCGAGCAGAGGATTCTCAAGGTCGTCCGGCGAGTCCTTGTGGAGAAGACGCATGGTCGCTCCTCTCACTTCGGCGCGCCTGTTGTCCATGGCCAAAATCTCAGCTTTGAATCTGGAAAGTCTTCTGATTGCTTCGAGGAACTACTTCTGACACCTCGTGCTCCAATTTTCATCATAACACTCAAAGGAATTTGCAGGAGCAAGGTACGAAATGCCATACCTGTCGTCATCTTTGGAGTTCCCGGTGCTGTATCTGATCAAAACAGGATACGTAGATCCTGGTGTGAATATATCATGAGGAGGAAGATTTGGAACATTTTTAAGCACGCGCAGAGTTCCTTTGCCAGAGGCTCCGAGGGAGTGGATGTAGCGGTGGTGTCCCTTGGCAGTTTTCCTGGCAAACTCTCCTGCACAGGTTCCAACAATCTGCCGGAAGCGTGGATCCATGTTGAATGCAAGCGGGCATTCATTGAAAGCCACGAAGCTTTCGGGGGTTCCGATCTGAGGTTCGATCTGCAGTATCAAATGTTCAATTTTCACTCGCAGAATCAGATTGTGATGCATATATAAGGCAAGCATGTATTGCATAGACACAAATCTTTAGTCGTACAGTATGAGAATCATAACTGCTTGCCAAGTATACGTTTCACAGTATATCCAATCACTACTATTTCCCACTACTCATTTCTATCGATTGATTTTTACTAAGTGCAGTCTAATTTTTCTAACTTCGAGATACATTTGATCAGCATCAGCGACTATGTGACATTTTTAGTGCAGTCACCTTGGCTGGTTTAGCTCTGTCAGTCTTGTGACTGGGCTGTGTGCCTTTCACTCGAACGGGAATCGGGGCTCCCACATATACACCGTCCGTCTCGAGTGTTGCCCCTCTGGGTGCGACAGACATAGCCCCGAGAACGGACCTATCTTCAAGCGTGGATCCAGGCATAACAACGCTCTGAGCTCCAACAACACAACGACGTCCGATGCTTACAGAGGCCGATGACATCACCCCACCTACACCACAGAAAACTACAGTTTTAAGTACGATGCATAACTCAAAGAGCAACCGGGAAAAGGATTCGAGCACAAAGAAATGGAGTTCTGAGAAACTCTAATTGCTTCTTCGAACTCGGAGGGGTGAAAATTCCGATTTTCTAATATTATCACCTTGGACAGTTTCCGTGGTTATAATCTTGCAAAAATCCCCCAAGTGGCAGTCATCTCCAAGTTTGATGAGATCCGGGTCTATGACGGCATTAATCTTTCGAATGGACACACGCTGGCCGATGTCAGCACCCAACATGCGAAGGTAGATGCACAGGGCCTCGGTTCCTTGCAGCAAGCTCATGAACCTATCATGTGTGGCTCGCAGTAAGGCATGTACGAACCACCTTCGGTAAGAATTACGGCTGCTGGTTCCTTCCTGCATGCTGCCGATGACGCTCCATTTGAGAGCACAAGTGAGTGCGGCTAGCGTGACTCCGTAAGCGAGGTATCCAGCCCCAAATGCAGTCAGAGCTGCTACGACCTTGCCCTGATTAGCCACATCTTTCAAGAGCTCGAGTAGGAGGCCAGGATGTTGTGGAAATATCAGAAGTGGCGGAAATATCATGAGATATTTGGGGAACGTCAAAGTCAGAGAAAGCAGGAGGTAGCCATGGTTCGAAGCTTCTCTGCCTATGGCCTTACATGTGCCATCACTGAGCACTCCGAAGTAAGATCCACTTTCTGTGAGAACGATATATGCTGCCAATGCAGCCAGGCTCGACACCAGACCCACCGAGTAGAGCCCGAGAAGTTGCTTTGCAGCGATCTCTAGTGACCAGTTCGATGCATGCTTCGATCCCTTTGAGCTCATCTGTGCACAGTTTGATTCAAGGCAAAACTCAATAACAGGGGAAGCAATTCGATTGGGAAGCAACTCAATGCTCACCACTGTCACAGTGGCCAAATGAAGGACTTACAAGTAATCTGGTGGATTGCCATCAATGAAGAAGATTGATCAATTACTTCGAGTCAGCGATTGGATGGCGGACATACACTCGACTTTCCAAAGTATCTGGCCAGAAGACGAAATTGACGCTAGAAACTCTTGGAAAGACACATATATTGTCATAGCAAGGATTCTATATCGAGCTCTCAATTGTAATATGTGTACCTCAGTGTTTCCTGTGGACCGAACATGCTCTCCGACTTCAGTTTTGCACAATGCACCGACGCTCGAACCAGCTTCCAAAGTGCTGCCCCTCTGAAGAACGGCATATGGACCCACAGCGCAAGCTCGACCAACACTCACACTCTGGAACCGAACGACTCCTGCATTGACTTCATGGCACTGGATGGTCGCCCCTTCTCCTATACAAGAGTCTCTGCCGATGGAGACGAGCCACGGATCAGTGATGTCAATAGTGTCGAGGAAAACGCCGTCTTCAATGTCGGCTCCGAGCAAGCGATACCATAAGCCGAGCATGCCTGTTCCCCTTAACTGCGCAGCCATGGAGCTGGAAGCGAAATCTTGCAGCCTGTACAGAGTCCACCATCGCACGTACTCCACGGACCAGAGTGGTATCGTCATCGTTACTAACTGGTGGTTCATCGGAAGCAGCATGCGCGCTCCGAGCATCGAAAGCATCAATCCGACTGAGGCCGTGTATATCATCCACCCCAGGGGCACCAGAGCGGTGGACTGCAATACGTGACCGAAGGTGTTGTACTCCTCGGCGCTCATCGCCCATATCAGCTTCTTGTAGATGTAAAGTGCTGGTGAGAAGAGCATCAATCCCATGTACAGAACTCCCAGGATCTGGATCGCAATGCATTAAAAGTCAGAATTGCAGTTATAGGAGGGAGTGTCAGATGCCGTTTTCTAAAAAAATTAGTTTCTCCACCAAGCTACTTTCGCTGACGTCAAATTGGACCTCGGATCTATGAATTGTGGAGTGAATTTCGAATCTAGAGTGTCGAGTGTACCTGGAGAGAGGTAATGAAGAGCTTTCGTTTGTTTGTAGGCTCCAAAGCTTCTGCGAGCTCTGCTTCCGAGAGTGCTTCATTGACGCTCTCAGGCCTTGAGAGATCAAATTTTTGTTGCACTGCGCTTTCGTCCTCACGCAAGGGAGGAATGCCAGCAGATGCTGCCTTTGATTTCCTCATCACTTCGACAGAAAGGTCCGCCAATTCAGAGATGCAACCTGTGGTGTAGATTTGAATGGCCGAAATGTGCGTGCCGATGAATTCTGAGAGCTTGGAAGCCGCCGATACCGCCCCATGTGAGTCAATACTGTAACTCTCAAAGCTCTCCGTCGAGCTGATTTTCGATTCTGGCATGCCTGAGACCTCAGCTACCAGCGAGACGAGGAAATCAGAAATCTCCTTCTTGCCCTTCGTAGGTCGCCTCTGATGCGTCCCTTGTGCCTCGAGACCTGCAGCCTTGGGAGCACTGCGTCGAAGGCGAGCTTGAGCTACGGACAGGTTTGCTATTCTCACAGACGCCAGAGTTTGTTCGGCGAATCGTTTGGCACACTCACGTCTCCGGATCTTGCCGCTGGTTGTCTTCGGGATGGTATGAGGTCTGAGCAGACTGACGAATGATACTTGCAGTCCATGTACCTGAGCAACGGCGGATTTTATCTTCGAAATGACAGTCAGATCCGCTTGCTTCTCGTCCCTCACTTCCGCAACCACCACAATTCCATCTGCCTCGTCTGCCAGGCTCACTCCTCTCGATCGCAGGACCTTGGCCGAGACACTGAACGCTGCCGAACACCCTGACATTTCACAGCAGGCGGGCTCAGCAATATCAGCTCATCGAGCTCAGTTCGTAAGCGCACAGGATAAAATTCCACACAGGATATATTTCCAAACAATCGAATCGGCATTTCATCAAGGTAAGAATCCAGATTAACATACAGACACAATTTCAGATTCCTCGGGCTCGGAGAGGATTCAAGGTACCTGGTTTGAGCATGTTGGAGCAGCTCTCGACAGTCTTTTCGATGTCAGACGGATAATGGTTTCGGCCTCCGACGATGATCAGGTCTTTGATTCGACCGGTGACAAAGAGGTTCCCATCGATCTTTCGGCCAAGGTCGCCGGATCGAACGAACGATTTGGTGCAATCTTCGGGTGCGGCATTGCGAACATGAGCGTAGAACATTTCTCTGCTCAGCTCCTCCAAGCCCCAGTATCCTTTGCCATTGCTCGGACTGCTGAGCCAGATTTCGCCTTCAATGCCCTCGCTGACTTCATCGCAGGTCACGGGATCCACGATTCTCACGTCGGCGCAGAGATCCTTGAACCGGGGCTCGCCGCTCTCGATGTGGCCGCACGAGACTCGCCCTTGCGAATCGACCCGGATCGGCTGGTTGCGTCCGTAAGCGCAGCAGATGAAGACGCAATTCTCAGCCAACCCGAACCCCGGCGCGAAGATTTGCTCGCGCACGCCGGCGTCCCAGAATGTCTCCACGAATCCCTTCAGAGTCTGAGAGTTGATGGGCTCGGCACCGACCATGAGGAAGCGCAGAGACGACAGGTCCGGCTTCGGCTCTTTGCCGACCAATTTCAGCGCCTCGTAGCGCTTCAAGACGAGGTCAAATCCGAAGTTCGGTGCGGCTGTGTGCGTGGCTCTGTACTTGTCCACCAATGACAACCACATGAGCGGTTTTCGAATGAATGTCAGTGGCGAGAATTTCACCGCATGGCCTCCGCAGACCAGCGACACCAAGAGGCTCCCGATCAGGCCCATGTCATGGTACTGCGGTAGCCAGGATACGATCACGGACTGCGTCGTGCCTCTGTAAGCCGTGCGCATGGACTTGATGTTGTGTATGAGCGAACCGTGAGTGATCATCACTCCCTTCGCATCTCCGGTCGAGCCAGATGTGAATTGCAAAAAGCAGACGCTGTCACTCTCTGGTGGAGCGCTCATTCCCGATTCCAGCGGCTCTGTGTCCCAATGTCAGGAAATCGTACGAGTGATGTCAGGCAGCGATCGAAACATGAAATTTGGCAACGATATTGCGCTCTGGATGTGATTTATCGACCATTGTTCACTAGATACCAGCATTTAGGCTCGAATTTCAAAGCGTGCAATCTAAAACCCGAAACCCTACCTTTCGAGCCGTCCATTTCTCCAGTGATCGCAGTGATCGCAGATGCGGATGCAATCTTCTTCAGCCCTCTGGGGAACCAGCCGGACAGAACGGAGTCACCTGTACTCAAGCAGTTGGTCTCAATCCAAGACAGGTTGGGCCATGCGGGACCCCTTGCCATGAAGGAGCTAGCTCGAACGACTGAGTGGTAAGTTCTCGTCGTGAGTATAGCCTTGGCATCTGTGACCTTCACGACGTTCTTCAGCTTCTCCAGAGCTAAATCTCCTCCCCTCTTGCTTGGGTCCGGTGGGATCAGTGGCACAGCTATAATCTGCCACACTCGAACAAGATTCAGCTATCTCAGTGCCAGATTTCATCTGTAGTTCAATTTAGAGAAATACTGATCGTGCTGAAGTGATTGCCTTCTGAGTTAGCTCGAAGATGGGCTATGTCATACATACCTTAGCGCGCAAGCAGCCCAGAAAAGCTTCGATGAACTCGAGTCCCGGAGGATGGAGTAGCACCACACGGTCACCGGGTTTCAGATTCAGTCTGCATGTGAGAAGATGGCGAGCTATAATGGTCGCCCTCGTATCGAGCTCCGAGAACGAGAGTTTGTTCGTCTCTTTGCCTTGATCGTCGATCCATGTGAACACAGTTTTTTCTCTTGTGAGAGGATGACGCGAATAAAATTCAAGGTAGGCATCAACTGATGGCAAGTCTGGGAACTCGAATCCGGGCAGCTCCACATTTTCTCGTAGCTCGTAGTTATCGGGCTCTTGTGCTCCATTCGGCAGCGGGTACTCGACGAGTCTCTGCATTGATCGACTTGCACCAGAAAACTTCGATCGTCAGAACGTGCCATGTACACTTGAGGCGGTCTCAGTTAGTCCAAAAGAGTGCAGTCGCCTTGCCCAATTTGGGACACAAATCGACACAATTTTAATATCTGATTCACTCCGTTAGTCTGTTGTTCTGTCTGAGGGGTCCACAGATTTGCTCCTGCAGGTAATACCAGCTACTTCACCTCACACCAGTCGACTGACGAAACCTTTTGGGAATGCAAGCTCTGAATCATCGATGATGCGAATATTTGTAGACGCGAGGAATTTCGACTGTGGTTCGACAATAAATTGGTTGCAACCTTCCTTTCCGTTATTGATAATTGTAACCTACTTCTGTCAGTTTGTGAACCCTTTGGTTAAGTCTGTGATATATCGGCAAACACATCCCAGCGCAGTGCCCTATTACGACGACTTACAGTTACAGGCAAAGACCACCATTATGAATTATGCGCGTTGACATGGAATCCCACTTAAGTCAACACACCACGACTCGTGTATTTTGTGCACGGATGCCAATGAGGCTTCAAGGTTCAAGTCGAAGCACTGATCAGTTGAGCTCGCAGAGGCCTTGAGTATGACGACCATGATTCTAATGATCGTGGCGGTTTAGACTACTTGCCTTGACGTAGATCGGTTCTTCAGCTGAGCCGAAGCGCTTGGACATCAGATTGAAGGAATACGCCGAGTTTCGTTCCGTCAGCTCGAAAGACATCAGCGCGCCGACGTAGTACGTGTTGTTCTCTCCTTGCAGGCCTTCCAGCTTATCGTAGAATCCCAGACGCATATCTGAACAAGACTCAGTCGTCACAGAAACAGCACAATCAAATCATCAGACATGAGATAGACTTCCACGAAGGAACTCGTAGTATTCATGAGCACTAGCTTCCTCGCATCAGTTTGTGTTGTGTTGGAATTACAGCAATTTTGAGAGCATGGGTGTCAGAATCGTCCACTGCTCACCTCTACTGCTCACGTGAGGAAAGTAGCGGAACTTGCGCTGTAGGACTACAGCCTCCACGCGGCCACCCATCTTCTGCACATCCTCGAAGAGAAGCTCGGTGACGCGATTCTGATCAACTTCTGCACTTCCATACGACCAGAAGAGAAACACATTCGTATCAGCATGGAATTTCTGCATGGCTACGAAGTGGCCCACGGACGAAGGGTCTTGTGCGGTTTCCGGGTAGTAGAAACGCGGAGCGAAGTGTTCGAAGCCGCTGATTTTGAGAACGGTGGTGTAGTAATCGATGATTTCTACTCTCGAAAACACTTCCAGCTCCTTGGCTGAGTAGTCCAAGATTCCAGCAGCAGCTTCTTCAGCTGCACACGCAAGAAGGTAGTGTATAAGCTCGTCGACCAAGTTTGTCACTATAAACATGACGATTTTGCTGACTTCCATGGGTACCAAACGATAGGCTAAGGATGTCCTTCAAAACTGCCAGTTGCATCTACAGTTGCTAACGAGCAGCTGAAAAGGGCTCTACAGAAGACGACCATCTTTGGAAGAGTACCTGGAAGTGATGCCTTGATGGCCCTGGAGAGGTATACGTTACTGTTGACTGGAATCGAAGAATTGCCAGACATAATGAGTTTATCAAACTCCAGCACTGATGTGGACTCGCCTTGAACGACAGAGATGTATATCTTGTTGTTCCGTCTCTGAATGCTTTGAACTCTGGTATTGCAGCGAACATCTGCTAATGTGGTAGATATCTTGTGCCAGAAGCTGTCATATCCGCCTTTGATCCTGTAAGCCTGGCCCAGAATAGACATCACAAACTGATGCATGTATGCGAAAGGCATGTGTTCGGCGTAGCCATAACCGCTTGCCGTGAACAAACCAGCTACTGCCCTCGGAACCTCTACGAGTCCTTTCGGATTCATTATGCTCTTTGCTGTTGATCTCAGATAAGTATGAGATGTCTCATGAGCTACGCTGCTAACGGTGTGCACTCCTAACTTTCCTGAAGCTTCTCCGGCTTCCTGCACATGTACGCATTTTTCGAGAAGCGGTCAGTATTTACGGCTCTGAAGTAAGGCTGTTAATGAAGCTCGTGTCGGAGACCATGAAGGTAAATTAACTACGTACCTGTAATTTTTCTGTGACTTTTAACATGGAGAGGACATCTGAGACAATCCTCAGATCCTGGACGCGGCCGGATGCAATATCAATCAGAGAAAATGGCTCTTCTCCCAATTTTTCCAGTTCTATTCCCATCTCGGTCATCAAAGTATCCAAAGTTGGTGAACTCTCTCGAGCTATGACTTGTCCTCCCAGATCGTAGACGTGCCCTGCAGGTAATAACATCAGATCAATTAGTATTTTGAAAATACTTCAAGACCTGCGAAGCGGAATGTGATAGTTTCTCGGTGCACGCTTGGAACATCGGAACCGCAATTCTGCTCATCTCGTACAGAAGAGCTGCAGCTCATTTCTTTAACTGGATTTCACTGAGTAAAGTGCAGTGGGATCCTGTTCCAAATTTCATTCGGTGGTAAGGTTACACTATTTCTGAGTTGACCCTATATCATCATGTTACAGAACTTGAGAACTGAGCAAACAATCAACGCAGTAAACAACGCGTCACTTCTCTTACACTCATCATATCTCGCTAGTTCTAGAAAAATATCAACCTTGCAGTATGATTCTTGAGCAACGAATACCTGCCAGACCCCAGAAGAATAATATTTGCTCCGCAACTTCAAGCTTTCTGAAACTTCCCATGTGTTTCGAGATTGCAACGTACAAATCTACAAAAATTAGCTTTGGAATGGATCTACGTTTTGAATACACAAGAGAAAAATATATTATTACCTTCGATTATCTCAGATCTGCACATCCCTCCAACTTTGGCATCTTGCTCGAGGACTGTAATTTTTTTGTATCCTAACCTGGTCAGAGCAAGTGCTGCTGACAGTCCACTAGGACCTGCTCCAATCACAGCAATCCGTGTCGACGGATTCATCAGTGGGTAGAGGTTATCGACCAACTTGCAAGCAGCAATGGAATTCATGGCTGCTTTCTCCTTGCTCCGAAGACGATATCCCTTTCCAACTGCAATATATAGCTATGGCCTTGGGCTGCTCAGATCATGCCCAAACTAGGCTCATCTACATCGATCAGTGCTGCTATGTTCAGATACAGTGATCAAATCTCACTGCCCACTGCATTCCCGAGAATCTGCTGCCTGCGATCCCAGCAGGTACATAACCGATTGAATGGAAAGCAGTAATCAATAAGCATCAACTGCGTCGAAAGCAACAATGTCGGTTTCCATCGCTAGTGTAATATATTAGCCATCGGACGATGCAGAGTATCACTCCCCGTGGCACATGCACACGGAGTGAATGCACAGTCTGCAATGTTCACGTCTCGCAAGGAGACGGATGACTGTAACTACCAGAGAACAGCTATCGACTAGTGAAATCCTGCTTTCACATTTATACCACTGGATGCTCAGGCGCTAACGCGTATTTGCTTGCAGTATTAAATAAGGTAATATGAACGAAAGGCTCTCATTCTCCGCGTCATATGTTGGAAAAAGGTCTGAGCTTTTCTACCGTACATTACTACAGCAGTAGTTGAACGCGACCTGCGTATCAGAATGTTAGAAGAAGTATTGAAGATTTGTGAGAATGTCTTATTCACAAACTCACTTGTCGGAAATAATTTCGAATTTCAATTGAGAGTCTTTTTGCATTACCCGTTAGTATTTACTGTGTACCTGTACCATCTTTTAATCTTCGACAATCTAAGATCTAGTTTTTAATGGAATCTGGAAACAATCTTGATTTTTATGTTAACTTATTAAAAAACTTAGAGAAACACAAAAATAGTCGGTACAATCTAAGATCTAGTTTTTAATGGAATCTGAAAACAATCTTGATTTTTATGTTTACTTATTGAAAAACTTAGAGAAAAACAAAAATAGTAGATTAAATATAATCAAGAGAATGTGATATTCAAGGCCAGAAGGGAGTAACTAGAAATATTTCTAAACATTGAATCAGAATTGAATTCAAAGTTAGATGTAAATGTTTTATGGCGTCAAAGCTTATGAATGTTTGAAAATGACTAAGGAGATAACCAGTGTCGGTTCTCTAAGCTCGGAAAAGCATGCCTAAAAGGCTTGCAATCGTCTTCGACATTGAAACTGAGTTCATCTTCAATCCAAGAAAGTCTCTCTGATCAATTTCATCTCCCATAGATTCGTCGTCCTAAAGCCAGTTGGTGACTCATCTACACTTATGTGTTGACGTTACACCAATCAAAGAACTTCAGCCCTGAGCTTTGCGATCTGCCTTAGGGTGCTGTGTCGGCATTCTAAACTAATCAAGCAACTTGAGCCCTTCTACCTCGGGATTTGCGTTGACAATCATGCCAGCGGTTAGGCATAATTCACGTTTCTCCTAAGCAAATTCACGTTCCATACAAGCATCTTGAGCCTAGAGTCATAAGAGTGCCGAACAAGCCTCAGACGAAAAGTCAAACTAATAATTATTCATTAAGCAGAGTAGCTAGAGGATAATAAACATAATTGTAAACAGTAAGCAAACAGCAACTCATGTTTATATCTAAACATGTGAGTAATTTCTCGAGGAGTCCAAGCGTCGTGTTGTAATTTCTTGCCCTTAATGTCCACGACTCTGAAACGGTTTGAAAGAAAAGTACAAAGTAAATAGCAAAAGAGATGGGAAGACCCCATTAAGTGCTAAGTAGAGGAAACCCAATGAAAGTATACAAAATCATATGCACGTGCACTGGTTGACAAACTCCTCCTCCCTTACAAGGTCGAAGAACATTAAAAGCTCTTTGTAGCTGGAATTTAGATGGTCAGCGTAGAGTGTAGTACCAACGTAAAATGCGTTGAAGATCATTGGAATATCATCAAGTTAGAACAATGAATTGCTTTTAGTAGATGACTTTAGAACTATGTCTTGGTTAATTCTAAGCCCAGGAATGATAAATAGCCACGATGACGAATAGACATCAACCCTTACTGTGATGACTTACACTACTGCAAGCTAGAACAACCCCGACCGTATGACTGTGGGCTGACGGTATACGGTCACCGTCGTTTCTCACCGTCGCGTCAAGAAGTCACCCGTCGAATGCGCAACCTCTGGTATTCAAATTCGACTCATGGACAACCGATGTGAGACACGTGTCGGCGCGATGAGCAGTGTGCGCGACAAGAGTCTTCGGCGGGGTTCATGTTCTTGGATCTTCGGCTGGTATTTTCATCAGCCTTGTGTTTAGCCCAGAGCGAACTATTCTTTTACTAAAGAATACCGATTGGAAGACAAATTTTTCGAACGCTCCTTCGTTGGAGCACCCATCCATCGAAACCAAACAAGGACATCAAAGCTTCTGAGAGTAAGATACATGAGTCTCTCAAGCTTCTGGGCTCAAGGTATGAAGGCCTGAGAACGAACGAAAAGATGCTACATGACACGCAGCTTGAGAATATTGTGCCTGACTTGGTACACAATGTTCATATTTTCCTTGAAGGAACCTGGCTGAGGAAGAAGCGAGCATTTGGCTTTCAAGTTATATGAACTAGTCCCTCGATTAAACAAGTCCTTAGCGAAACCCTCTAGGTCGGGCCTGAGGGAAATGTTGACGAGCGATGCCATTCCACTAGAAATATGTGTAAAATCTAGCTGCAAGTAGCTTCATCAATTGATTTATGACAATCAATAGATGAAAGAAGTAGAATAGCAACTCAAGTTAGTAGTATTCCCGGCGTGAAGTCAGCGTATACAATCAGGGACGCAAAACCCGACTGCGAAGTCCTCCTTGAAGTCCAGTAAGAACTCGAAATATCATTATCTCGTATCATCTTCGATTTCATCATTAAGATTTCGATCCAGTTCCTCCCCAGAAAAATGCTCTCATCTCCGGAACAACCTGAATTGTCAGGTTGCTCCTCAATAGATGTCGCTAAACTAAAGTGAGTGAATACTCCGACATATCTAACTATTGAGCGTTGCAGTGACGGATATGTTGAACCCTGCCGTTCATATGTTTTAAAATCTTGGAACAGATCAAAACTGCAGTGTAAAGATCACCGAGGATACTGTTGTGAACCTACCTTGATTTCGAGGCTAATTCACCTCCATCACATTTTCAAACGTCAACATTGAAGCAGAAGTTCAATGATGAGAATTCACTCGAAACGAAGAGCAAGGCTGACATCGAGCTTCTAGATAGCCCTAGGAGAAAGAAGTAAACCAGGCAAAATCCGAAACTCCGCCAATTCTCTCAAAGCCGCGAGAACAGTAAAAACCTTGGCCCATACATATGCCCTGCTATCGACAAATCGCCACCTCCGCGATCGACAAAACGCCACCTCCGAGCTAGCCTGATCCCCCATCGCCAATCCGAGGGTGAGTCACAAGAAATGCTAGACGAAAAGTCCGTCCGGGCTCGTCTTGTGCGGGAAGCGCGAAACCCACGGGTGACGGTGAAACCCACTCGGTGACGGTGACGGTAATAGACGAACGGTGTACGTATACCATCAAGCTGGAGAGTATACAGTCGGGGTTGTTTTAGCGAGAAGCCTTACAGTGACTTCAGTTCACGCCGACATTAGCTTCGGGCTGACCATCGAAGCGACGGGTATGCGCTGAGTACGTAACGGATTCAAGCACTCAAGCACAATCATAACATGGAATCTCGAATTCCTGGCAGTTATGTGGGGAATTGTGGACCATAGAGTGCTCGCCCTCTCTCTTCGTTCTTCGGTCGTGACGTCCACAGGTGACGATTTTTGGGCTAGAATGAACACGGTGCTTCAAGAATTCATAATATATTGTTCATGAGTTGTAGATACTTGCTAGCAAATCGCAGCACATGTACGCTTCCGGCCTATGTGTATGCCATGACTGCGCTTTGGAGATGGAGCCAAGAGTAGCTTGATATCATTCGAACCCAGAGATAAATTCTAGGAAATATTCGTGTTTGACAGAAGAGATGAGTGCACTACCAAAAGGTCCACGCACGTGCTCGAAAGATGCGAGCTATGTGAGAAATAAATGATTGTGCATGCAAGCGGATTAGTTCCACGTGCTGTGTAAGGAGGGCTGAGCATGGAACATAAGCATCACAGCAGCCACTCTTTGCGCTGCCCGAGCAGAATCCAGCAGCAGCTCTGATACAATATCGACTGTTTTCAAGTCAGTGTCCTATTGAACTGACACCCAACAACTGCATACTGTACCTTACTGGACGCGGTATTGAGTCTGGAACAGATATTTCAGTGCAAGTTCACGAGGAATCCGAACTTTCGTGACGTTGAAACTAGTTCTCTTTAAATTCAGAAAAATCCAAAGTAGAAGCTTAAACATGTTGATCTGCAAGTGGGATTCACTTTGGATCCTCTGAATATGAAGATTTAAATCCTCTAGATAGAGAATGTTTTTAGTATGATGTATAACCAAGAAAAGATGTGTTAGCAATTTTGAACTTGAATCACGCAAATTTTAGCAAATGAGGTCTCGCCGGTAGAATATAATGTAATTTATTTTGGTCTTAGGATAATTCCCCTTGAAAATGGAAATTTTCGGTTCTGGGAGTCGAATAAATGCTTAGGGGCATTCGTGGAGCTCCATAAGGTTATTAGAAGAGTTCTTTGCGACTTAAATCAGCACATATCCCTTTTTCTAAATTTTCAGTGTGAATAAAGATTTCAAAATATACTCGTAACAATCTTTGACAACACTGATAACTCAAACTGAATAACAAATTGTGATGCTCAATGTTTAGGTTTGATTTCTATCAGGCAAGAAAATTTCCTACCATGTACTAAAAATGAATTGCATATTTTGTTACTTGCAGGTTTTGCCTCTGCATTCCGATATTCTTTTTTATTATATTAATGTATACTAATATTTTTTTCGATTGCACTAATTATCATATATTGTGTGATAATTTGTGTGTCAATTTGTATGTACATAAATTGACATTAGCATACTTTTGGGTCCCACGGGCTTGATTTATTTACCATTACCATAGTAGTAGTTTCACAAAACTATATTCATCTGTTATCAGCATAGATAAATTCAAGCTAATATTCATTACGAGTAAAACAAAATGTTAGAAACCAAAGTTTTGTAATTTAAACCATTTGAATCGTCTATGAATCAAATCACATAATTTTTAACATTATGTATTTCTTTAAGATTTACTTCCATATTTTTACAATCTTTAATTCATTTAATTTATATATAATTTTCTCCACATGATGTGAATGAAAAGTTTTTCATTATTTCTTTTCAAAAATAATTTTATCTATATTAAATCTTTCATAATTAATATTCTCTACATCAAATATTTTAAGCAAGATACTTATTCTTATGAATCTTGAATGGTTTTTTTGTATTCGGTTCATTTAAATTTCATTGATACGCTCACATTTTCAATTCAATAAACATATGTTTGTTTAATGCAGCAACAAACATCATTATTCGACAAGTAGAGTGCGATAGTCAATAGCTTTCGTCCTAGGACTAAACTTACTGGCTACTTTTATCCATAATTATCAATAATAATATTCATTATTTTAACAATAAATCTTAAAGTGTTACCGTCAGCATAACGTATACGAGCAAGCGTGAAGCTTTACGAGCATAAAGCGAAAGTGAACCACGTTTTAAATGTCCAAGT